TTATAAATATCATAATAATAATAATAATAATAATGCATGAGTACTATGTAGGCTTTATTGGAAAGAACGTATGTTTTAGTGTTGAACCAGAGGGAAGGCCTTTCTTGTATGCCCGGACAGCCCTGCAAGCCATATAAATTAAAAAATAAAAACTATTTTTTTTTTTTGATAAAGCAATAGTACAAGCCACAGCTAACTGCAAGGTATTGAGCTGTGCATGAATCTCACAAGTAACAGTTCTGCTTTACCTATCAGCCAATACATTCAAATTTCATGTTAAAGGGACACTATAGTCACCCAGACCACTTCAGCTCAATGAAGTGGTCTGGGTGCCAGGTCCCTCAGGTTTTAACCCTTCAGATGCAAACATAGCAGTTTCAGAGAAAATGCTATGTTTACATTTGGGGTTAATCAAGCCTCTAGTGCCTGTCTTCTGGACAGCCACTAGAGGCGCATCTGCGACGCTGGAGGCATATTATGTCTCCATCGCACAGAGCGTCCATAGGAAAGCATTAAAAAATGCTTTCCTATGGTCACTTTGAATGCGCACAATGTACTTGCCGCGCATTCGGCTCTGCTGACGTCAGCAGAGGGAGCTGACGTCGGCGGGGGAGCTGACGTCGGCGGGGGAGGAGAGGTCACCACCACCTGGCGCTGGATTAAGGTAAGCTGCTGATGGGATTTTAACCCCTTCAGCGCCACTGGAGGGGGACCCTGAGGGTGGGGACACCCTCAGGGCACTATAGTGTCAGGAAAATCGCTTTTTTTTTCTGACACTATAGTGTCCCTTTAATTTGTTTCATTGTGTACTTTAGAATGTTTTATCAACACATATTACCTTCCTGACAGTGGTCCTTGAGCTATCTATTGCCACGCAGAGTGCTCTGTGTTTGTGAGCCTGACGTGCTTGACGCCAGGCTCACATGTCCATTCAAGTCTATTCAGTGACCCGATTTTCTCCATCACCAAGCTGGTAGGTATGTTTTATTTAAAAACACAATATTCAGACTCTTCCACAGGTCATCACTGTGTTGTGGATTAAGACAATGTAGAGGAAAGTATTGGCAATTCAAGGTGAATTCAGGGTGAAGTTCAAGTAAAAATAGCTAAACCGGAAAGATTTTGTTTCCAAATTGTCTAACCAGTGTTAATTTTGGCGGCAAATTTCAATTTAGTTTTAGTCATTGTCTTTTGACTAAAATGGCATTTTAGTTTTAGTCATATTTTAGTCATCTGAATTGTTTTTTGTTTTAGTCTAGTTTTAAGCGATTAAATTTCAAAAATATTAGTCAACTAAAATTTGACTAAAATTGTTAGTCGACAAAATGAACACCGTCGGCTACGGTGGCCTAAATTTTTAAGTTCACATTGAATTCCCATCAATTTGTACTTTTTTAAATCTTTTGCTCCATTCCCTCCTACGCAATAAAAATACCTCTGGCAGGTCCCCATTCCTTTTCCCACCACATGAATGAAATAACTCTTAGAGGTCCCTCTTTGCACAAACCCTTCCTAACACCCACAGTAAACATTTTTCTGGAAGCCCTAAAAAATACATTTACTTACCTCCTCTGTACTCCTCTCTCTCCTCGCACACTGTTGTGCATCCATTGTCCTCATATACTCAGAGGCTTCACCCTCCATATTTAATAGTGGGAAGTCAAGTGATACAGCAACCCCAGACCATCGTTTCAACCTTGTAAGGTATCATCAGTGAGGTATAGCCAATATCCCTCTAGGCACCGTGAGGGGGTTGCTGTATCTCTCATGCAGAGAGAGCCGGCCTGTATTTCGGATCTGTTCTGCCCATTTTGGTGGAATCAGTCTGCGATGCATGGCTTGGTTCTTTCTGTAATGGCACAAGATGAGCTAAAACCAGCTTGGGAACTGAGCGGAGATCCACCAAAGGGCAGGCTAATTGAGCTGTTGTCCGTTCTCAGCACTCTCTTGCGACTTGTTTTTTGCTCTCCTTTGACACAGTCAGTAAGGAATAGAGTCGTATAATATTGAAATGTACATTAACTCTTTATTACTTCCAATGCCTTCCCCTTTTGTGGAAGGCATTGGCCTTCCTGTTGCCTTCCCCTTTTGTGCCACTCCTCGGGTACACGGTAATAAGTCAGACAGGCAAACCAGACAGGAAAGGGTTAAAGATAAACGCAGAGTCAGGAACCAAGCCAAGGTCAATACCAGAATAAACACAATAGATCAAGGAGCGCACTAAAGGGTACTGAAACAGAAACCATGATAGTGCAAAGTGGATAGGGCTAGGGAAGTTTAAAGAGTCTTTAATTAACATTTGATTGGCCGACATCATGCCTACGCCCCCAAAATGTGCGCGTGTGCCGGAATGGCGTGGGCCAATGTGAGCCTAAACCCATTTGTGGCTCTCACTGCCCCTTTAAGAGCATGCTCTTGACGCGAGCCGCACTCCTACTGCGGTCAGTGCATGCGGCCCGCTTCTCAAGAGGAGATCGAGCTGCGCTCAGCTCATGTGAAGGCAGGAGTGCTCCAGCCGCATGTGACTTGATCTGAGGACCCCGGCCGACCCCCTGGATAAGGTAAGTACCTCCAAACACAGTCGAAATGAGCTAAACAAAACTCTCAAGTTGCACGCTGGTACACATAAAACACTATGGTGAAATCAGTGAAAGTGTGACAATGTTTAGTCAAAGTACAGATCTATTTATATTAGTCTGGCTGTTCTGTCCAACGCTTTCCTAGACTTTTATTATTATGAATGGCCGGTTTCATTGAGAAATTATATCCTACTGAAGTCAGAATTCTCCTTTGGTTGTTTTATATTTGGTGTTCTCCCCTACACCAGTGTGAATATGTCAGAGAGTTCACTACATCCCTCTTAGTGGAATTTTGAATGCTATAATTCCTGCTAAATGGAAGTTTGAATACTATAACTTACTGTCAAACAGTTTGTTTCACTAAAGTGAGAATTCAAAGTGAATTTGAGGCGAATTTCCATTTTATTGCCGAAGTAGTCAAACTGCAAACAGCTTCTTTTTTTTTAGGGAAGGGGGGTGGAGGGGAATTTTCCAGTTCAACTATTTAGACTTTAAATTTGAAATTCAGTTTGAATTCTCACTGTAGTGAATAACCCTTAGTCTTTTTAGTGGTAGGTTAGAAATGCGATGTCGTTTCAAATTAGAAGCTGTGAGCACTGATTAGAGGAGGCATCATGGGCATTATTGTGGAAGCATTTAATTAGTAAAATGGGGTTCTTGTTGTACCCACAGTAGGATTCATCCTGTGTGTCCTCTGAGACCATTAAGACACGTTCCCATCTTTTATGTTAAAGGAACACTATAGTGTCAGGAATACAAATGTGTATTCTTGGCACTTTAGGTTTAAATAGCTGTTAAGTAGCCTGGCTCCCCCTTACCTCCATTCAAAAAATTGCATTTACTCATCTTTTACCAGTGCTGTGCGGGTCTGGTCGTGCCTGGCCGTGCCCACACTCTGCCCCCTTGGCTGTGATCATCAAACTTGACCATCTCAGCCAATACAAGGAAAGCTTTGTGAGGCTATCGTGCATGTGCGGCAAAACGCCACTCTGTGCCAATCAGCATTCCATTATAGAGATGCATTGACTCAATCCATCTCTATGGGAAAGTTCAGCGTCTCCATGCAGAGTGTAGAGACGCTGAATGTGCAGCACTGACCCAGGAAGCACCTTTAGCGGCTGTCTGAGTGACTGCCACTGGAAGTGTTACTAGGCAGTAATGTAAACTCTTACATGAACATGTCTGCAGGGACATTCTATACTCACCAGAACAACTAAGCTGTAGTTGTTCTGGTGACTATAGTTTCCCTTTCAACTGAAATCTTTTAGAGGCTCCAGTGCAGAAGAAGGCTTGTTCAAAAAGTCAGGCATTATATTGTGTAACCATTTAATTATTATAACAACAGCTACACCCAAGCATGTACTTAAAAAAATTATTAAAAACTGTAATCTTCCTGGTTAAATTATTTGGTAATATTCATCAGTATGGATGTGAAGTGCTTCAAGTAGTAATTTATATGAATTCTATTAGTGCTGTCTTTTCCAATGTCTGTATCCAAACTATGAGCATTCAGAATGCTGACAGTGAAATTACACTGCATTCATTTCAGCATTGTTTAATTTAGGTCGAGGTTTGTTTCCTTGAGCTTGTGGAGTGCATTCTTTTTTCAATAATTTAGCATTTAGGGATTAGGTATGGTTAACAGTTATGAGAGTTAGCGTCAGACCGAGATTTATGTGAGTTAGAATTTTAAACTAAGGCTAGGCTGCAGGTTATGGGAGTTAGGATTACAGGTTAGCTTTATGCTGGGGATCACAGATGTTAGGGCTATAAATTAAGGTTAGGTTAAGGGATTTGGGCATTAGGGTTAGAGTTTAGAGTTAGGCCAATGGTTGTGGGAGTTAGAGTTACAGGTTAGAGCTAAGCTAGGATTTATGGGAATAAGGGTTATATGTTAGCTTTATGCTAGGATTCATGAAGGTTGGGGTTACAGGTTGGTGTTAGACTGGATATTATAAAGGTTAGGTTTAGAGGTTAGGGTAAGACTAAAGGTTATAGGAGTTAGAATTAGAGCAATTTTTTGTAAATTAAATAGTTTGCTTGTCAGTTACTAGCTGTTATATATCCCCATCTTAAAATTGTAAAGTGGCGTAGAATGTCTTGGGAACACAATAGTAAAATGAATAATATTAGTTATCATAGTAATAAGCTTAAATACTAACTGAATTTAATACAATGGGTCTGAGAGTGCCTTAGATTATCACTTAAGGTGTGCATAATGCTCTTAAATAATAAAAAGGTAAAATGAAGAATATGAGTGTAGCAACAGGTACACATTTAACTTTCCTGACTCACATTCCCAGTTCTTCAAACAATAGCTCGATTCAGTGAATGGTGATGCAGAAGGAAAATAGGCAAATGAGATGATCACCCTTTATATGACCAGCCCAACCTTCCACATAGAAAGTTTATAACACCAGGATGGAGAAAGGTACAAAGCTAACAAGACCAAGCCTTGATAAAAGTAAAGACGTGGTAGAACTAGGTTCAAAGAACATGCTGGAAGAGCAGAGTAAGAATGAATGCCTTCCTGAATGGTTTCATGGACTCATGTCAAGGAGGTAAGTGAATACGTTCAATGAATTGTAAAGATTGTTTATGGTGAGAGATAGCCATGAACATCCAAAAATCAAATAATATCATCCTCAAGAAGAAACTGAAGCCACTCTGGGACAAAAAAACTAAATGATGAGTATTTTTTTCTTCTCGGCAATCACTTGAGCTTCCTTTCAGAATTATAACCTAAAAAGTCATGTCAGAAGAAGATGATCCATCTAGGGTTTTTCACTAAACTACGAATTCTCCAGTAGACCAAATTATTAGTAAAGAAAAAACAACCCACGAACATGGCTATTTCTTTTTTTTATTTTATATGTGGATATTTTGACCTAAAATGAGCAATACCCTAGTCAATTCTCTCCAGTTCCCAGTTTAGTAAATAATGTTGATTGTGTTTATATAGATCACTGGGTATGAGCACTATACTAATAATCTCTACAGAATTAATAACGTAGATATTTAAGATATTCTCTGAAGATCTAAAAGATTAAATGATTCTCCGCAGCACAGTACATAACAATAATTAAGTACTTTTATACTGCAATGCACAGTATAATTGTTGTAAATAATAAAATCCACTAAAAAGTATAATGATCATCGAGAATCTAATAGAATTTAAATACAGCTTTAGGGCCTGTAATTTCACACTCCAGCAAGTACTGCTCGTATTAGCGGAATATAGACACACATCTGACGGTGGTTATTGAATAGCCGTTGCTCCTGACACAGAGTGTTCATTTAGTATAACTATGCATAGTATTGATTCTTGTCATCTTATTGTATTGGAATGTAAAACCTTGCGATTGAGATTTTAATTCCCTTTCTCTTACAGAACCGTCTCTCTCTTTTTTTAATGTTTATTTTATTTTTTTATTATTGCATTTATTGTGATAGACAGGCTAGAGAGGACGAATGTCGTTATTTAGAAAGAGTCTTAACCTCTTATTGGTAAAGATAGTGTTTTTTGTTTGTAAAAAATATATGAATTATTTTCCTATATATTGAATTAAAATAAAGGTAAATATACTCTGTATTTTCTCTTTAAAATGTACAGCTACTTTATTTTACGTAGTAGCTCATCTGAACAAGCATATATAACTAGCATGAGACTGACCATAACACAAGGTATATATAATGGGTGGAGGGAGTGATTTTGGACTTGTCCTGTTGTTTTATCTCTGTTACATTGTTACATTGCTAATGATATCACAAAATAGTTCCAAAAGAGATTTTATTACCACTGCTTACTGCACAGAACAACGTGCGTGAAACAAGTGTACCAATTGAGTAGTTAAATAAAAGAAACATTATATAAAATACATAAAGGGTAATTAGACAACAACCATACAAAACAACCTTTGAGCCTTTGAAAGGAAGGTAAAACATATGTCATACCAAAGGTTGATTTAATCATATATTATAGTCATAACATGCTTACGTTGCCACTGTATAGAAACTCAAGTTTGGGAGATACAAACCTAATTTTTCTCTGTATTGTCTCAATTTTATATTCTTGGATAGGCTTTTCAAATGATTTCACATTTTTGAATAAACTTTTAAAATGATTCAATATTTTGTAAAATATTAAAAAATTTATAATTTTTATATATTTATATTTTTTATATATATGATATTTTTTTGATATTTCAATATTTTTTACAAAATCATTTGAAAATACCTTCTATTAAAAGTCAGAGTCCATCACATTTCAATTACAGATCGGATTAATAATAGGGGCATAATGGAAGTGTGAATTGCAGTAAATGCAGGTAATGTACTTTGATGATTGCTTATCATATTATTTATTTTCTATATTTTTAAAGGGATGCTGAAGATATTCTGAAAAACCAGGAGCTGGGCAAGTTTTTAGTCAGATTAAGTCAAAGGACATTTGGCTACATATTGTCATATAAGTAAGTTTACTGCGATAGAAATTTATTTTTTACTTATATGAACAGAAGTCCAATTATATTTCATTCCCAAAATATTGTGTGATCCTGAGATATTTTTCTCCACTTTCCAATATGTAGAGAGTTGTGTTGTGTTTCTAACCAATTGGGTTATTCACAAAAGTGAGAAATCAAAGTGAATTTCAAATTTAAGGTCAAAGTTCCTAAAATGGAAAACATTATTACTATTATTATTTTATTATTTATATAGCGCCAGCAAATTCCTCAGCATACTAACACAGTGTTCCCCAACTCAGTTCTCATGGCCCACCAACAGTCTAGGTTTTGTCAGTATCTCCATTGGAATAAAACAGGGAAATGCATAAATACGGAATTGTTGGTGGACCACAAGGAAATAACTCTGCAAATATAAAAAATTAGGCAAAAATAAATAATAATTTACAGCTCTGCTGTTCTACCCTAAATGTAAATGTCAGATTGCAACTCACTACAACTCATCAACTCACTGCTTAGTAAACAGACTCTTAAATATGTTTATGATTTTGTTAGACATCACTACTGTGGCGGAACCAGCCTCGCCACTGGTCATTGGAGAAGACTGATTGCCAGCCTCCTGCCAAGTAACTATGGCCCCTGGGATGTATTGCCTGCTCTCCTGTACTGCTGAGAATTGCTACCAACTAGGTGGATTTGGCTATGGAGCTTGTGTAGTGCCCTCTGTTGGTAGCAACAGTAATATGCACTACTTGAATAGCAAGACTGGTAATTTGCATATTCGGGTAGATTTGCATATCGCTAATTCTTCATGCAGGAGTGACATTTTGTGTTAATTATGGCCTTCCCCACCCATTTATAAATATGTAATTATGTTATAATAAGTCATTGTATGTTGCCTGCTATGATTTGACTGTTTGTAATTTAATTGAGTTTTCACAGCAATGTTAATGTAATGACCATCTGGGCTACTCCCAAGTAAAACAAATTTTTAAACAGTTCTACTTCATCCTCAGTTTGGAGTGCCAACTCTTATTGGGGGAATCTGCTTCAAAGGATTGTTATGCTTGTCTTACTCTCTTGCTAAATCACTACTAAGCTCTTGTAAGAGCTTGTTCCTGCTTTCCTCTCTGGAGGAGTTTACCGTGGTTATTATTTTGGCTGGAGTGCTTGGAGCTTTCAGGAAGTGCTAGGAGCATCCTTCAACGGAGGTACCCAGTTAGGGTACCTGTCGATCCGTTACATTCACTATGTTCTATGACACATTATTAAGGACATTATTGATACATGTATATTTACGACATCAGGATAGCTTAAACATATTTACCTGGCTGTATGGAAATTCTCCTCCAACTGACAGTAACATTCAAACACATGAAGAATGATTTCGCTGTGCTAGGCTGAGTTTAAACATACCTACTCTTATTATTTTTTATTCTTTCTATCTTTCTTACTGCTGACGATTGTTCCAATTATAGATCATAGCGTTATATTATTATTATTATTTTATTATTTATATAACGCCATCACATTCTGTAGTGCTGTACATTGGGTGGACTGACAGACATGTAATTTTAACCAGACAATTGGACATAAAGGAACAGAGAGGTGGAGGGCCCTGCTCAATGAGCTTACATTCTAGAGGGAGTGCAGTATAGTGACACAAAGGGTAAAAGTAGGGGTACGAAATAGGTTGTTAGAAAAGTATTCATTGAGGCCTTCGTAGGTAATTTTTGACAGTTGCAGGAGAGGAGTCATGGGGGGTGGGGGATAAAAACCTGCTAACAGTTTAACTGATATGCTTTCTTGAAAAAGTGAGTTTTCAATGATTTTTTGAATGAGTGGAGACTGGGTGAAAGTCTTACGGAGAAGGGAAGAACGTTCCACAGAAGAGGTGCAGCCCTGGAGAAGTCTTGGAGGCGAGCATCAGATGTGGGAGTACGGACAGAGGATAGAGGTAGGTCTTTGGCAGAGCGCAGGGGCCTCAACGGGACATACTTGTGTATTAGGGGGGATAGGTTGGTTGGAGCAGCATTATGTAGGGACTTGTAAGCAAGCACCAGAATTTTAAATTGAGCCCTATATTTAACTGGAAGCCAGTGCAGGGACTGACAGAGCGGGGAGGTGTGGGAGGTGCGAGCAGACGGGAAAATGATCCTCGCCGCTGCATTCATTATAGATTGCAGGGGTGCAATCTGGGAACATATAAGACCACTGAGAAGGGTATTGCAGAAGTCAAGGCAGTGACATTCATTATAAGGCTTAACCATTTGAGAGATAAGTATACACATGTTTTTATTTTCTCTGTTACATTTCAATGTATAATGCTATTATTGCTAATAATATTGTTATTACTGGTCTAGTGACATTTACACAGCAAGAACTATTTGCACAAATGTTGAAGCCGTACTTCCCATTCCCTCCCCACTACATATATAGATGTATATGTAAATGTATCAGTCTTTGTTTTGTATGCAAAGCAATGCAACAAGAACGTTAAACAAGAATGCAACAAGAATGGTGACATTGTTGCCTGAGGTTCAGTGGTCCAAGAGTGCATCCGTATGCCATTTCCTTTCTTTAGCTTCTGATCCTTCATCCACCGGAAGCCCACATCAGTGCTATACTCTCGTAGAGAAACCTTCAAAGCTACTTCATTAAGCCAAAAATGTCTTGGTACCTATAGCGTCCCTTTAAGGAAAAAAACCTCAAAATGATAAAGATCATTACAAAGACTATTTGTCAAAACAATAAAGCTCCATTTTAACCCTATCACATTCAGCAGCTCAAAGGGTTTAAAAAAATCACTGAAAAGGCTTTTCAATCTATTAAAAATAAGCTGAAAATGAGCAAAATGTTTTTACCACAAAATGTTTGGAAGCAATGTAACTAAACACAATTTATTGAATTAATCAAATAAAGGAACAGTATAGTCCCTCAAAACATATTTTTGCCAAATAGTTTTAGCTGTCTTTTAAATTTCAGGGGCTCCTTATTAGTAAATAAATAAATCAAATAAAAATAACTCATTACTCATCAATAATCCAGAACCGAGACAGCCTCTACTCTGCAGTCTGACCCAACTCCACACTTGTTATTACGCTTCAAGACCATTATGTCCAGTCAAATGCTTCTTAGTACAATGAAGTCATGCTCACAACAGAAAAGCTAGCATTGTAGTGAGAGAACGTTCAATGTCTTCATAGAATAAGCGAGGAAGATGAATATTTAAAACTTAGTGAGAAAGTATAAGATAACTTATCTCCTGAGTGGGGGTTAACCCTGAGTGAAAGGCATTCACTAAAAATGGACAACAGTAGACCAAAATTCAGGATAAATAGGAGTATAATGTAGTATCTTAAGGAGTGAAAGCCCTACATGGGCTGGGGCCAGGGTATGGAAAAGAAAGAGAACAGAAATTTAAACGGTGGAAATCCAACGCAAAAGTGTGAGTGTTAAAACTTAACTTTTCATAGATATATAGAATAAAAAAATTGGGTAGAAATAACCACCTAACAGCCCAAATCTATGTATACTATAAATAGATAAAAACAACTATCAGAGACCACAATAAGGCTAATGTAACTCTGGGGTGGAAAAGATTATCACCTAAACGGTGTGTCGTAGGTGAAGTAAGACACACTCCAAGATAAAGATCGATACCTACTCTATCAAAAGATCTAACAATGATATACAAATGTGATGGGTGTCTGAAGTAAAAGGGGAGAGGGGTCCTCCACCATATGGACAAAAGGTCCTGCCAATATAATATGTATAGGCTGGTTGGACCGATGTCCTAAGGGGTGAAACCAGCTGTAGAATCAGCTAAGTAGTAAATCCTAAAAAAGCACAAGGCTAGGGAAAATACCCTGTATCAAACTGTGCCTTTGAGGGCATCCCTTAACCAAAATACCTACTTAGCCCGCTACTATATGGGAATATTCCACCCCCCTCAAAAATTAAAAAGAAGCTAGATTAAGATCATAAGCCTAGCTTTCAAGTGTAATCACAGTTGTTGTGATAACCGCACTGTGTCTCAAGGTAGGCTGGATTAGTTGCTATATAGTTTGGTTCGTGGGACGTGTAATCACTCATAATGAAACAGTTAAGGTGAAAGTCGACAATTAACTGCTGATACAGTGGCTGTGGATAGCGCTTGTCAGTGCCCCGACGCGTGTTTCGCCACTTTGGCTCATCAGAGGGGAGATGAGCCGGAGTGGTGAAACACGCGTCAGGGGCACTGACAAGCGTTATCCACACCCACTGTATCAGCAGTTAGTTGTTGACTTTCACCTTAACTGTTTCATTATGAGTGATTACACGTCCCACGAACCAAACTGTATAGCAACCAGTCCATACATATTATTGGCAGGACCTTTTGCCCAAATGGTGGAGTACCACCCACCGTTTAAATTTCCATTCTCTTTCTTTTCCATACCCTGGTCCCAGCCCATGTAGGGCTTTTACTCCTTAGGATACTACATTATACTCCTATTTCGCCTGACTTTCGATCTAGTGTTGTCCATATTAAAAATTCAGTTTGACTCTCTTCTGGACGCAGAAGCACCATCTAGTGTACGTAATCCCGCAATGTAAACCTCTCTAAAGACTGTGACAGTGAACGAAATGGCAAAGACATTTACCAAGACCACTTCATTGAGATGAAGTGTTCTGGGTGCTTATAGTAAGAAAATAAACTACAAAGAAGCACAATTACCTCAATATGATTTAGAAAAATCGATAAAACAATAAATACACATATAGCCTATATTCAAAAGGTCCTTTTTGAACATGCTTAAAGGAACACACAAACACGTTTAGATTAAATTTGATTCTTCTATCATTTAAGATTAAGATTTTTCTGTCATTAAAGAAACACTCTGGTCACCATAACAACTTCATCTAAATTAAGTTGTGATGGTGCCAGGAAGTACCCCGGCACACTCTTGCCTTAAGGGGTTAAACCATTCTCGAATGGGATAAGCCTAAAGTTCGATTCCAGTGCCAATCTGAACAACAGGGGTTTCATTTCTCCTGCTCTTGGTCAGTATACCTTTTTTAATAGGTTTTTGCATTTAGCACTTTACTTACATTATGTTTTTGGTATTATAGCTGGTTTAGCACTATACTAGTGCTGGTTTAGCACTATACTATGCACTTTCTCTCTGCTATAATATCTTGTTGTATTTTCTATGCATGAATAAATACTCTTTTTATGTGCAATGCCGTGGTGTGCCTTGGGATCATTTCTTATTTTTTTTATTACATGTATATATCTGGTATGGGAACAGATTCTCTTCCTTTAAGAACACCCTGTACCTTATAAACCACACACTTACCACCCATTTTTCAGTAGAGCTCTTCCTGTAATTTTATGTTTGTATACCAATCTGAACATCCCTGAGGCGACATCCAGCTTCTGACTCTCCGGTACAGGGAGCGTGGAGTGCCGTCTGGCAGGGATGCTGCAGATTGGCTAAGAGCGATCTAAGCCAATCTGTCACCCATTGATAAAAAACAAACTTACCTTTTTTTTTTAAATCTAAGCTAGTGATTGGCTTAGAGCATCAGTTGACCGCTGTAAGCCAATCAGCAGTGACCCTGGCCGACGGCACTCAGTGCTTCCTGTCCCTGAGATTCCGAAACTGGATGCTGCCTGGGTAATTTGCAGATTGGCACTGGAGGTAAACTTTGGAGTTTAACCATTCAAGAATGGTTTAACCCCTTTACTGTATGAGTGCACCTATTTAGATGAAGTTGTTATGGTCCTTAAGGACCAAACTTCTGGAATAAAAGGGAATCATGACATGTCACACATGTCATGTGTCCTTAAGGGGTTAAACACTACTTTTCTGTGGAAAGGCAGTGTTTACATTAAAGCCTAAGGACACCTCAAATAGCTGTTATTCAGAGATCCACTAAAGGTGCTTCCTATTATGGTCCTGCAATTTGTGCAGGACTGATGTTCAGTGTCCACCAGCTCTGCATGATGTCGCTGATTTCTTCCCATAGGCATGTATTGGTATAATGCATCTTTATGAGATGCTGATTGGAGCAGCACGGTGATTGCGGCGAATGTGCAATACGCTCCGCAATACGTCATCAATGAGGTAATCAATATATAGGCAAGAGAGGGGCAGAGGACAGGAGACTTAAAGGTTCACAGGAATGGAATTGTGAATTATGGGGACAATCTGTCATGTGGTTGGCAACAATAGATCTGGGAGCGACCATTATGCAGGAGGTATACAAGCAGCCACAAAGATTGGCAATGTTATTTCTGGACCAGTTATGCTGATAATGACCCACTCTGGGACCTATGTGGCCTATTTTACCTTGAACTAAACCTGTTATTGGGTTCTGCGTGACCGAAAGGCTCTACATATTAGAGACCTTCGAGTCTCTCTTTGTTTACTTTATTTACGTGTTGAAAAACAATAAAATATTATTCACACAAAAAAAAAACCAAAAAGGCAAGAGATGCTTAGAAGTCCCTCCAAGATTAGAAATACATTTTTGTAGTACTCCGTGAACAACGACACGTGTTAAAAGTCCAGTCTTCAGTAAATACTGTCTTTTGAATTGTGATCACATTAGCATTACCTGTTAAATACTTGCAGTGAATTATAATCAGGGTGTGAACTGTAAAAATAAGTGATTTATTTCAATTATTCCCTAGATTCTCCATATGAGACAATAGGAGTCTAACAACATCTATTATAATAAGGCTTAATTTATTTTAAAGTGGAATTGTCATGTCTCTGGAACTTACACCATTGAATAAAATATTGAAAATCACCTATAACTTATTTCAAGAAACACACTTTTTTTTTTAAAGATTTTTTTTTTTTACAATTACATCATTATATAGTTCAGACAAGGCAAAGTCAGGGCAAACATTCCTAATGAATTAAACATAATATGAAAAATCCTGGGGAGTGGCCGTACCCCTTTAAGAAAGAAAAAAAGATTTATGACTTTTGAATGATCAAGAACTGAATGATAAATATATAATTCTTCTCTAGAACCATCGTCAATGTAACTTTTGCTAAATTACTCTGTGACATAGAATCTGTAATTACGTGCAATGGAAGGACTATGACTCTCTCCCATCACTGTCTAGGAAACTGTTGTGCTAAGTGCTCCCTGTTTAACACAGTTTGATTTCATGTTACATTTTAACGATGTTTTCCTTGTGAATTTCCTCCTTGCCGGATTGTTGTGTATATCTGCTCTCTCAGGGTTACAGTAACACAATTTCACTTTCAACTGCTAATGGTTTAGAGAATAATATTATCCGTGACATAGGAGACACTCAGACTGAGATCCCAAACTAACATAACAAAAAATAACTCAATGCCTCTGGGACAGACTGTAAAATAGCAAAGGAAGAATCTTATAGAGCCCAAGGATGTGGAAGTCAAACAGGTAACAGGATTAGGAACATTTCAGTACTGTTTCTAAAGGAACACTCCTCTCACCATAACCACGACAGCATGATGTCGTCATTATGGTGCCAGCCCCCCATATTGTAAGTAGTCATTCCATTTTTGAACAGTTTGAATTCTTACCTGTGCCTCTCCATGTCTCTACTACTTCAGACAGACAGCTGGAAGCTCTCTGTCTAAGCTAAGCTTGGCAGACCATTGCTTAGCTTATTGGTGGATAGAGTTCAGCTGATGGCTCTCCCTTAGTAGTAGTGGAGGCAGGGAGCAGGTAAAAGTCAAACTGTTTTAAAATGTTTAGCCTACTCGCAATCAGGGCCAGCGCGTCCATAAGACGGTACAAGCGGCTGCCTGAGGGCGCCAGAGCAACAGGGTTAAAAAAATCCCAAACCTTGGCCCCTGACCAGGTGCTCGAATTTTTTAAATACCTGCAGCCTACCTCACTCACCTTGCTTCACTGAAGCAGTCCACGCACACCAGAATGGTGGTGGAGTTGGCGGACCTCTTCTGATGATGTCAGGAGGAGTGTTTGACTTCCACTGCTCTTTCCCAGACTCCCCAGCAGTCATTGACTTTGTCTCCAGGTTCTATCATTCCAGTGGTGTTCGCAGCCACTCTAGAAGAAGATCCAGTTCCAGCACTGACTCCTCAGTGAGCTGCAGAATGCGGCCGAGTCGGCCACCCACTCTATGAAATATGATAACCTGGCTGCCCTTTCCCTCAGTCAATCTATTCACCAGGTCATGTGGACAGCCCTGCAGACCTGGATCAAGCTAGCCACAGGCTACACATACAGTATTCTGCTCTCCATTGCCTTGGAGAGCTGGGCAGCCAGCTTGGAGAGCCTCCCTACATTTTTGACAGCCTCTCCACTGTCCTGCATATAGCACTTTATTGAGCTCGAGGCTGCCAAGGCACTTGCCTTGAGCGGCACTTTCAAAAACCCCGACAAAAACCTTGTCAGCCTCGGGTGGCCCAAGATCTGCCCGGTTGGCTACCTTGGGGCCCTCAAGATGGTCAGCTGCTCTTTTTGTAGGTGGGCAACAAGGGAGCTAATCTCACTCATGCTCCCCACAGTGATGCCAGAGCCGGAATATGAAGTCACTCTGGTTCCCGGCAGCACTAAGTGGCACGCAAAGTTGCTAAGCAGGAAGGTCAGAGCTCCTTCGTCGCGTGCACTGACTACCCGTCTGGTAGTGAAAGGATCTCCACTGGACCCCATGGAAAGTGGCAGGGAGGTTGGGTGAATTGAAATTATATAAAAAAAATATTTGTGAGTGTGTCAGTATCAGTGTGTTTGTTTGTTAGTGAGAGTGTATATGTGTCTGTGAGTATGTGTGTGCGTGTCTGCCAGTGAGTGTGTATGTGTGTCTGTCAGTGAATGTGTATGTCTGTCAGGGAATGTGTGTGTGTCTGTCAGTGAGTGTGTGTGTCTGTCAGTGAGTGTATGTGTGTCAGTCAGTAAATGTGTGTGCGTGTGTGTGTGTCTGTCAGGAATTGTTTATGTGTTTCTGTCAGTGAACGTGTGTGTGCCTGTCAGTGAGTGTGTATATTGGTCTGTTAGTGAGTGTCTATGTGTGTCTGCCAGTGAATGTGTGTCTGTCAGTGAGCGTGTATGTGTTTCTGTCAGTAAGTGTCTTGGGCGGCACTTTCAAACGCCCAGACAAAAACCTTGTCAGCCTCGGGGGGCCCAAGAACTGGCCGGCTGTGGTCAGCTGCTCATTTTGTAGGTGGGCGGCAAGGGAGTGCTGTCCTCTGAGTTATGCTAATCTCACTTACGCGCCCCGCAGTGATGCCATAGCTGGAATATGTAGAAACTTTGGTTCCCGGCATCACTAAGTGGCACGCAAAGTAGCTAAGAATGAAGGTCAGAGTGCCCTCGTCGCACGCACTGACTGCCCGAGCGTAGTGAAAGGATCCCCACTGGAACCCAGGGAAAGCGGTAGGGAGGCTGGGTGGATTGAAATAAAACATTTTTTAATTATGAGTGTGTCAGTATCAGTGTGTGTGTCTGTCAATGAGTGTGTGTTTGTCAGTGACTGTGTGTGTGTGTCTGTCACTGAGAGTGTGTGTCTGTCAGTGAGTGTGTATGTGTGTCTGTCAGTGAATGTGTATGTCTGTCAGTGAATGTGTGTCTGTCAGTGAGTGTATGTGTGCCAGTCAGTGAATTTGTGTGTGTATGTGTGTGCATGTGTCTGATACTGAGTGTGTGTGTGTCTGTCGGGAATTGTTTATGTGTTTCTGTCAGTGAATGTGTGTATGTGTGCCTGTCCGTGAGTGTGTATATCGGTCTGTCAGTGAGTGTGTATGTGTGTCTGTCAGTGAGTGTGTGTGTATGTGTGTCTGTCAGTGAGTGTCTGTCAGAGACTGTGTGTGTGTGTGTGTCAGTTGACTGTGTGGTCAAACAGTGCTGGTTAAACAGTGTGTGCCAATGACTGTGTATCTGTCAGTGAGTGTATGTCAGTGTTTGTATCTGTGACGGCGTGTGTCTGTCAGTCAAAGAGCATGTTGGTCTTAAACAGAGAGAGGTGTGGCCTTGACAGGAAGAGGTGGGGCAAATTTAGATGGCAGCACAAAACTAAAGTACACTACTGACTGCAACCACCTGACAGCACTAGCAGCAAAGGGTGAATTTGATCATTTTTAAATATACCCTCTGCCCCTTATCCCTGTGCCTGTCAGGGCATTAGGGGGGCAGGGTGACAGGGGGCTAGAGGCTCCCATTGCCTGTCACTCTGTTCCCCTAAATCCCCTATCTCCTTCAGGCTTTGTCCCTCTGCCCCCCATGTCCCGCTCACTCTTTGTCATCATGTCCCACAAGCCCTGTTTCACTTGGTCCCCTTAATACCTGTCCCCTAGCCCTGGTTCACTCTGATTGACTAATCCCATGTCTCTGTAGCCCTGTTTGCCACTCTATCTGCCTAATCCCATGTCTTTCTAGCCATGTGTCACTCTGTCCCCACCCTGTGTCAGTCTGTCACCATAATTCCTTATACCCCTAATCCTTTGTCAGTCTGTCTGGTGGGCAGGGTGTTTAATGTTTAAGTTTGAAATACCTGACTATAAATTTCACTTTTAAAGGCGCAGTAAATGTGTCTGTAATTTAGTAAAACATTTTATTTTCAGTTGAACATTTTTAAATGATTTTGTGAAAATGCATGATAGATGGGAATGGAAATCACAACATGACACATGTGACCTGAGCCACTGTATGATCATGTCTTAAAAGCTAGGAACTAGTAGTTACATGTTAACTAGTCTCTGCTGCCATATGAGTTTTTTTACTGTAATTTTTTTTTTTACAGGGGGAAGGAGAGATGCCGCCATTTTCTGATAAATCAGTTAACAAATGGGTCGTTGGTTGTATCGGGCGATAACTATTCCCACAGCAGTCTACCAGCACTTATCAGTTATTACCAATCAGCACCTTTTGAACCTTTTGGAGAGAAACTAACTCAGTGTTATGTAAAGGTATGTTCTAAAACCCACCAATATTATTATTACTATCACCATTATATACATATATACAAACATGTTCCGCAATGCTTTATAACTGGTGTGATGCTCACGCCTGCATCTAATCACACCTGAGATCAATGGCCTTAGGTGCGTGACTTGATGATGTTAACCAACCTATTATTAAATAATAATATTATAAATAATAAAAATAATAATGCCTATACAAGGCTGGATTTATATTATAATCACCTGTACACACAGAACATTATTTCATCATTCTAGTGACGTGGGTCATTGGGTCGTGTTTAAACCCAGACCACAATCACGCCTGTACCCTGTCGTGGTCTTTCTGGTTACCGACTTTATGCTTGTATTGTTACTTGACTGATTTCTGTTTTCCCAGCCCTGACTTGTCTACTGTATAGTTGATCCTCTGTTTTCCTTAGACAGCCGTGTGATCCTGACTATTCTATTTCTGATCTTGTATGTTAAGGCCGCCCACCTCTAAGGATCTGTAATACGTTACTTTCCTCATTTATCTGACTAACGTAGGTTTGCTATTTGCTAACATGAGAATTCAGAAGTGGATTAAAAAAGCGAATTTCAAATTTAATTCCAAAATGGTTTAACTAGAAAAATTCTTCAAGTCAATTATGTTTCCATTTTGGCTATTTTGGAATTCATGTTAAGTTTACTTAGTGTCATTCACTAAATTGATAAATCATAGTGAATACAATGTGAATTTTATATTTAAAGGGTTAATCCAACCATATGTAATTATTTGAGGTGGTCATGGTGGCCGGAGTCTGTATGTCTAGTGTTTCAGCTTCAAATGATGCACGTATAGAGCAATCGGCACTTTGTGCTGGGGTCTAGTTGGACATCTAGCACAAGTGACTAAGACAGCCCAGAACTCTGTTCCGAGATTCCCAATGTCAATTCTGTGCGAGAATCATGTCTGTATTGATTACATGAGCTACTCCCTTGAGCTACTCCCTTGCAGGCAGTGTGGCTTTGCTCTCCCGTCCATATCTCCTCCTGCATTTCTTGTTTCGAAAAAAAAATGCCCTACACGTAATTGCTCATAGCGTGCACAGGTGCTCAGAGCTGGTGCAACAGGCAAGTCAAATGCTTCTCTTTGATTGGACGACACATGAAGTTGTGGAGAACAGAGCTGGGGTGGGAACTCCTTACGAATGTCCAATAGGGCATTGTACATTAAAAAAGGGGAAGACTTACATTTAGAGTAACACTTTACTATCCAAATAGCGTAAGTCAGCTATTCTTTCAGTTTGCCTATTCTGACTGTAAGTTTGAAATTTGATTTAAATCTCACTTTGTTGTAGGTTTCCCATAGTCCCCCATTTTTGTAAGTGGTTATTGTAGGTATCCCATAGGGAGAAGCAGTAATTATATGTTTCCCACTGGAGGATAAAGTTGCCTATGTAAACTTCCATTGATTGTTGATTAGTGCCCAGCATAGCAGTGGTTCAGAACCTTTTTTGGGCCAACACACACTTTAATGAAAAAAAAATCTTTTATAAATGTCAAATTTTCTTGAAGACTGATCGAGAGTATGCTTACTTCTAACCAAAGTTACGCAATAGTTTTAACTAATTGACAGTTGAAAATCCCATTTTTAATTGATAAACAACAAAGAGAGAACAGTGTTTCTATAAGCAGCTAGAGTAATGATATAAACAACTACAATTGCCTAATAATAAACATACACAGCTAAAATGGAAATTTCAATAGCAGTAACAATTAAGAATATAAATATACACCTCGTGCAACAAAGTATCAAGACGGAAACAATATATATTACAGCAACTACCTAGGATGAACTAGAGAACAGAGTAAATGTACTTTCATAAAAGAACGAAATGAAAACTAGGAGCATTGCTGGCATTTGTTAAAAGCACATTTTAAGACTACACACACCCCAGAAGTCTGCTCAGAGTCTCGAGCCAATACCATACAGTACAGGAGAATGATTTTTGATCTACTAAGTATGGGACCTTTTGCTTGATTTTACAAATTAAGAGTGGTTCAAGAATCAATAATACAGACTAATTGCAAGATGGGGGAGGTGGGTATTTTTTTCTGTAAATTGATTTTTACAGTATATTTACTGAAGGATATAATATGTAGACAGGGTTATTTGCTAAGGTGAGGATTGTTGGAACTGGAAGGTCAAAATAGTGAAACTAGGCTCCCAGTTTGGCTAATTCACTTTGAATTCTCGACAATTCTCACTGTAGTAAATAACCCTGACAAAGTATATTAGAAAAAATGCTAATGTGATGAGGTATATTATGTGAAAGTGTAGGAAAAAAACAAAGGCCAAATAGTAGTTCCCACAATGGAGATAGGAGTTAAAGGTACGTTGGGCATTCGGTCTATGCTTGGATGAGTGGTAACTTACAACAATGGGACGAATGTTGGGAAGATCACTTGAAGCTCACAGATTGTACGTGATTCTGTGTAGAGAGCAGCAGAAAACAACCACAACTCAAAATTTGAAGCCCTCTGCTGCTAGAGAGGCCTAATTGTTACTTGCCATGTCAAGCCTTGAGGGTCCATGAGACAAGCTCACCAGGGGTGAATGTCTACTTTCCAGGGAAGAATTTTCAAGCACCAGTGGCTAGTGGGTGAGTGGAAATTTTGAGCCCTGACGTAGAACTTTATCACAGTGTTAAATAGTTACAGGATTATTAACACAAGTATTTGTCATTGGACAGATACATGCTTGAGAATTAAATGACGATAAACACAATCATCTGTGGTAGAATCCAATGTCATCAAACCGAAATACTGTTTTGGTATGTTTCTTAGCACGCCTACCTTAACTAATGTAATTTTTCATTTACGATTTTATTCCCTTTAATAAGATAAATAACTTGTTTAATAAAATATATTATAGGATATTTGGTGTAAAAATCATTCCGTGAAGATGTTCTGCAATATTACCCAATTTGAGAAGCAAGTTACATATTTCAAGTCTTACTGTAGTGTGTCCTTGTCAAGTAGAATCTACAGAAAAACAGTTTGGTAATGAATGAGTTTCTTGTTCTACAGTTTTCTGACTACAACAGATATGATGAAATTAGTCCAGCAACAGAGGAACAGAAGAAATTGGATAGTACCAAACATGAAAATAGCCAAATGAAGATCCAAAATAGCCAGGTTAAAAACATTCGGTCCACAGCTCAGGTAGGATATTCATGCATTTTTTTGGTGCTGAGTTGTGACCAGAGATACATTTCACATTAGTCTTTATCTTTAGGGCAACTTGCCTTGACTTTGACTACTGTTCTACTAAGGTTCCTAAAATGTAATGAAAAAACATCTAACCGCCGGATACTAATTGATAATCCATCTAGTGGATCCATCCTGATAATTTTAACTTATGCCTCTTCTCCGTTGATTTGATTCCCTATGTCACTGTTTTGTTTCTGAGATACTATCTAAAGCTCCTTCCAGTAGAACCCTTTGCCAAAAATTTGTGCATGTGCCTTACACTACTGACTGCAACCACCTGACAGCACTAGCAGCAAGGGGTGAATTTGATCATTTTTAAATATACCCTCTGCCCCTTATCCCTGTGCCTGTCAGGGCATTAGGGGAGCAGGGTGACAGGGGGCTAGAGGCTCTCATTGCCTGTCACTCTGTTCCCCTAAATCCCCTATCTCCTTCAGCCTTTGTCCCTCTGCCCCCCATGTCTCTCTCACCCTTTGTCATTATGTCCCAAAAGCCCTGTTTCACTTGGTCCCCCTAACACCTGTCCCCTAGCCCTGGTTCACTCTGATTGACTAATCCCATGTCTCTGTAGCCCTGTTGTGCCACTCTATCTGCCCAATCTCATGTCTTTCTAGCCATGTGTCACTGTGTCTCCACGCTGTGTCAGTCTGTCACCATAATTCCTTATACCCCTAATCCTTTGTCAGTCTGTCTGGTGGGCAGGGTGTTTAATGTTTAAGTTTGAAATACCTGGCTATAAATTTCACTTCTAAACATAGAAACATAGAATGTGACGGCAGATAAGAACCATTCGGACCATCTAGTCTGCCCAATTTTCTAAATACTTTCATTAGTCCTTGGCCTTATCTTATAGTTAGGATAGCCTTATGCCTATCCCACACATGCTTAAACTCCTTCACTGTGTTAACCTCTACCACTTCAGCTGGAAGGCTATTCCATGCATCCACTACCCTCTCAGTAAAGTAATACTTCCTGATATTATTTTTAAACCTTTGCCCCTCTAATTTATCCTCTTGTTGTGGTAGTTTTTATTCTTTTAAATATAGTCTCCTCCTTTACTGTGCTGATTCCCTTTATGTATTTAAATGTTTCTATCATATCCCCCCTGTCTCGTCTTTCCTCCAAGTAATACATCTATCATTATATAGAATTATCATCTCCACATCAATTATTTGCAGCAGTGGGCAATATGCACAATATGTCTGTTTAAATAGATACTACAGGCACCAAAGCAACTTTAACTTAATTAAGTGCTTTTGTTGTATAGATTATACCCGTGCAGTGTATCTATGCACAATTATTTGCCATTTAGGAGTTAAATCAATTTGTTTATGCACTTCCAGTTTTACCTGCCCTGGCTGAGACTTACACAGTCTCCATGAAAAACAGGAACTTTAATCACACACAGGAGGCTCCAAATGGATCTAACATGTTATTAACAGAACACGAGATAAGAAATTCTAAATTAAACAGACTGCGCAACAAGTGAGAAAGGCATAAAGAGTTTGGAAGACAAAGCCAGTCGAGGAGTGAGGGAATGAGACATTATGTATCAGTTTCTTGACACATTTTCTCACCACATAAGTGCAATTTTTACTTTGTTTATTTTTTTGTTTATTCAGGTATAACAAAGATTTTGTTTTGATCTGTGTTTTAGGGCTGTGCACCACCACTACCAGAAAGAAAAGGCAATCAATACAAAGAGGAAGAGAAGAATATATATGCTGCCTTGCCTAAGAAATACCACCCGGACCCTAGTAAATCAGCATTAGCAACTAAATATCCAGAGGAAATGGTAAAAGAAGGGATGTATTCTCAAAGTAACAAAACAAATGTTGTCTACTCTCTCGCCAAGGAGACACAAATGAGTCAAAACAATTTTGTGAAGACTAGTACTCCACAAGTATTGTATTCTCAGGTTATGTTGGACAAGGGTTTGCCTTCAGCTTTAGGACATCTACAGAGCAATCCAAATCAGGAAATGACATCTTTAGGGACAATGTCTCCAAAGTCTAATATGAAGGAAATTTCACAGTATAAAGTTATGGAGATGAAATTTGCATCATCACTTCAATGCACTGACATGATAAACACATTTAGCAATGAAGCATCTAAGAACTATCTTCTGGCTGATGGGGTGGAAATGCCCGGAAGATCATTCTTGCATTCTGCCACCGTTGCTCAAGCTGGTCTTTCCAATACTTATGAACAGATACCCTATTGTACCATAAAACACATGGGTGACCAAATTTCAAATATTTCCGTTTCCTGCACCACCTATGATCAGATAACAACTCAAACGTCGAAAGAGCTGGTGACTGGAAACATGTACGAGAAAGTCCCTCTGCAAAACTCATCAAATGACAACACATATGAAATGGTTACCAGGAGTTTTTCGAAGCCCCCAGGGAAAAAGCCAAATGTGGTTAATAAGGTAAATGTATTTTTTTAAACTAACATTTTTACAATATTTACTTAAAGGGTTACTCCAAGCACGCATAGCATGCTGGCGACAGATGATCAATGGCGACATGCCTCCCTATGTGCCACCAAGTTCCTCCCTCAACCCATCCTATATATATAGTTACATATATATATATATATATATATATATATATTTGTGCTCGGAATTTAAATACGTGATGGATAGTAACTGTGAGCAAAGTTGGTTGTGGTGTGCCGAAACCAACGTACGAGTGGGCCTGTAAATAAAAGAGGGCCCACCAAGGATAATGTAGTTAAAACAGGGTGTAGGTGGGTGGGGACAATCAGCTGAGCGGCAGCGGTGAGTAGGGGCTGGGAGCTTAAGTAGGGGACTTACTCCTCCCACAAATTCAGGCCTAATGGCCTTTCTACTTGTGCTCGGAATTTAAATACGTGATGGATAGTAACTGTGAGCAAAGTTGGTTGTGGTGTGCCGAAACCAACGTACGAGTGGGCCTGTAAATAAAAGAGGGCAAAAAGATAAATTCGAGAAAATACACACTTTATTGCATTTTACAAGACCAAGTTTCTGAAAGCTTGGCGAAGCTCTTTCTCTGGTTGCGGAATATATGCGTTATATATGGAGGATTTCCATCGCCCGAGCCTTTTGATGATGTGGACCGGTGCGTTTGTGCTTGAGGCTGCTGAGGCGGCTCCTATGCGGAAGGAGTGCCCGGAGAATGCAGCCGGATTGTGTCCGAGCTTGGATAACAGGGTTCTGACATGTGACATTAATTTTGCCGTGGTAAGCGGGTGCCCTTGTAATGTTAAGAGCGGAGAGTCTGGCAGGTGAGTGCGAAAAGTAGACCGTAGTTGGTCGAGAACTTTCACCGGACACCAGGCATTATCAGTAGGGAAGAGAGGAATTATAGTAGGATGTATTGACCGGTTGGTTTTAGTGGTAGGGATAGAGAGGAGGTAGTGATCCTCTACCTTGGTGAGGTGTGAAGTTTTAAGGCATGTGCGATATCTCCTTGACAAATCACTGTGAACTCTCTAGGTCTGAGAAAACCGTAGAAAGCGAGATATATGGCAGATTTTATCACCGTATTGGTGTAGCTATCAAATGGGGCTGTGTCAAGGAGATTGCTAAGAGACCTGAAGATAGGCCCGTCTATGGGTAATCTAGTGCTTGCGAGTGGTGGTGAAACCTTAGATAGTGATAAGCACTCACGGTCTTATAAGGTTAAAACACAAATACAATATGTGCTGGCACTCAATCACGTCTTAGGTGCAGGTATTCGAGGTTAAACCCAGTAAAGCCTCATAATATTGAAAAACAAATAAATATTAATACCTCACTCAAGTCATATATATGACAAATATCAATAACAAACGTTAATAATAATGCAATAAATTTATTATTCCCTATAATATATAATGAATTCAAACCGTGTAATAGAAAATAGTATTTATGGAGGGTTTTGCAATTATTTGTAAATAGCTACTGTACATATGATGAAATGAATGCAACTGTATATACGATGAAATCAATCTATGAAAACCAACTGTAATCATTAATATATTTTTCAAAAGTAGGTTAAGGGAATAATAAATTTATTGCATTATTATTAACGTTTGTTATTGATATTTGTCATATATATGACTTGAGTGCGGTATTCATATTTATTTGTTATAAGGTTAAAAGTTCAAAGTTTATTGTAAATCCATTAAAATACGATTATATATATATATGAAACAGGGGGCTGCACTCACCTGAACATGCATAAATGGGGTGCTGCTGGGGGACAATTTATATAATACACAAGATCCAGTGCACTCACCTATCCACTAAACAGCAACTTCAATGTTGACAGATTTTATTTTTTTTAATTTTTTTTTAAACTAATCTAGGCAAAAATATATATATTTAACATTATTCTAAGTGTATTTTAATATTAATAATTATATAGATCAATATTAAAATACACGTTTAATAATGATTTATGTATGTGTATATAGAAGTACTTAGATCATATATATATATATACAGTTGCAAGAAAAAGTATGTGAACCCTTTGGAATGATATGGATTTTTGCACAAATTGGTCATACAATGTGATCTGATCATCATCTAAGCCACAACAATAGACAATCACAGTCTGCTTAAACTAATAAACACACAAAGAATGAAATGTTGCCATGTTTTTATTGAACATGTAAACATTCACAGTGCAGGTGGGAAAAGTATGTGAAAAGCAGACTGTGATTGTCTATTGTTGTGACTTAGATGATGATCAGATCACATTTTATGACCAATTTGTGCAGAAATCCATATCATTCCAAAGGGTTCACATACTTTTTCTTGCAACTGTATATATATATATATATATATATATGTACATATATATATATATATATATATATATATGATCTAAGTACTTTTATTTACTCTTCTAAACTTTTATTTAAGTTTTAGAAACTTTGTAAAACTTTTCTGCATGCATTAGAGGGACTGCCTGACAGCTCAGGCAGGCCCCCTGCAGGCACTGCACAAGCTGACTATTCCGGCAATGTGATCATGAGGACCCCACGATCACATGGCACGGGAGACCCGGATTGGGCAGTGGTGGTCTGCCTGATCTCCCAGACAGAACCCAGGATCGCAATCGCCGGCGGGGGATCGCCAGCAATCAGGTAAGTGCCGATTTACTATCGGACGTACCTTGTACGTCCGAGGTCGGGAAGGGGTCAAAGAAGTTACTATAGGCACCATGGCCAGTTCAGCACTTTTAAATGCTCTACACACCGAGTTTAACTGCCATAGGTGTAACACCACCTCCATCAGTGTCATTGGCACATCATTAGCCAGCCTTGAATTTTAGGCTCTTCTGGGATGGCTAATATCAATTTTGTGCATACTAGATGTCTTATGTCAGCATGCACAGCATAGTGGTGAAATGTTTGCCAAAGTCACACAACCCTCCCCTCCGTACTGCCCATGTCCTCCCTCAGGACATCCTCCGAAAGCTGGGGGAGAGACGTCAGCAGTCGACGATTGGGCTGGGTTAGAATTTGGCCCCTACGCTGTAAATGAGGTACATTTATGTTTTATTTTTTGGGAGTTGGGGACAGTATTGGAAAGGTTAGGGTGTCCGAGAGTTCCGGATTAGTAATTGATAATTCTGTGCAAATTTTGATGCACAGAATCTAATTATTGGCTGAGAGTAGTCAGCTGATTCTCTCAGCCAACGTATGAGAAGCATGATCAGAATCCGGCTTCTGCATGTCATTAATCCTGTTTTACAAGACCCTAGGCGCCAAGCATGACTAGGTAGGAGGGTTAACTTTTGTTAACGGCATCAGAGTAGTTCTAACATCATAACCACTACCAGGCTGACTGGTTATGATGGTTGGAGTAATCCTTTTATAAGGAGGTCATGGGAACTCCCGTTATCATGCACATTATCCCTAACAATATTTGCATTTTCTGTGCGAAACACATCCACCAAGGCAGAAATCATACTTGATGAAGTCTACCTCCCATAGCAAAGGATGTTAAAGGAAGAAATTAATTAAGTTTCCATGAATTTAATTACTTTTAATAAAATTGAGTCTTTTGTACACTATCCATGCAATGCCTGTACTTTCTATCATTTATTAATAATAGGTAGGTAGGGGTTTATTTTTTGGGGGATGGGGTGACTAGGGGTTTGGGGACCCCTAGTCACCTGGGCGGGAGGGGGGTTAAATTTGTATTTAGCGGCCCCACGCTCAGGGGTGGGGGCCGGGGGGAGGACATTAGGTCCCCCCCTTATTCTTGTTTAGGGCCCTCACCCACTGCTCAGGGGTGGGGGCCAAGGGGGAGAACATTAGGCCCTTATTCTAGTTTAGGGCCCCCACCCACCGCTCAGGGGTGGGGACAGGGGGGAGGACATTAGGTCCCCCCCCCAATTTGTATTTAGGGCCCACACCCACCGCTCAGGGGTGGGGGCCAGGGGGGAGGACATTAGGTACCCCCCTTTATTCTTATTTAGGGCCCCCACCCACCGCTCAGGAGTGGGGGCCGGTGGGGAGGACAATAGGTCCTCCCCCCCCTTTTCACTTTAGGGCCCCCACCCGCCACTCAGGGGTGGGGGCCAGGGGGGCAATAGGTTTTTTTTTTAAAAAAAATTTAACAGTGAGCAGCCACTGTTTAATAGACATGCCCCTACTCACAATATAGCGAGTAGGGGCATAATTTACTAATACTAAGTAATCTTTACTTAGTATTAGTAAATTTGGCTGAAAGACTAATTCAGGTAATTCAGCCTTTTAGTAGCTAGCTCTCTAATACCGTGGGAATTAGGGAGTTATCTACTTATTCATTCCTGTCATTACTTTGACTGGCCAAGTAACTTACATTTTATATGAATGTGTGTTACTTGATTGTTGTAAGTGTTGCAAACGCTTAAAGCTGAATGCTGGCTATGTTTGTATACCTTTTATTTAAAATTGTATACAATGTAACATTCTTCTTCTTTCACTGGGTAAGTATATTAGTACTTAGGCAATACTGTGCTTTGGAACTTTGGCACTTTGACACCTCGGAACTTCGGCAACTTCGGCACTTCAGCAATTCGGCACTTCGGAAATTTGGTAATTTCGGCAATTCGGGACTTCGGCAATTCAGCTATTCGGACATTCGAAGCACCCGAATGTCCGAATTACCCGAAATTCGGCTGAATTTTAATTCGGACCGAAACGAATTGCACATGTCTAATAATAAATATCTTTACAGTATATAGCCATTATCATGGGTATATCTACTTAAATAACCTTCTATGATTGTACTTGCAATGACATAACCATTAGTCCTATTTGTACACATCGCAAGCAAGGCTAACTGATGTTTATTGAATCTCGCTACTTTCTTCACAGAATGAAAAACAGAAAAGATTCTTTTTTGCTGAGAAGAAGAAATAGTGCCATTAAATGAAGATATAGGATTTAGAGCTAAGGACTATAATTTTTAAGTACAAATAATTTCATTTTCTTTGCATGTTAACTGTATTCACTCTCACAAATATTCAGATAAAAAGCTATTATATGATAATATGTACTATGTATCGTAACAAAAGAGTTAAACATTACAAGTGTTTTAGAATCAAAAATTTTAAAAATATTTGTTTTATTGTAAAGTATTTGGTTTATAAAAAAAACACCATTGGTGTATCGTGTCAAAGGTCCCTCACTACAGCTGCCTGATGCCTTATTGTGGAATATTGTGGACTACATATCTTAGAATTCTCTGCCAGTCTGGCTTTTTGTTTTTGAATTACATAATGGGAACATTAGTAAGACAATAGCTGAACAACCAAAACTGATCACCCAAGAGTTAAAGGTGTGTGATCCGAGTGGGGTTAGAAGGGGAGGGTTTGCAAAGGCAACAGACAACAGATCTGCAGCTTTTACAAGCTGTTTTTACATATACACACCCAATTCAAAATTATTAAAAATGCATGTTTTTATTAGGGTATTTTTAATTGAAAAAAAATAAATGTTTAATTACCTTTGGGAGAAGGGGGATTTGGAGTGTCCCCTTACGTGACCATGAGTCTGGGAAACCCAAGATCTCCAATAATACCAGCATAGCAAATACTAACTTTAAATTTGGCGTTCTGATTGGGGTTACAAATTTATTTATGAGAAAATATTTTTCAGTGACTGGAATACATATTTTTTTTTCTAGACACAAGGATTAGAATTTTAAAACACACTATTTTTCTCATGAAGGAAATATAAAGAGATAAATGCAGATACTGGTTTGTGTTATTGATAATTTGAAAACAAATAGATATGTTTCCGTATGAAGTCAAATGGACTTTGCTGTGTGACCTTCGAAGTGATTTGTGAGGAAAAACTGATTGCGCATTATCACTGAACTGCAAACTACTAAGGACAAGTATGGCATTAATGGTAACTTGGGTTTAGGGATGATTAAATGAAAGCAATCTTAAACAGGTGTTGTGTCTGACTGTTGGAAATGTAATATCTATTTGAGGGGTAAATATCAAAAACTTCAGGAAAGACCAAAAAACAGGAAGGGATGATAAGATGCGTTATCTATTCTTTGAATGATTAGACTTGGAAAAAAACAGAATGCCTGCTAACTTAGCCAAAAAAGGGCACCAGAGATTAATATTGTGCATGGACAAAAACCACTGGTTCGACCCAATCATTTTGTCCCTACATTTTTATTGATTCAGACATACTGAATTTAGTCCATGTGGCATTTTAGTTTGGATAAATTTAATCCGTGCGATTATTCTGGAAAAAATTATTATGACAAAACGCTGTCAAAAATTTACTTATTTGTGCATAGCAAAATATATACATAATATACACTGCTCAAAAAAATAAAGGGAACACAAAAATAACACATCCTAGATCTGAATAAATTAAATATTCTTCTGAAATTCTTTGTTCTTTACATAGTTGAATGTGCTGACAACAAAATCACACAAAAATAAAAAAATGGAAATCAAATTTTTCAACCCATGGAGGTCTGGATTTGGAGTCACCCTTAAAATTAAATTGGAAAAACACACTACAGGCTGATCCAACTTTGATGTAATGTCCTTAAAACAAATCAAAATGAGGCTCAGTAGTGTGTGTGGCCTCCACATGCCTGTATGACCTCCCTACAATGCCTGTGCATGCTCCTGATGAGGTGGCAGATGGTCTCCTGAGGGATCTCCTCCCAGACCTGGACTAAAGCATCTGCCAACTCCTGGACAGTCTGTGGTGCAACGTGAAGTTGGTGGATGGAGCGAGACATGATGTCCCAGATGTGCTCAATTGGATTCAGGTCTGGGGAACGGGAGGACCAGTCCATAGCATCAATGCCTTGACACACTCCAGCCACATGAGATCTAGCATTGTCTTGCATTAGGAGGAACCCAGGGCCAACTGCACCAGCATATGGTCTCACAAGGGGTCTCATCTCGGTATCTAGTGGCAGTCAGGCTACCTCTGGTGAGCACATGGAGGGCTGTGCGACCCCCCAATGAAATGCCACCCACACCATTACTGACCCACTGCTAAACTGGTCATGCTGGAGGATGTTGCAGGCAGCGGAATGTTCTCCACGGCGTCTCCAGACTCTGTTACGTCTGTCACATGTGCTCAGTGTGAACCTGCTTTCATCTGTGAAGAGCACAGGGCACCAGTGGCGAATTTTGCAATCTTGGTGTTCTCTGGCAAATGCCAAACGTCCTGCACGGTGTTGGGCTGTAAGCACAACCCACACCTGTGGACGTCGGGCCCTCATACCACCGTTATGGAGTCTGTTTCTGACTGTTTGAGCAGACAGATGCACATTTGTGGCCTGCTGGAAGTCATTTTCCAGGGCTCTGGCAGTGCTCATCCTGTTCCTCCTTGCACAAAGGCTGAGGTAGAGGTCCTGCTGCTGGGTTGTTGCCCTCCTACGGCCTCCTCCACGTCTCCTGATGTACTGGCCTGTCTCCTGGTAGCGCCTCCATGCTCTGGACACTACGTTGACAGACACAGCAAACCTTCTTGTCACAGCTCACATTGATGTGCCATACTGGATGAGCTGCACTACCTGAGCCACTTGTGTGGGTTGTAGACTCCGTCTCATGCTACCACTAGAGTGAAAGCACCGCCAGCATTCAAAAGTGACCAAAACATCAGCCAGGAAGCATAGGAACTGAGAAGTGGTCTGTGGTCACCACCTGCAGAAACCACTCCTTTATTGGGGGTGTCTTGCTAATTGCCTATAATTTCCACCTGTTGTCTATCCCATTTGCACAACAGCATGTGAAATTGATTGTCACTCAGTGTTGCTTCCTAAGTGGACAGTTTGATTTCACAGAAGTGTGATTGACTTGGAGTTACATTGTGTTGTTTAAGTGTTCCCTTTATTTTTTTGAGCAGTGTATATAATGTATATACTTTGCACAGTGGCGTACACAAAACCCATGGGGCCCTGGTGCGAAACCTGATCTGTGGGCTCCCCCTCCATGCGCTTACTCTGGGCGGGCTGGGGCCGCAACACATGACGGCGGGCACCTGGTCACAGGGGTCGCATGGCTGCGACCCCTGCGACTGCGGTATGTACGCCAGTGCATGCAGATACACATACACTTAAAGGACCACATACACTTAAAGGACCACTACAGACACCCAGATCACATCAGCTCAATTAAGTGGTGTGGGTGCCAGGTCCCTCTAGTTTTAACCCTGCAGCTCTAAAATCACAGTGAGAAGACGCTGAACGTCCATAGGAAAGCATTAAGTTTGAATGTGTAGGCGGCTCTTGCCACGCATGCACATTCAGAGCTGAGAGGCGGATCGGGGCGGAGTGATCCCCAGCGCCAAGGGAGTCCGGCTCTGGAGAAAGGTAAGTGCTTAAGACACACACACACACTCTCACGAACAGACGCATACACACTAGCTAACAGACACACACATTTACTGACAGACACACACTCAGTGACATACATATACACTCACTGACAGACAGACACACTCACTCACTTACAAAACACACACTCACTAACAGACACACACAAACTAACACACTCAGTAACAGACACACAGTAACACACTCACTGACACACTCTAACACTAACACACACACACACACTCTAAAACACACACACACACTCTAACACACACACACTCTAACACTAACACACACATAGAATATTTTACCAGATCTTGCTTGGATATTATATCATTAGAAAACTTTAAAGCTCGGATCTCTGTAACAGTTAACCCATGGGCTTCAGGATGGGCCTCCAGTGTTCAATGTCATGATCACAACAAGCAGGGTTCTTTAAGAATGTTTCTTCTTTAAGAACCCTGCTTGTTGTGATCATGACATTGAACACTGGAGGCCCATCCTGAAGCATGATATAATATCCAAGCAAGTTCTGGTAAAATATTCTATTTGCATGTACTGAGTGCTCTCACCATTAATTCTGTTTTTTGCACTATGCTGATTTTTGGTGTGTTAGAGTGATTCACACTAGGTGATAGTAGCACCACAATTTATACTTTGTTTTCCTAATCTTTTATTCTTAATACTAACACACACACTCTAACACTAACACGCACACTAACACTAACACACACACACACTAACACACACATACACACACTCTAACACACACACACGCACTAACAAACACACACACTCTAACACACACACTAACACACACACACGCTTCCTGTTCAGCTTCCTCGCGCGCTGCGTACTGATGCCGGGGCCGGAATATGACGTCATCTTCCGGCTCTGGCATCAGTGCGGTGCATGAAGGAGCTGAAGAGGGAGCACACAGGGGAGAGTGCTCCCTCGCGCGCCCGCCAGATTGCCCTCCGGGTGACACCAGGGCCAGCCTCGGGGGGCCCTGAGGTGGCTGGCCCCTGGGGCCCCCAGGAGAAGAGGCTGGCCACACTGGCATACAAACCGGGTTGCAAGGCGGCTGGGCCACCTGGTGGGCCGGGCCCGGTCACACCCGCGACCCTGTTATGTACGCCACTGACTTTACAGTACATTAATAGGCACATTTATGTGCCATTTGGTTCACAGAAAATGTGAGAAGAAGTAACCAAATATAAAGATAGATTTTTTTTAAATGTTTCTACTTTTTCCCCGCTATTGGTTACTTCTCAACTGATCTCTGAAGAAAATCAACATTTAGTGGCTCTCCCCTAACCATCAATCATCATTTTTCGTGGTGCCACGGTTGAATCTCAAAACCAACAAATGAAACGGCTCGTCCATTGCCCGTTTTGTTTGTGTCTGGTGATTTGGTCATACGGAAATTCAAAGTTGCAGTATTTGGACGAACTGGGATTTGTTTCAAACCGAATGCTACATGAAATTCTATCAGAGATCGATGTAAGTAAATAACTAGTCATGGTCTGCATACCAGAAATAAGTGTAACTGGCAAACTAGCTAAGGACAAATTATTTTGGACTACGGATAAGACATGCTAAGGATCAACAAATAATCAAGTCTGATAAAACAGACCACGAGTCACAACAAGAACATAGAAAGCAGCTTTAGAGGCAATCGTCATATGGCACAAGCAATGCTGGTGGCTAGCTAGCACCCCTATATGGCCATAGAGGTGCCTTTTTATATAGTTCTTAAAAGTCATGCTCTGTGAATTAACTTGTTCAGAGTCAGAACTTGCCCTGACTCATCGTATTCTCCTGCTTAAGACCTTTTTTCATTTAAAATAAATACCACAACATGGGTTTATCCAGGTAAATATAAATATTAAATTTTGCTGCAAACAGCAATTGAGGTGGCCCAGCATAAGAGAATGGATATAGCACATGAGCAGATATTGCATGGACCAAGTGTTAAATAGAAAAGATAAGTATTTTTTAAAACGTATTTGAAAATATTTCAAAATTAATCACATAAACCAATATGGCCACACAACCTCATGACATATAGGCTCCTTATTGAAGATGATAAACTGCTCCCTGTAAACTGGGTGGTTTTATAACATATTATCTCTTTCTCCAAGGATTAGAGTGAGTATAGTGTGAGTGACATGGGTTGATGAAAACTATTTAACCCCTTAAGGACACATGACAGAAATATTCCGTCATGATTCCCTTTTATTCCAGAAGTTGTGTCCTTAAGGGGTTAAAAACAATTTATAGAAGCTTGATACACAAAGACATGCTAGACAGGGAACCAACTACTTGAGCAGTTCAAACCCTAGCTTCCAAGCAAACCTTTACAGTACAAGTCATAATACATTATGTTACTTAGAAAGTTATTGTATAGGGGTAAAACACACATTTATTGAAATATTTCAAGCCCCTCCAATTCTTACATACCTTCATATAAGACATAATCTCTTGGAAGAGTCTAAAACGTTTCCCATTAGAATACACTTAGTTATGGGTTCGAATAATTTAACCTCTTAGATTTTGGGGACATGTCTTACTGTTCCCCTGCTATGTTTACTTTAAATTCACTACTAAAACATGTTACAGTGCAAATGGAATAAATGTCAGCATATAACATTATCTTTAGTGATGTCCCGAACGGTTCGCGAACGGTTCGCCACGGACTCATCATTGAGTAAACTTTGACCCTGTACCTCACAGTCAGCAGACACATTCCAGCCAATCAGCAGCAGACCCTCCCTCCCAGACCGTCCCACCTCCTGGACAGCATCCATTTTACATTCATTGTGAAGCTGCATTCTTAGTGAGCTGTCCAGGAGGTGGGAGGGTCTGGGAGGGATGGTCTGCTGCTGATTGGCTGGAATGTGTCTGCTGACTGTGAGGTACAGGGTCAAAGTTTACTCAATGATGAGTTCGGCGAACCATTCGGGACATCACTAATTATCTTGCTTCAGTAGAATGAATACAATTTTAGTGCTAAGATATCTTGTCACCGTGTCTAGGCTTTTGCTAAATACCCTTGCCATTTGCCAACGTTTCCAGGGGAAATATAAAACTTACAAGATTACTTACTAAGTGGGGAATTTAAAGATAATTTCAAAGTTAAGGTCAAAGGAGCTTGACATCACAGCTAAGAAGTCACATTAAACTCTCACTTTTGTCAATATCCCTGTTAATGTTTTCTGTTGCAGCAAATATTTAACGTTCCGTAGAGGAGATTGTAATATGAAGACTGTCAGATGTTTGCAATGTCAAGGATGTGAAAACAAACACCACTTTGATATACTAATACTATAAATGCTTCTCAGCTGTGCCGAATAATGATTGATAACGCGCAATACAAGCCCGAGTTTCAGTGAAGTATAAAAGAATATGTAACTTCTAAAAAAAAAAAAAAAATATCAACAGACAGTGCTTTACAATATATTTACTTTAAATGCAATTCGTACTGCAGCAAAACATCATCTTCTAATAGAAATATACAGATACTTAATATGATTAAAAAAGGCACCATGTTTTTTTTTTTAAAATGGGATACATTTTAATGTTTTCTAGAAACATCTCCCGATCAATAATGTCCTTTAAAAGTTCACATATTGGTCACCTTTGAGGCACCAGGAGTTTTTGGCCTCCATTCTTGATGTCCATAGGTCTGGGAGTACTTCGTGAAGTCCCATTCTAGCCCTTTCTTATTGAAAAACAAGTGTACTGACCAGCAGCAGTCTTGAGTAGGCTGGCCAGTTGGTGTTCATGAAAAGTAATGATCAAGTTTAATATTGTTTTCCGACCTTTCTTCTGAAGTCATTATATAAGATGTTAATAGGTAAGAGTAAGCATAAATCACTCTGAAAGTAGATGTCTCAAAAGGGGCACATCCGATCCTAGTCACATTAAAAGCTTAAAACATATAGGCCTTTGCATGTTGGTTATGCGGTCATTTCGCTTTTGATGTGCTTTTCTGCTTCTGTTACATTATGTCCGCCCCGTTTCATCCATTTTATCGTAACTTGCTCCTGAGACATGTTACAAAATGGCAGCTATTGTTGTATTTTCCTGCAACGGATTTCACATTTGTCCCTCCATGTTAGGTCCGAGCCCTTACTAAAAATGATTTATGACTCATATACCGTATATATATTCCATATGTTTTGTTCCAGACATATCTAAAGTGAAAAATGCCATTGCGCATATTTTGAATTTAAAAATAAAAATGGATTTTAAAGACAATGCTGAAAAGGTAAATATTTTCTCTTTCGTGTATCACTTTTTTAGAATACACAGGTAGACGGCACATGGGTGTGAAATGTGCCATTGATCTATGTTTGTACAAATCAAAGTATATGTTCTTTACAACACACCTAAGGCCTCTTATTTCTCTCTCTTTCTCAACTTCAGAAAAATCAGTTGTAGTCCTCTTTTTGTTTATTTAATTTTTTTGCTTTAATTAAAATTTTAAAAGTCATATACATATAAAAAAAATTCAGGAAAATGCATCCATTCATTTCGGTAAGATGTCAAATCACAGGTTCTATCCACAGGTGATGAGCTGTTTTTTGCATGTTTGTTTTTTGAGGCTGGAGGCCCTTGGATGCCTGAGATTGAGCAGTCCTTGACAATCAGAACTTTGAAATTACAACAGCTTCATATCCTGATATGGAAAGTACTGTAAAAGAAAAGGGGAAAAATTAACATCAGACTGTCAATATATTCATTGTATAACTATAACTCTTTTACTATGAAAACCAATGATTTTTTTTATATAAAAAAAACTAGTCTGATCTCTCAGGATTGCAGATGGCAGCCGTAAATATTTCAGACGTTGCTTATCTTGTAACGTTATGCTCTGTTGGCTGAGATCACGGAAAATATAGTGTGGAATTGCTTATTGCCAAGAATCTAAGAATCTTTTTTTTTTTTAAGTGACAATCAATAGGACTTGGCCTTTGCTGTGGTCAATTCAAGCAATTATGTTTGTGTTGCGTGTTATTGTTAAGGAACAATAATTTACCTGAGAAAGTCCGGCGCTTTTGAAATCATGTTCTCGAAATCTGCAAACGCCAGTTTTCCATCTCCATCCATATCTGCCTCCTCAATAACCTTCTCACACACAAGAGTTACTTCCTCCTCCTCCAGTTCTTCTCGTGTCAACTTATTGAGTGTTTTCTCCAGATCCGATTTACAGATAAAGTTGTCGGTGTTGAAATCTTAATGAGTGAAAAGAACAAAAAACCCCAGCACATGTTAGAAAATCTAGATTGGAATTTGGTCATACCCCAATACCAACTCATAACAAAACCCTTTAGGGTGTTTGATGGGTAACAAAGAACTATAAGAGTATTTGTAAAAGACCAGAAGTTTAAATTAGTTTAACTTTGCCTTATTGATTCACAAACACATTAAACGGAGAACCTCTCATGATCAAGGTCAACTGATTGAAAATAATAATGGCCTTGACCTATCTGGACACATTGTTATCTCTGGGTTCTATAAAGATCTCAGATTTTAACCATCTAACTTTCATGTCAGGTTTTCAGTATATTACCGTAGATCTTGAAAGCATAGATTGCTTTGAGCTCCCGAGGTGCCATCTCACTCATCACCGACAACATGTCAACAAAGTCGTTGAAACTGAGGTTTCCTTCTCCATCCTCTGAGAAGGCTTGCACAATTCTCTCCTTGAAAGGATTTTCCTGAAAAGAAAAGAAGAGTTGGTTGTTTTTTGTTATATGTCGTAGAAGTTTAGGAGGCACTTATATAGGACACCCTGTGGAATGCAGAGGCATATTTCATTCTCACTTCATGCTTCAATCCCACACTATATAGCTCCACTCAACCTGGTCCTGGGGTACCAAACAACCAAACAGCACAAGGTTATATAGATGTAAGCACAACACTACATTAGACAAAAATCAAGATTAATAAAGTGAGCATGAATTTTAAATTATACCCTTAATTACGGTATATGAGATGCGCTTTACATTTTGATGACTACAGGCAGTAAGGGTGATGATAAATGTTAGTTCTTTTTTTTGTGGTTGGTAGATCTTGGGAAGTGTCAATCCACTATTCTAACTGCCTCTGAATGTTTGCCCCCAGGAAATCTTTTTAAAGGCATCCAGTCAGTTAGCTGGATTGAAGCAAATGCATTTCTGGATGAGCAAGAATCAGCTAGGGTGTATCCAAATATATAAGCCAGGAATATGTTTACACAACAAGCTACCCTGAGGCACAGTAAAGCATTTTGAACATTTTATTCCCATGTGCTTATCCAAAAGCCTGGGGGGGAACGTGAACCCAATATAACCTCGAATTGTATCCATCGCTTACAAATATGAAAAACAATGTGCCATTGAATAACAGGGACAAGAACCTTTGCCAAGTTGATGTAGGATTTATGTACCCCTCCTAAGCCTTCTCAGCCCTTCCGAATATTCTGTAGACTGTGAACATTCCAGATACGACTTGCATCTACACCGTCCCTATCTTTTTACCCACAACTTTTCATACACCCCTTTCAACGTAACACTTTCCTTAGCAAATGATTCCCACCACTATACTATAGTCCTTACATGTCATTAAAATGAGTTCTAGTATTTTTGCCCAACATTTTGCTAATCTTTGTAATTTTCACTATTAGTGCTATTTATGTTTAATTGAAGCATTGCTGAAAAACAGAATCGCTAAAACAGTGCTAAACAATGTATCGCAAGGTTACATTTACTTTGTCAGCAGACATTCGTGAAAGGGAAAAAAAAACGAATGTGGCCAACCCATTTTTGCTGCAGTTACATTTACCCTTTAGTTAGCTAGTTATTTGCTCACCATGAATAATTCTATATATTGGATTTAACATACAAACCCAATCCATAACGGGAGTTGCTTTTCATGCTTTCCGACCAAGGATTAAAAAAGGTTTAAAATAACCAACGGTCATTTATAAATCCATAGCTTTATTTATACAGAAAAAGCTTTTATTTTTTAAATTAGCTGAGCATTCCTAAAACTATTGATGAACGGTTTGGTTTATATACATGGGCACAACCTGAAAACATAACTGGTAAGTGAAACTATACCCAAAAATTGGACAAAGATTTATATCCAAAACTTGTGAAGATTTAATGTAAATATGTAACATTAAAATCAATCAAAGGCATTCATTTTCTAAACGATAGGAAACAAATATACAGGTAAGCAGGTAAGTGGAGTCCATAGATGAATCTATGTAAAATTAATTTTTCCATCCAAATATTGATTTAGTCAACAGTAAATTAGGAGACGTAAGCCTTGTTGATATTTCCTATGTATTGGTCGTTCCATTGATGACAGAACTTTTTTCCAACTTATTGTAATGGACAACTAACAAAAAAAATGTTGTCCAGCAGGTATAATAATGTATCTTTTCCTGACAAAATAAAAAGCTTAAACTACTACCACTAATAAAAATAACAATATTGTTAAGTAATTTCTCCAGAAAAAGTATTTTTAACTTTTTACTGGTGTGACAAAGAGGGTAACGCAAACGAGATGACACCTAGTAGTTAATACTTACCATCAGCTCTGGCATATTAATAATTAACTGCATGGGCAGTTTGACATCTGGATCATTTGTATAGTCCATAGGTACCATATTTGGAGCCAGCTCATAAAATCTCGCATGCAATCTGCAAACAGAACAAACAATTGTAATGTATAAATTATAGATCACAGCAGGAATTCAGAGACGTGCCATAAAGTCAGTAAGTATCATACACCGGAGTGTACATGTGGGTAAAGGTAAAGGAAACATGGACCAATAGATATATTATAACATTTAGTCTGCTTTTATTACTTTTGTAAACTTTCTTTTAATAAGTTTAACAAACGTTAGAATCTTGAAGTTAAAGTAACACTATAGTCACCTAAATTACTTTAGCTAAATAAAGCAGTTTTAGTGTATAGATCATTCCCCTGCAATTTCACTGCTCAATTCACTGTCATTTAGGAGTTAAATCACTTTGTTTCTGTTTATGCAGCCCTAGCCACACCTCCCCTGGCTATGATTGACAGAGCCTGCATGAAAAAAAAACTGGTTTCACTTTCAAACAGATGTAATTTACCTTAAATAATTGTATCTCAATCTCTAAATTGAACTTTAATCACATACAGGAGGCTCTTGCATGGTCTAGCAAGCTATTAACATAGCAGGGGATAAGAAAATCTTAATTAAACAGAACTTGCAATAAAGAAAGCCTAAATAGGGCTCTCTTTACAGGAAGTGTTTATGGAAGGCTGTGCAAGTCACATGCAGGGAGGTGTGACTAGGGTTCATAAACAAAGGGATTTAACTCCTAAATGGCTGAGGATTGAGCAGTGAGGCTGCAGGGGCATGTTCTATACATCAAAACTGCTTCATTAAGCTAAAGTTGTTCAGGTGACTATAGTGTCCCTTTAATATGTTCTGTTTTACATGAACATTTCTGGTACACCCTTCCTCAATGTATCAGTACCATGTTAGACCTTACGACTTTTAGATGGAACCTAAAGGCCTAGCTTATTAATTAAGGCATTGCCCTACATCACCCAGAACCCTTCTTTTTTATTCCCAACGCTTCCAGTTCCCTATTCCAAGTCATGCTCATTTTAAACTCACAGAAGAAGGGATAACATTGCTTATCCACTACACTACTTCCTTGATAGACATGGCTATATAGACGGCTAGTTGGTGGGCAGACACACATAAAATTAAAAAGCAGTACAATCTACGTATCACGTCAGATGATGATACAGTGGCTTTTTTTGTTGCACACAAACAGTTACGGGACTGTCAGATGATGGTGAATATATCCTTAAAAAATGTCTCATTAAACCAAGAAGATGGCGTGTGATGGAGACAGATTGTTGAAGCAACATGCTAACAGGGCTGTTTATCTACAAGAAGAGCTTATGTCTAATATTTACTTAGGAGGACATCCAACTTGCTACCTGCCATCAATCTGTCTGCCAATCGCAGAACATGCCCTTGAAATAGTACTTAATTTTCCCAGTAAAGCCATAAACAAGTGTGACTGATGCTCTGCATTTAGCGATGACAGTATACATCCTGAGCTGACTTCGCAATATATAATGGAAAATGTATGATGTGCAAGTTTGTATCTCCTCATTTTCAATAACATGGTATTTATTGGTAATGTCAAGGTCTAAAGGATGACTACGGAATGGCGTTATCTTCATTTCAGGGACATCAATTTGATCTTTTGTGATTGGTTTAGGGTTAGGTTTACATACTGCAGGCTGCAACTAACATTGTGAAACATGCACGTCCAGGGATCAAATCTATGTGAATAAACAACCGTTTCAAAAGTTAATGGAATGCTGACTTACCTAAGAATTTCTTTCCTTGTGAAGAAAGAACAATCCTAAAAAAACAAAACAAAAGAAAAATTTAAAATGGTGTCATTAAAGGACAACTCTCATGAAATTGTCACTTTGGTTTTTTTTTTAACAGTTCTTACATTTAATAAAATTCCATGATATTTTTTTATTTATACAAAAAGTATATTGATTTTTTATTTTTATTTTATTTGTTTTTTTACAAAATTTTACTTTTTTTTTAAATTTGGCTGAGCAGCCATGTTGGATCAGACTCTATAGTCATATCATATTCTATGATATATTGATAACAAAAAAAAACAGTTTTTTGATAACTTGATGACTAGTGTCAAATACTATAATAATATGTATTAATCTACTGCAGTTAAAAAACAAAACAAACACCAGCCAGACATTATTTACCACATACTATCACTATTACTATTGAAATTAAATTCTGATTAAAATATATTGTTTATAACTTGTTTGAAGGCCAGCTTTTACTGTACCATCACACGAAAAAAAAAAAAATAGGAAGGATCCAACCACATACCGAATAACCAAACAGAATTGGGGATATTTGGGTACATACAGAATCAAAATAAAGAAATGAAAACCTGGTATTATTTTGTCAGTTTATTCATAATGTGACCCCCCTCGGGCACACCATTGTAATTAATTGCTTTGGCAGAAAGGTAGGTGTCATGGCACAGGTCATAAGTACACATGACTGTATCCATGACAAATCCGCACAGATATCATGAGGGTAATCATGTGTGTGTACTTATTCACCACAGTAAATCCTTTGAATATTTCTGCCTGAGGAAGTTAACAATGGAGGGGAATGCATAGCTAAATTAAACGGCTTTAATTTTACAAGCAATAGATTTTTTAGTCGTTGCTGGCATAATACTGATATTTTATCCAGGTTTTTTTCAGAAACCTACCATAAGCCTTCTTCAAGTATTTAGAAGATAGAAACATTAATTTGTATAATACCAAGGAACAATACATTTGTTATTCTCTTCATAGAGTGCAACCTATAGGTAGATCGATTGATTAGCCAACTGTATTTCCTTCAGAGGCAGCTGATTCTAGAACATTCCAAAGTCCTATTGATAGACAATTCAACAAGGAGTGCTTGACCATCACCCCATATTTACAAGGCAGCAATCAGAATTAGAAATATTTTCAAAGTACATCATTATTAATCTTTACCATTCATCCAATACATCCAAGGACAAGGGGGAGTTATATTATTTAAATATTAATTGATGAAAAGTGGTACAAAGTTTTAAAAGAGGGGCAGTAATTATCCAAACCAATAGATCACCTCGAACATTCCACGGGTGATTACTCAACTTTGCATTATTTTTACCACACAATAATTTGATACATGTTCCCTTTAATATCTCCAATTAAAGGCGCAGGGCTGCTTTCAGAAATATCGGTACCAGTACACATTTAAATTGCTTGTGTTCTTCACTTGCCTCCTCTTGTGGTTGACAAATCAACTATGAGTATGCTATGGTAAGTGAACACTCCAAGCACCATAACCACTAGAACACCCTGCAGTGGTTATGGTGCTGGGAGTGTCATGGCATCCCAACAGTGTAAGTAGTCAAAACCATTTAGTAACGGTTTGACTTCTTACTTGGGCCTGAAGAAAAATGCAGTGGAGACAGGAAATGGAGCCAGTCAGACCTTAGATAAGAAGTCAAATCATTACAGATAGTGCAACACAGTGTATGCACTTGCACCGCAAATCCACCTTAATAAACTTAATACGTTATATAATTTTTTCTGCCACTTGGTACTAGAATGTAATTACTTTACCCACCACTGTGACATGTTAAAAGAGCTAAACTGGAATTCCGACACACTCTTCATCTTTCCAGCCTTGTGCATAAGAGCATTTATGGGACGTTCCCACCCTACCTGAGTAGAATGCTACCCCAGCTGTTCCCACCTCCTATAACCTCCGCCCCAGTACTAGCACGATATAATAAGCATACTGCAATACAAAAATAAAGTGTCTCGATCCTCCTTTTCCTACAGAGCACTGCAATTATGGAATAACCTCAGGGACACAGTCAAATCTTTATTCAATCTAAAATCTTTTAAGAGATCTATGGCAATATACCTCAGCACAGAATACACCTGTCATGGTTGAATATATTTATTACATGTTATGTATTAAATTTATATGTGTGTGTGTATATATATATATATATATATATATATATATATATTTTGTATATTGAATTTTTTTAATATTGTATGCTATTGTAACAATGCAATGTTTTGTGGACCCAGGGCATAATTGGAAACGAGAGAAATCTCAATGTATCTTTCCTGGTAAAATATTTTATAAATAAATAAATTACAAGGGGAGGGGCACACAAATGGCTCCATTGCCACTTTAGCATATGCAAATAAATAAAGCAAGCTACTCGCCCTCACAGATAGCACAAGGTGGATATAACTGACAAAGCAAAGGAGAAATTGAACATTTATCCTTACGGTGTCTCAGCCAGGGAGAAACCTGCTAACTGCACAGATTAGAATACATTACTGCAGTTAGAAGCCACTGTCAGGAGGGAGAGTGAATGCAGGGTACTTACTGCTCTACCACATTGGTAGTCATGCAAAGATGCAATGGTGATTAAACTGATCTTTTAAATAGAAAATCAAATCCCTCAGCTACCATGATAAGCACTAATTAACAATATCGTGTTCAGTTTTATTAAAACTACAAAGGTGGCAAATTAGTTTTTCTTTTGAAAATAGTAAACATAGTTCCAGTCACGAATTAAGGAGTAGGCCTATTTAAAGAGCTAGTTAGTCAAGGGTTGAAGGGGTGGGGGCCCCTTCTCAAGGTTGTGGGAATATTTTAGTACAGTGTAAAGTTCCAGGATTATTCTCCGGCGTCTTTAAAATGAATTATTTAGGCCTGTGTTAGAAGCCAGGATAGGGTGGCACTGTGTACGTGACAATGCAGAATGACTTCTCAGACACACAGCGACCTGTGCATTAACTGCATCTCAGTAATTAGGCTCCACGCTCCATCTACCTCAGAGACAGATCCTATTTGATACCCTGGACCTCCAGGAATTCACGCATGTTTCCTGAGACAGCCCACGTGGCCACAAATTATGTAAGATAAGTAGCACTGCACTGCAATACAGTCAAGTCCTGATTGGTTTGGGCTTTTTTGGAAATAGTTGCACATATTATATTTTAGCCATAGATGTGTTTGTGTCTGTATATATTTTGGCCAAGATGCATGTGACAATATTTATTATTTTAATGATTGCTACATCCTGTGTTGTTAAGGCATTTGTTCATATGTGCAATTCTTTTTAGACTATAAATTAGAACCCACGTTATCGCCTAATTCTATGATAATGTTAATAATTGTGAGCCATTACAGTCTGAAATGGACTAATTCACAGATTATTACAATGTTATTCAGTAATCTTAACTGCTTCCTCAGAACCCAGGTTTATAAATGCTTTATTCTAAACAGTTTAACCTTTGGGAAGCTTTGAGGCTCCCATGATGGCAGAAGCATTGATGCTCCGTTTAAGGGGTCAATTTAAAACAGGAAGAACTGCCTGTGTATCATCATAACACAAACACAAATCCTGAACAAACATAAAGGGGCTTATTCAATAAATACTGAATTGTAGTAAAAATGGGATCGCAAAACCCGGCTAAAATGGCTTGTATATATAAATAAAAATTCAAATATAGTCAAAGCTTGCTATTTTATCTTTTCAATTTAATTTTCCCATTCAACTTGATTTGGTGTTTAGTGAGTAAATGCTTATAGAAAATAAGTTCTATAAGAAGAAAAAGGCCTTGTATTTGCTATGAACTAAACATATAAATGTTAGTAATATGTATAAAGCGTCACAAACAGTTACAGTAGCCACTATCCCTAAGCATTGCTCCCATATGTCCCTTTAAATAAATCCCCTTTAGCACAACCTCGGGCCTATTACAAAATTATTCAACCCCTACCTTGTCCTTAGATCATCCCTTACCAACCCCACTGTCTAGGTCTCTGCACCCAACTCCTCAACTTCTAACTAGCAGAACAATTCATTGAATCTATGTACCAACAACCTCTCCATCCTTCCTAAACTAAGTCCTAAATAACAGCAAGTACTTCTGGCCTACCCAATCATCCTTGTCAACATGAAATATTCCTACAATGCCTTGCCTGTAATCGGCTAGATCAGACAATAAAACCTAATGCCATGAGTTTAGTTCTACTGCAAAGAATTCACTTTCTCCTATATATTTAACATCCACTCTGCAACCCATATCCAAACAGTGACCTTCCCTGGACTACAGCACCACATAGCATCCATCCCTGCTTTCCGAGAAGAGCCATCCACTAACCTTAACCAGAAAAATGATTATTAACTGCAGCCATGCCTGAATCACAGCTTTGATCTCAAAGCTCCAACCCCCACTCATGTCCCTCCAGCACACATCCCTGGCCTCCATCCCCCAGCCATAGCAGCAATATCAATGTCTTGCTACCCACAGCACCTGTCCCTAGATCACATCACCTGGCACTAGGCCCACTCTCTAACCTCTCTGTCACCACAACCACAAAGAGTCATTTACATTATAGCTTGGGCAGATCATTAAAAAAGAATTAATGAGCAGAGATTGTGTCACTGAGCTAGAGTATAATTTCCTGTCACTGTTGCAATTTAATGGACTTACTTTATATCTGGTAGGAGTTTGGGTACAATCAGCCAATTATATAAACCCACCCCCATCCCTTGTGTAACTTACCCCTATGTAGATAAGTGTATCTAATCAACTATCCACATTCTGCATGTAGCAATCTATGGACATTCATATCTAAACACATGAACAAAAGGACACATGTCCTCTATAACTTTGAATAATTATGGGATATAATGAGAATTTTAGTGTATGTACCTATGTAGTTTGATGCAAGCAATTGTAGCTAGATTTAAATGTCTCTGTCTGTGTACATGTAAGTGTGTGTTGCATTTAAATTCACATATACTCATAGAAAAAGAAAATACATATATGAATGAATACATACACACTGATGTTGAATGATCATGTATGTGTATAGATGTTATATAATATAATATTTGTACCACTATATGTAAGTAGTCAAAGCATTGCACGGGATCCCTAATAAGGCCATGTACAGTCACTGATAGTATACTGCTGGCTCCTTACCTGATAGGCATCTAGCTGTTCATCTGTAAAAATTGTTTGTTTATTTCCCATTGTAACTGTAATGCCCTGGGTCTCCTAAAAACCATCACACTGGGAGCGGCAGCAGGAGCGATTTCTCCCGTGTGCATCGGGATTTACCAAGAGGCAGCGAGTCTGAGCGATGTTGTAGTTCCAGCCTGCATTGGGAAGTCTTGGGGGAGAATCGGTGGATAGAGCGGGTTACAATGTATCAGGTGGGAGTGGAACGCTGCGGAAGGTCTCCCTGTTTTCCTGAGTCTGTAACTGTAGCAGGATGCACTGACTGTACTGATCTGTACTGATGCTGAACGTTCTGCTGTCTCCTGGATTCCTCGCATTATATCGCCTCTCAGACCATCAATAGGGACAAAACCACTCCCTCTGGATGGTCAGCACTTACGTGATTGGTCGCAAGAGGGCGCTCCTTGATCCACCAGTTCCTGTCCTTATCATAACAACAGAGGTGGCCAAAAAGTTGAGCTATAGGAATTTGAATGTTATTAAAGGGGAAGGATTCAGTGCCTAACAATGGCTTGGCCAAGATAAGATTATGGATAACCATGTCCACACTGGACACAATCTATTTATAAAAACATAATAGAAAGGATTCTGCCCCAAAATGGAATAGTGTAATAGATTACCACCAGTAAGAGCCAAGGAATATAAAAGCAAATATATCACTGGAACACATTTAATAACTGTTTATAGTGTATTTGACATGGCCTTTCTTTGTAAATTATGAAATATAATATACTGCTTTCTATTGTAAAACACAATTATTATTTTTATTTGGAGTTGGGGGGGGGGTTAAAATAGTCAGAAAGTAGAGGAATTAGTAAATAAATAAAGGGATTTTAATGTTTTGAAAAGAGAAGGAATCAGTTCCTAATTAATGAACAATGACTTGGCCAAGACAAGATTAAGGATAAATATGTCCACATTGGACAAATGTATAAAAAAAAAATAATCAAAAGGATTCTGTCTCGCAGTGAACACAAGCAAACACATCATCGGAACACATTTTATATCTGTTTATAGTGTATTTTTATATGACCTCTCCTTGTAAATGATGAAATATAATGCACTGATTTGGGGGGGAGGGGGTAGGGAGGGGAGGTTAGGGGCTAAAAAGGAAAATATTTTTTACAGACTGAACAATCATAAGGGTTATTTTGTTTTATCAAACAAGCTGAAACGTAATACAACTATATTTAATGACCAACAAAATACTCATAATGCAGACTTCAGAAGTTTCATAGAGCGATAAATATTATTCGCTAAAGATAAACGATAATATTTGACTAATTAATTAGCTATTTCAAACTGGACCTAGATGGTGGACAAACAAGCATAATGGGAATTGTAGTCCACTCACTTAATAATTGGGCCTTTGCAGATTTAGCACCCACTAAAAAAAAAAAAAACCAATGAAATATAAACAGGATGGCTAACTGATTCAATGCAAAAACATATTAAGCTGTACTACATTTTGGTACTTTGATACCAGATTGTAATTAACGTAACTAGATTAATCCGCACTACAGTTGGACACTTGAATCTAGGACAAAAGGTGAGATATTATGAGCTTTATTCATTTATCGATGAGCTGTAAACCAGATTACAAAGTTAAAAGCAAATCTTGAAATGAAAAAACTAACTCTGAAGGCTAATCACTGAAGTTAGAATTTAAACTGAATTTCAAATGTAAGGCCCGAGGGGCCAAATTTAAAACACAAGTAACTTTTTGTTATGTAAATGTAAATTTGATTTGAATTCACTTTAAATTCTCACCTTAGTAAATGACCATGTGTCTGTAAATTAATGTATTTGACTGTATATGAAGGATTGTGTGTGTGCGAACATTTGTGTACATTTGTTTACATATAGTGTAGTATCTGTGAATAATTGCTGAACAATGGGGTAAAGGGGGTTTAAATGAAATACTTGGAGATTAGTTCCAGTTTAAACTGCTATTTGTCAGAATTTGGCATACTCAGTTGCATTTCCATACTCTGAGTAAAAAGATGCCCATATCATGAACCAGTTTAAAACCCCTTCAGTTTAATCCAGCGCTGGGCTCCTTCGGCGCTGGTGACCTCTCCTCCAATGCCGACGTCAGCTCCCGACGTCAGCAAGAGCCGCGCGCATTCAAACAGTCAATAGGAAAGCATTTCTCAATGCTTTCCTATGGACGTTCTGCACGCTGAATGCGATTTTCGCAGCCAGCGTCGCAGAAACACCTCTGGTGGCTTTGGTTCATCTGATTCGCTTCTGCAATCAGTTTCCCGGTAGCAAAATTCTGCCAAGCTGAATCAAAATTTCTGTTTTTGGGTGCATACAGTGTCCCTTTAAGCAGTTTACAAATTACTCTGGGAGGGTACTAGAACAATTAGTAGTGATGGTGCTTTCGGTGGTCCTGGCTCCTACATTGCAGCGAAATTCAGCTCTGTTATAATAAATGGTAGCCATAACACGTATGCAATGTTGAATTTATTCAGTAAATATCATGCTTTAGTGAATTGAAATTCCATTTGCAAACTTAAGTCATAATAAAGTGTTTATTCTGAGTAATTCTCCAACTTACCTTTTCTCTAATGTTTTCTCTAATGTTTGCACGTCAGAATCTCTAATGTTTGCACGTCAGAATCCAGTTCACTGATGTTTAGTAACAAATAAAAAAAAATTTTTTCTAAGAGGTATGAAGTGTGAAATTCCAAATTTCGGCCAATAAAGCTAAACATAAAAGACTTTGAATTTAGTTGTTTTGGCCTAAATTTTAAATTCATTTAGAATTTTCAAATATTTACACTTTAATGGCTAATCTTGACAAAACTGTAGTGAATTGAAAACAATATTTCAAAATGTATTTGTAAAGAGCTAATTTAGAGAAATTCTCACATTCAGCTACAGCTATTTTAGTGTAAATGTTGCAATTTGTGTTAAAGTTTACTAAAATTCAGTGAATAAATTAAAATGTGAATGGATATACTAATTGTATTTATTCATTTTAATTGTTCTTGCCTTTTAACCCGTTAAGGACGGAGGCAATTATACAGGCTCTGACCAAAACAAAACCTGGAATTTGACTATAAAGAGCTTGCCCATTTCAGCTTTTACACACTGAAATTTGCCAGATTGGTTTGCTGGGCCTATATTGCCTTTGAGACTGTATGGCAGCCCAGGAATGAGTATTAGCTCTCCCTGCATGGTACTGAAGGATGGGTGCCGGCCAGGCAGCTTGTTAATGGTCGGCAGGCTGCTTTTCCGTGTGTACCTGCCCATTAAGGACGTAAATCGCATTACTGGCGATGCTTCCCCAGGGCCCATCTACTCAGTCCCGACTACCCCAGGAGGTATGCAGAACAAAAATATACACAGTAGACATAACCATATGGACAAAAACGGAGAAACCATGTATTAAGGAAGTTATTGGTAAAGCCATCATAGAATAGAACTGTGTTGACCAAGGTCTTTATATATCTTTCTACCATCACAACCATGGAGAGAACAAATGAAAGTGTGTTGGCCCTCTTACAGGACCACTAAAGTCACCCACACTATTTCAGCTCAATAAAGTGGTCTGGGTGTAGTGGTCCTGTAGTGTTGACCCTGCATGTTTACAACGCAGGATTTAACACACATCTAGTGGCTGTCTCCCAGGCTGCCACTATAGGCGCTTCCTCTACAACCCATGATTGCAGATCATAGGAAAGACTTAAAGTCAATGCTTTGCAATGAAAAGCATTTGGATGCACGCCCTCTTCGGGGAGCATTGGATTAAAATACATCACGGGTTGTCGCGCAAACTGCAGCCCAGAAGGAGTTTTGGCGCTAGAGAAAAGAAAAAGGTTTTTACTGAAAACATGGGGGAGTGATCCTAACCTAAGCTGAAACTAGGACACCAAAGCATTAGAAAGATATAAAAAGGGTTATTTACTATTCAACAATTAGGTTTTTTTCCACCCCTTAAAGTGTGAATTGTGGGGAATTCAAATTGAATTTCAAAGAAAAAGAAAAAAGGATCCATTTAGTGCAAATCAGCATTAAATTGTCCTCTAGTAAAATTCAATTCTAATTAATCTTTTAACTGAATGCTAAATATACCCAGCACAATGAGCAGTTTTAATTTGGTTTCTTTTTTGTTAAAGAGCTTGCAGTAATTAGATCAACAACGACTGAATTGTAGTAGGGACAATTTTATGCTGATTTGCCCTCGGGTCAATCCGTTTTTCTTTTGTGATTACAAAATTGTCCTGAATTGGCTTTTTACTGGCAGTTGTTCACCTGGTGGGTGTATTCTTCCTTAAAAAAGAAAATAAAAGAAAGAGTTTTCACTGAATAGATAAAAAAAAAAAAAAAACCACAACTGGTTCAGAATTGGTAAGATTGTAAGTGTGCACAATCACAGTGCAGGATGCATTATTGGATAAGAAATATTAAATAAATACATAAATATGGCACAGCAAATTTAGCCAGCACTAAGAATGTTGGATATCCTCATCTGGTAATGCAAACTTTATTTCTTACTCCTTTGCCATCTTAGAGAGGTGTATGTTTGACACAAAGACAGTTTAAAATCCTTCCCTTATGTTTGGCACCGAAAGGGTTAATTTAAAGAGGTAAGCGGTGCTAACATTGCTGGTATCTGTAACTAAATTCTGCTATATCATGTGTAAGGGATTCTCTTATATCACATGTGCAAGGATGGAGGATGGGAAAGGGGCTGAACCCCTAAATAATTTATATCCTGCAATGAAATTGTAGAGCTGGTCTCACAGCGTCGTATCTACTATCAATAAATCCTAAAGTCCTGGGGACACTGCAATTAGAATATGTGAAATTGTGTGCAGTACAAAGGGATCACATAATGTTTCCCCCACATGTTACGGTATTGAACAGCCTTAAAGGATCAGTTGAAGTATCAAAATCGAGTCAGCTAACTAAAGTAGTTTTGGTGCGAAAATCCAGTCTTTTGTCTAAATGTGTTTTATTTTCGCAGCTGTTCTTTACCTGTCGATCCCTCCATGCCAGACCCAGAGAAGTTTCAATGAGTGTGTAGATGGTCACCATCAACGTGACAACTCGACTCACTCCACATCGTGAAGGCTCATGCGGCACTAGTGCTGTTGGCAATCCAATGCTTCTCATAGAGAGAACATTTTGAAATTCACTTTGAATTCTCACTTTAGTGGATAATCCTATAAGCCACTTCCAGATATTCAAATGGTTCCTAACTTTAGACATAGATATACTGTACATACACATGGTGGATTAGAATCCTGAGATGACGTTAGTTTTCATTAAAAAAAACTTTTTCTGGCGGTTATTATCCATCTAGTTAGTAATTTTCTACTATCCTTTATATTACTTGATATTTTTAGGTTAGGTTTAGTGTAAATGTTCAGGTATGGGGTTAAGCGTTAGGTTACTGTAATGGTCAATGATTAGTGTTAAGGCGGTGTAAGGGTAATGTTTAGTGTTAATGTAGGGTAGCGTGTAGTGTAGAGTAGTGTGTTGTACAGGATAATGTTTAGTGGTAGCGTATTGTAGGGAGTATGTTTAGTGTTGGTATACTGTACTGGTTATTAATGTTTAGTGATTGTATAGTGTATTGTAGGGGTTAATGTTTAGTGTTAATGTAGGGTAGCATTTAGTGTAGAGTAGTGTGTTGTACAGGATAATGTTTAGTGGAAGCGTACTGTAGGGAGTGATGTTTAGTGTTGGTATACTGTAGGGGTTATTAATGTTTAGTGATTGTGTAGTGTATTGTAGGGGTTAATGTTTAGTGTAGTGTGTTTGGGTAGTGTTGGGGTTTAAAGGACTATTGTTACAACACAAATGGGAAGGAATGTAAAATTAAAATAGTGACAGCTACTGTGTGGATCTCACAGGGTCAGAAGCCAATTGCTGGGTAAAAGTTAATCTTTGGTCACGTAATTACTGTCTAACAATTTAAGGGATTCTCTAGTGCCAGGAAAACAAAATTGGTTTACTGGAACTGTGGACTACTACAGTCCCCCTCTCCCCCCTCCTGTGGCGTTAAAACACCTTCAGTCACTTATCTGAACCCAGCGCCGATGTCTTTCGACATCAGCCAGCGGGAAAGACCTAATGCGCATGCACGGCAATGGCCGTGCTCGCATTTGGATTTCCCCATAGGAAAGCATTAATTAATTAATCAATGTTTTCCTATGGGGAAAAATCTGACACTGGAGATCTCATGCAGAGCGTGAGGACATCCAGCGTCAAATACCGGACCAAAGGTTCGTTTCAATTCAGGAAGCCCACTAGTGGCTGTCTGGTAGACAGCTACTGTGGTTAGACTTAGAGCTGCAATGTAAACATGAGCTGAAGTGGTCTGGGTGCTTACAGTGTCACTTTACTGTACTGAGAGTTGCCAAAATTCCGAGGTAATCATTATACAGGGAGTGCAGAATTATTAGGCAAATGAGTATTTTGACCACATCATCCTCTTTATGCATGTTGTCTTACTCCAAGCTGTATAGGCTCGAAAGCCTACTACCAATTAAACATATTAGGTGATGTGCATCTCTGTAATGAGAAGGGGTGTGGTCTAATGACATCAGCACCCTATATCAGGTGTGCATAATTATTAGGCAACTTCCTTTCCTTTGGCAAAATGGGTCAAAAGAAGGACTTGACAGGCTCAGAAAAGTCAAAAATAGTGAGATATCTTGCAGAGGGATGCAGCACTCTTAAAATTGCAAAGCTTCTGAGGCGTGATCATTGAACAATCAAGCGTTTCATTCAAAATAGTCAACAGGGTCGCAAGAAGCGTGTGGAAAAACCAAGGCGCAAAATAACTGCCCATGAACTGAGAAAAGTCAAGCGTGCAGCCGCCACGATGCCACTTGCCACCAGTTTGGCCATATTTCAGAGCTGCAACATCACTGGAGTGCCCAAAAGCACAAGGTGTGCAATACTCAGAGACATGGCCAAGGTAAGAAAGGCTGAAAGACGACCACCACTGAACAAGACACACAAGCTGAAACGTCAAGACTGGGCAAGAAATATCTCAAGACTGATTTTTCTAAGGTTTTATGGACTGATGAAATGAGTGAGTCTTGATGGGCCCGTGGCTGGATTGGTAAAGGGCAGAGAGCTCCAGTCCGACTCAGACGCCAGCAAGGTGGAGGTGGAGTACTGGTTTGGGCTGGTATCATCAAAGATGAGCTTGTGGGGCCTTTTCGGGTTGAGGATGGAGTCAAGCTCAACTCCCAGTCCTACTGCCAGTTCCTGGAAGACACCTTCTTCAAACAGTGGTACAGGAAGAAGTCTGCATCTTTCAAGAAAAACATGATTTTCATGCAGGACAATGCTCCATCACACGCGTCCAAGTACTCCACAGCGTGGCTGGCAAGAAAGGGTATAAAAGAAGAAAATCTAATGACATAGCCTCCTTGTTCACCTGATCTGAACCCCATTGAGAACCTGTGGTCCATCATCAAATGTGAGATTTACAAGGAAGGAAAACAGTACACCTCTCTGAACAGTGTCTGGGAGGCTGTGGTTGCTGCTGCACGCAATGTTGATGGTGAACAGGTCAAAACACTGACAGAATCCATGGATGGCAGGCTTTTGAGTGTCCTTGCAAAGAAAGGTGGCTATATTGGTCACTGATTTGTTTTTGTTTTGTTTTTGAATGTCAGAAATGTATATTTGTGAATGTTGAGATGTTATATTGGTTTCACTGGTATTAATAAATAATTGAAATGGGTATATATTTGTTTTTTGTTAAGTTGCCTAATAATTATGCACAGTAATAGTCACCTGCACACACAGATATCCCCTAACATAGCTATAACTAAAAACAAACTAAAAACTACTTCCAAAAATATTCAGCTTTGATATTAATGAGTTTTTTGGGTTCATTGAGAACATGGTTGTTGTTCAATAATAAAATTAATCCTCAAAAATACAACTTGCCTAATAATTCTGCACTCCCTGTATATTACTGCACCCATCACATAGAGAAATTAAAGAGATGCAGAGATTTATATGTAACAATTCTCAATTTTCAAACCAAATGGTTATTCCAAGCACCATAACCACTACAGCAAACTCTAGTGGTAATGCTGACAGGAGCACCCTCTACGCAGCAGCAGAAGATAGAAGCCGCTAGAGGTGCTTCCTGTGACAGTGCTGCATGGAGGCGCTGAACGTTTCCCATAGAGATGCACTGATTGAATGCATCGCTGTAAGGAGATGATGAGTAACGCAGCGCAGTGTTTTGCCGCCCATGCGCAACAGTCTCCAAATGCTTTCCTATGGATGCTTTCCTATGTCAAGTTTGATGATCTCAGTCATGGAGGACTCACCATGGCGTGGGAGAAAATGTGAGTAAAATCACATTTTCAGCGCAATTGGAGTGGGGCTGGCGACCTAAACAGCTACACCAGGACTATAGTGCCAAGAATACATGTTTGTATTCCTGACACTATAGTGTTTTGTTCCTTTAATATTTAATCTGCAATTCTTATCCAATTGCTGGCTATTTCAGGGCTAGTTATCTGATTTGGATGATTTCTGAACTGGAACTCACTCTGAACAATTCGTGCAGCTTGCTAAATCTTACAAAATAATAAATGCAATACAATACTTTAAATTATCTTCTGAACTGATCTTATCTCTACTGAATTATTTTTCAAAATTTGTCTTGGCAAATTCACAATTTAGTGAATAAGTGGAATGGGTTAAACCTTTTGATGGCTACCCCCACACTGAAAGGTCTTCACAAGGTATTTCTGGCGAATTATACTATAGCTTGTTTGTTTAAAATGTATGAAGAGGAAGACATTTTCAGTTGGGGTGACACTTTAAATGTTAATAATTGTTCAACCCATAGGTTATTACATTTTTCTGTTTGAATACAGTATTGTACTCACTGACCTATAAATACAGGACATACCAAACCATATCTGTGTTTGACATTGTGCAGATTACCAGATAATATAGTGGACCTTCATGACTCACGTATATAAACAAAACACAGTTATACTGACATTTACGAACGTGTGCGTACAAATCTGCACTGCCTGTCTATGGCTATAAAAATTAGACACAACTGTTTCATGCTAAATGGATAGAAAACGGAAAATGTTGTCTTGCAATATGCATAATGTATGTGTTGCATGAGGGAAAACAGTTCAACGATGCACCAACACCACTTAATTTTAATGAAGTGGCTTTGGTGAAAAGAGGATGCCACCTTTTCTTATGTGACAACGTAGAATAGTAACAAGGAAAAAATCTTAGGAACTCACTGGGATAACGTTGCTGTGGACTGGCCATCGGGCAAAGGATCTTCCCAGCTGGCCCATGCAGGGCTGACGCTCAGTGAGCGGAGCCCAAACATGCAACAAAGTCCCTTGTTGTGCTGGTGAGGAGATTAGAGATCTTTATAAAGCCCCCTATACACACACACACACCAGCCTCTGTACATACAAACTAAAGGCCTCTATTTACACACACACACACACCAGCCTCTGAACATACAAACTAAAGGCCCCTATTTACACACACACACACAAAACAGTCCTTGTACATACACACGAAAGCCCCCTACACACACACACACAAAACAGCTCCTGTACATATCCATTGTACAGCGCTACGGAATTTGTTGGCGCTATATAAATAATAAAATAATAATAATAATAATATCCACCAAAGCCCCTTGCACAAACATATGAAACCCCTATACACACACAACAGCCCTTGTACATATTCACTAAAGCGTATACAAACACTCTCTGCAGCCCCTAGGAACAATCTACCGCCACTGTACATGCACACACTGAAGTCCCAATACAAGCACCCACTACCATGTGCACACAAACTACAGCCCGTATTCATTAACATGCACACTACAGCCCTTATACACACTGTACACCCCCAAGATGCACTACATCCCATAGACAAATGCATACACGTGCTCTCTCGCTTCATAACCCCTAGACCGACAGACACAATCTCTACAGCCCCTAGACACACACACTATAAAGCCACTGGAACCACAGACACACTATAGTCGCTAACCACACATAGTACACTACAAACAGACTGCTTTACACACAGTACACCACAGACAATCAACTCAACGCATACACAGTCACCAGCAAATGCACTGCAATAGTGTTATTAAATTTGCTTGTGCTGTGTAAAACGCAGGGCATTGTTTCCATGCAAGTGCTTTTCAGCATGAGAAGTCCTGGAGGGACAGCAAACTAAAATGTTCACAGCCTCTCTCTATCTCCGCCCCCTCCTACTGGGCTGCTCTGCCTCTAAATGCCCGGGCCGAATTTTATTCCCAGTCCGGCCCTGGTGCCTATTAAACCTGCTTAATTTATCACAGTGAGTGCCTGAGTTTTTTGTCATGTTATATGGGTTATGCTGACCCACAGTCAGTTAGCACCCTGTGATCTTTATGATTGAGTGCAACCCTCTCTTCTCTTTTGAAGTAATGATTACATTTGTCTGAGAACATTTCCCTAGAGTCTGTCAGACTGAAAGCAGTAATCGGTGCCTCCGTATCAAAGACCATTCACACACAAAATTAAAACACGTCCAATATTTGTACAAGAGAGGGATTGGATTAAATTATTCTTTGTGAGAAGAATTTGATTGGCATAGCATGGCATAGCATTCCTGTGTGTGGGTAAATGGGACAGTAATCTAAATGTATTAAGGACCATGGCAAAATAAAAAAATATATTTATTTTTAACATTTGAGTGCTCTTTAAATGATTCTCTCGCTGGTAGCATAAATATTGTACATACTGCAGGACAGCACATTCTATTTCCAGACTATTACCTACAGGATGGTATAAATATATAATAACAAGCTAGCCTGAGCACTTATTCAGAGGGTATGAATAATTATGACATTTACACACTGTACTAAGCATTCACACCCTCAATACAGCATTCTCACTGTATTTAGCACTCACCCTGCAGACACACTTTAGGGTTTTTCACTGTCCAAATTGCACAATTTAGTCAAACATAGCTGATTTGCAGATATAGATAATTTAGCCTTCATTTTGCTAAATTCACCATACTTCAGAGTTTAGTGAATCATTACCTATTTTCAACATGCACATCCTGCACACATCATTGGCACAGTGAATACAGCATGCACATCTTGCACACACCACCGACAAGATGAATACAGCATATACATCCTGCAAACACCATGAATACAGCATGCATATCCTGCACGCATTACTGACACCATGCACATCCTGCACACATTACTGACACCATACACGTCTTGCACACATTACTGACACCATGAATACAGCATACACATCCTGCACATATTACTGACTCCATGAATACAGCATGCACATCCTGCACACATTACTGACTCAATGAATACAGCATGCACATCCTGCACACATTACTGACACCATGCACATCCTGCACACATTACTGACACCATGAATACAGCATGCACATCCTGCACACATTACTGACTCAATGAATACAGCATGCACATCCTGCACACATTACTGACACCATGCACATCCTGCACACATTACTGACACCATGAATACAGCATGCACATCCTGCACACATTACTGACACCATGAATACAGCATGCACATCCCACACACATTACTGACTCCATTAATACAGCATGCACATCCTGCACACATTACTGACTCCATACACATCCTGCAATCATTACTGACTCCATGAATACAGCACACACATCCTGCATACATTACTGACACCATGAATACAGCACACACATCCTGCACACATTACTGACACCATGAATACAGCACACACATCCTGCACACATTACTCACACTATGAATACAGCACACACATCCTGCACACATTACTGACACCATGAATACAGCATACACATCCTGCACCCATTACTCACACTATGAATACAGCACACACATCCTGCACACATTACTGACACCATGAATACAGCACACACATCCTGCACACATTACTGACACTATGAATACAGCACACACATCCTGCACACATTACTGACACCATACACATCCTGCAAACATTACTGACACCATGAATACAGTACACACATCCTGCACACATTACTGACACTATGAATACAGCACACACATCCTGCACACATTACTGACACCATGAATACAGCATGCACATCCTGCACACATTACTAACACAATACACATCCTGCACACATTACTGACACCATGAATACAGCACGCACATCCTGCACACATTACTGACACCATGAATACAGCACGCACATCCTGCACACATTACTGACACCATGAATACAGCATGCACATCCTGCACACATTACTGACACCATGAATACAGCACACACATCCTGTCACACAGCACTAAAATCACAATTACAGCATACACATCCTGCACTTAGCAGTCACACAAATTATTTACACATTACTCCCACCAAATGGATGCCCACACTTTACTATGGCTGCCTGAGCTCTAAATCCTCTCTGTATATAGAAGCATGGTATAGCACTGGTTACCTACTACACCCAAAGCCAGACACTACACTAAGCCTGGCTGCCAGTCACACTGTGCTGCCCACACTATCTCCCATGATGCTCAGCCAGCTTTATCAGAAAGATGGTCCACCAGAGGGGAGGGGACAATGTCACCCAGCCCCCCCACTGCACCCAGATAACTGTCCTACTGTACTGGGGTCAGCCCAGCCATACCCAGCCTCACTGCCCATCCTGCCCACACTCTGCCTCACTGCCCATCCTGCCAGCTGCCCATACCCAGCCTCACTGCCCATCCTGCCAGCTTCCCACACCCAGCCTCACTGCCCATCCTGCCAGCTGCCCATACCCAGCCTCACTGCCCATCCTGCCAGCTGCCCACACCCAGCCTCACTGCCCATACCCAGCCTGACTGCCCACACCCAGCCTCACTGCCCATCCTGCCAGCTGCCCATACCCTGCCTGACTGCCCATCCTGCCAGCTGCCCACACCCTGCCTGACTGCCCATCCTGCCAGCTTCCCACACCCAGCCTCACTGCCCATATACCCAGCCTGGATTGCCCATCCTGCCTGACTGCCCACACCCAGCCTCACTGCCCATCCTGCCAGCTTCCCACACCCAGCCTCCCACGCTGCCCATCCTGCCAGCTTCCCACACCCAGCCTCACTGCCCATACCCAGCCTGACTGCCCATCCTGCCTCACTGCCCACACCCAGCCTCACTGCCCATCCTGCCCATCCTGCCTCACTGCCCATCCTGCCAGCTGCCCACACCCAGCCTCACTGCCCATCCTGCCCATCCTGCCTCACTGCCCATCCTGCCAGCTGCCCACACCCAGCCTCACTGCCCATCCTGCCTCACTGCCCATCCTGCCAGCTGCCCACACCCAGCCTCACTGCCCATCCTGCCAACTGCCCACACCCTGCCTGGCTGCCCACACACAGCCAGCTGCTGCCATGGCAACCGAGACCCCGGGCCAGGGAGGGCGGGGGAACTTCCGGCGAGGCGGTGGGCGTGGCCTGTGCTCGGCAGACCCGCCCCCTCTCCGTATCCCGCATGAACATGGCTGGCAGCGCCTGGAGGTCACTGGTGAGACACGGGCTCCGGGGGCTACTTACCGCACTGCGAGGCCGCACATACCTAGTGCCCAGTGTCCTCATAGAGCAGCACGGGGAGTGACAGGACACTGACTGGGTGTGAGGGAGGGAGGGAGACAGGCTGTGTGACCCCCCAATACCGCTATGTGACCCCCATAGCGCTGTGTGACCCCCAGCCTGCGTTAATAGCGACCCCCAGCGCTCTGCGTGACCCACTGCGTGAGCCGCTGTGTGACCCCCATGGCGCTGTGTGACCCCCAAAGCGCTGTGCTTGACCCCCTATGGCGCTGTGTGACCCATACCACTGTGTGACCCCATAGCGCTGTGTGACCCATACCACTTTGTGTGACCCCTAGCGCTGTGACCCCATACCACTGTGTGACCCCCAATAGCGCGCTTGGAAGCCCCCCACTTGGCTGTGTGTGACCCCCATAGCGCTGTGTGACCCCCCCTTGAAAGCGCAGTCTTTGACCCCGCGGCGCTGTGTGACCCCGCCAGCTGGCAGTGTGACCCCCAGCACTGTGAACCCCCAATGCAGCTGTGTGACCCCCATAGCTGTGTGACCCCAGCAAGCAGTGTACGTGACCCGCCATAAGCGCGGTGTGACCCGCCATGGCGCGAGTGTGACCCTTCATGGCGCAGTGTGACCCATGCCAGGCGCGGTGACCCGCCATATGGCGCGGTGTGACCCCCATGGCTAAACGACCCCAGCAAGCGCAGTGTGTGACCCCCCATAAGCGCTGTGTGACCCCCCCATAAGCGCAGTGTGACCTTCCCCTTATGGCGCCCAGTGTGACCCACCCATAAGCGCAGTGTGACCCTAATACCTTCCAGCTGAGACCCCCAATACGCAGCTGTGACCCCAATACGCTGTGTGACCCCCCATAGCGCAGTGTGACCCCGCCATAGCGCAGTGTGACCCCGCCATAGCGCAGTGTGACCCCACCATAGCGCAGTGTGACCCCGCCATAGCGCAGTGAGACCCCCCCATAGCGCTGTGTGACCCCCCCATAGCGCTGTGTGATCAGATATAGTGACCTGGGAAATAGCACTCTGTCTCTGTATGGGGATTATACAGATATAATGAGCTGTAACTCTACTCACCTAGGAAATACCACTCTGTATCTGGCTTGGGTTCACAGTCACTGCCCTAGGGGTAACCTAGTGCACTATATGTATAGCTACCCTAATAATAACCCCCCAAAACAGCCATGAGGACCCCCATATACACATTGTATAGTGCTGGTAATTACCCATATACACATTGTATAGTGCTGGTAATTACCAATATACTCATTGTATAGTGACCCCTGAAGACACCCATATACACATTTTATAGTGCTGGTAATTACCCATATACACATTGCATAGTGAATCATTAGGACACCCATAGGTACATGTATAATGACCCCCTGAGGACACCGATATACACATTGTACGGTGACCCCTGATGACACCCAGAGGTACATGTTTAGTGATCACTGAGGACCCCCGTAGGTATATGTATCCATGCTACCAGACTGTACCCATCCTGGTAATCTTGGCACCGGACTAGATTTATTTTCACAATGCATTTGTGTCAAAAAAAGGATGGCTGGAAGTTCTAGTGCAATAAAGTTATCTAAAGTTACACATTTTGTAAAATTCCTTTCATTTTTCTATTTTTAAATGGAAAGGTTACCGTTCCTACAACGTACCTTTAACAGCTAACTGGGTAGTGGATAAACTTATAGCCGCTCCCTGTAGTGGTTATGGTGCTAGGAGTGCTTTTGTGCCCAACCAGAGTGATTTGTCAAATCGTTTTAGAATGGATTGACAAGACAACTTACCTGGGTCCTGCTTAGTGCCCACATCCACACTGCCTGCTACTGGATTGTTCTTGTGATAGAACATACGGTTTTCTCCACTGAGCTAAGCAGGGTCATGCTAAGATGCTGTCATTGGCTGAGAGTATCAGCTGACCCCTCTCAGCCAGTGAGCGCTGTGCTACTTACCACAGCGAAGACATCGGGAAGGAGAAGCCGTTTCATCTGTATTGAAACTGGGGTAATTTGTCAAACCGTTCTAAAATAATTTGACAAATTAGTCTGGGAGGGCACGGGGCCATAACAACTACAGCAATTTCTTGAAAGTGTCTTTCATAACAATGATCAGTGGTTTAGATTCTAAACTTAGAGTATTGCATTAGTTTAACAGTCATAGGCCTCTGATTAATTAGAGGGAGATGCTGAATATGAGATAAATATTAACTCACCAGCTCCTAAAGTGGCTTAATATATATATTTTTTCTTTAGGACCTGTTATCCATAAACATGAACCTGTTATAAGAGGTTACATTTAATGTCACTGTAAATTATTAGCATGGAGGGCACACTGTCAAAAAAGAAAAGCTGGCAAAGAGCAAAAAGATTTTTACAAATTATTCATTCTCTTAAAACCCCAATCCCCTCGGGCAAATGTATCAATAGAAGCACACTCTATACATTTTTATTCAATTAATGCTAAACTACATAAATGTAGAAAATCAATGCAAAGAACATACTTGGAAAATAATACAATAATAGGATAAATAGACTATAGGCAATTCAAACATTAACCTAACCCGTCCTGATGAAAGATTAAACAACTTGGTAGAATAATTTATCAAGGCATGAAATAAACAAACATCACAGATAACAATTCTAACAAAACCAGAGTAAGAGCGGTAAGGTGCGGACACCAACAATAAATACCTTTCAACGTTTCGGCTGTGAGCCTTTCTCAACCGAGGTTTTGCCAGATTCTGTTGGTATGTTACCTGTGATGTCTGTTTTTTTTCATGCCTTGATATATCCGAGAAATATATATTTTATGGAGTTTGAATTTAATGTCACTTCAGTTCAGCTTTGAATTCACTACCATTTTATGTTTAGTGAGTAGACCTCTGATACCTCCAATTTGTCGTTACTTTTTTCATAATATTTAATTTTTAAAAAAAGCGAAATTTCTTTGTCTGCAGTCTAGCAACTCAGTCTAGGTTGTTATGGTGCTTAGACTCCCCCTTGGGATGTGTGCGCAGGTGTAATCTGTCCTTTGAAATCTGTGCAGTGCATGACTGATCCAGCTTTCTGTAGCTTGGAAAATTTGTATTTACATGCGGAATACTTTCATTAATGATTTAAAAAAAATAAAAATGAGTATAACTACTTACACGTGTGCAGATGCTGTACAAGCTTAGTTAAAGAAAGCCATGGGATGGACTCAGGAGTTTTACAGTATTTATGTGCCATACAAATCCTTGTATGAGTCAGTTCTATTTCTCTTGATGTACAGTAGGTGTGTATAATTCCATGTGATTTTAGAAAATGTGTGCAGAACTGTTATTGAACGGAATACAAAAGTAGTTATTGCACTATAAGTTATTAAGTTATGTAAGGATTGGAAATTACTGTGGTTAGGTGCTTAAACAACACTAAGCACCTTGTAGTTGTTATAGTGCAGGTTGTCTTTGTGTCTTATCCCCTAGGTTTGTGCTACGCTAATTTTGAGGGTTTTGACAAAAAATAGGGCTCGCTCGGTGACCCAAGGCACAACCCCTCTTCTGCTACTCAGATAACCTGGAATTTTCACTTCTGTGTTTTCTGTACAAAGCTCTTTACACTTGCGCAGTAACGATAATTGGAGAGTCTAGAGTGAGAAACACTGGATACAAATTCTTTTTTTTCTCCTGATGTTTGTTGTTACTTTCAGGTAATTTAAAACACCGTGGCAAATATGTACATTCTTTTCAGCGCAGAGGTCATCTCATTAAAGATCCCAAGGGGAAGATTTAGGAAATATATTTTTTATTGCTTTCTTTTTTTCATATTATAGGACATGCACTCCAGATGTTGTGGACTAGCATGTGAGATCTGCCCAATTGGCTATTATTTTACTCGTATTATATTAATAATCTTTAACTTTAAACTATAGGCACATATGAATATGTTAAAAAAAAATAATTTTATTTGGTATTTTCTGTCCATTATATCTGTAAATTTATTGCAGTATCTGCGTACAATGATACACATCTAGTTTCACATCTTTTTCCAAATTCGCGTATTTTTTTTTCTAGCAATGGTGTGGCATATGTTTTCCTTATGCCATTTAAGTGGCGAAATTTGGATTTGTGCAAATCAAGAAGCTAACACACACTGCATTGCTCATTTGTTTTGATTCAGCCAACTCTACTGTACACATAAGACCTTTGTGTCAGAGACCTTTGGACTCTGACCTTGACTTAGTATCATTACCCATTATGCTAAAGTTTATATCTTAGATTCTTCTACTTGTATCCAATCCTTGACCCTGATTATTGTCTTTATTTCTGTTCCTGAATCTCCTGCAATTATCCAGGAGTAAGGCCTGCATTGTGTGTTTGTAATGCAGCTATTCAAAACCAGAGGATCTACATTTGAGGGGAATTTGTTGTCCTGTGCAAACCCATTAAAGGAATATTCTAGGCTTCTTTTTTTCCTTCCGCTGTTTAGAGATTCAGTGATCCGAGGCAGTAGAGTAAGTTTTACTTTTCCTACCAGCTTCTGTCCGTAGACATGGTGCATTGTGGGATGTGACCAGCTTCTGTCCGTAGACATGGTGCATTGTGGGATGTGGTGCACATCATGTAGGAGTGGGCTTGCACAGTTACAGTATCCATTGCTGTGGCCATCTTGGAGGTGAAGGAAGCAATTAATACATTCTGGTGGCTATTTTGCCAGCACAATATTTCTGTTATAAGTACACCGGTCTGAATGCAAACCTATAGCCTCTGAATTAGGAGTCATATGCCAACCTTTCTACCCACACAGACCATGTCAACTGTGGCAGATAGGATGTCAGTAAAAATAATAGTTACAAGAACATTATGCACATCCAGTTACCTTGGGTTACTCCAACAACAAAAAAATATAACAAATAAAGAATAAACCTACATCTTTTCCAGCACTAGACCTTTTTAACCAAAGACTTGTTAAACACAGAATGTAACTCAATTTGTAATTTGGTGCAATTTGCTTTCTGCTAAAAAAATAAATAAAAAAATCTAAAACAAAAATTAGAATTTGATAAATGTATGAAACACCATATTAATAACAAATTTGAACATTTACAAGTAAACCAAGAGACTGGAGTGTCGCCGCCAAGGACTCCCTTTCCACCTTAGTGAAAAGCCCCAGAATGATTATAGCCCTCCCCTAGTCATCAGCCGAGGCTTGATTATAGCCCTCCCCTAGCCATCAGCCGAGGCTTGATTATAGCCCTCCCTTAGCCATCAGCCGAGGCTTGATTATAGCCATCTCCTAGCCATCAGCCGAGGCTTGATCATAGCCCTCCCCTAGCCATCAGCCGAGGCTTGATCATAGCCCTCCCTTAGCCATCAGCCGAGGCTTGATCATAGCCCTCCCTTAGCCATCAGCCGAGGCTTGATCATAGCCCTCCCCTAGCCATCAGCCGAGGCTTGATTATAGCTCTCCCCTAGCCAACAGCTGAGGCTTGATTATAGCTCTCCCCTAGCCAACAGCCGAGGCTTGATGTTAGGTAAAACAAGAATACTTTATTGGAGTGATTGTCCCCTTTTTATACCTGGGTCCCTAACAGGGGGTCACCAGGAGAACAATGGGATTTCACAATTCATGGGTGTCTGTACCCGATGTTAACTTTATTACCAGCTAGGCACCGAAAAATAAAACACTTCAAGCCATATGTTCATCTGCCCTCATCCCTAAGCTGGTGTGACCCCTGGATAGCTCTCCCCTAGACCGATGTTCTGTTCAGAAAAGCACCCGTATCGGAGGTGCCTAGAGTTCCAGACCACTGGGTGAAAAGTCCCGGTCACTTTTAATGTCTGTTTACGAAGTCAGTACGTGGAGCTCCCTCAAGTCCTGTCGTGTCATTCACCTCCTCTATCACACATCCAAATAGCACCCTGTTAGATGGTTCTTGATAAAGTTTGACCGGGCCGCAGTGATTCCGCAATCTGATCGAAAGTTCCAGGAGCTTTGTAGGTTGCTCCCGGTCAGGCACGCCGTGCATCTGTGAGTTCCCTGCCTGTCTCAGAGGCCCCCTGGACCACTGAATAGGAATGCTAGGCAGGGAGACATGATCTGGAGGGGGAATAAGTATGTGATAATTGTCTTTTCAGGAGAAGGTAGTGGCAAGGCCTAGGTTACCGGGTGTGATATTGTGTGGTTGGAAACCTCATGAGGACTTTTATATTGTGTGGTTTGACACTAAGTCTCCGGGTAGTATAAGGAGTCTTTACATGTGAGTGCAATTTATGTAGAACTAGCACTTAAGTCTAACGGTACGGTGGATGTTTGTTCTTTCTTTTTACATTTTTAACCCCTTAAGGACACGACTTCTGGAATAAAAGGGAATCATGACAGAATATTTCCGTCATGTGTCCTTAAGGGGTTAAGGATTTGTGTAGAAATTAAAAGATTTTTTTTTATTATTACTGGCATCTATAAAATTCCTACATATTCCGCAGGGCTGAAAAAAAAGTGATTGTCACATTTTTAAGTGTGTCAGTATCCTTGGTACACGGGGTTCCTGCTTGTGTTTTATAAATTCAGTGAACTCCTTAATTGAATTAGTACTAATGACATTCCCTAATTGGTTACTTTCGTATTGTACTTTTCTTTTCAGGTTTTGTTTCTTCTGTATTTACCAGTGATTTGTTTTAACAGGTCAGCCGATTGGCAGGAACACTAAACCTGCCCATAAATGGAACCAGGGCCTTTTCTAACCAAGTAAGTAGGTTTATCGCCATCTTTATATACCGTGGTGTATTTGAAATACCCAAAATAAGCAATAACACAATAAGACAAGTGGGATGAACACACAAAACAATGCAATTTCATTTATGTAGACACATGTGTATCCTCCCCAGAGTTAAACGTACCTGTATAATGCAAAACAAGTTCACTGTACAAATATAATGCAGAGCAATATACATGCTGCTAAAAGTTGATAAGCCGTATCCATTCCAACATGGATGATACTGCTATGCTAGTTTTGTTAGCTGCTTGGAAACTGATCATGGTTTTTGGTTCAGATGGCGCTGAGCAGGGTTACATCTCTAATTTCACATCTCTGTTACAGATGCAGACGGTGACCCTGATACCAGGAGATGGGATCGGGCCAGAGATTTCAACGGCCGTCATGAAAATTTTCGAGGCAGCCAAAGTGAGTACGACGGGAAAGAACACAACACAAACCTACACAGAACTACTTACTAAATTATTGATATTGAAATTGTGTAGAATTTTTTTAAATTCATCTCAGTATAACACTGATTAAGGACTTTTTTTTTTTCTCGTTACTAATGATTTGAGTGTCTGTCCAACATGCAGTGGTTTTCAGAATGAATGCATGCTGGGAAATGCAAATACATCACTGTTACTGACAGCACAATCCTGGAACTGTCAGTGTCACTGTTTACCTGAAGATTTCGGCAAGTGCCAGAAAAGTCAGATTTAGAACTTTTTTGTAATGGAGGAAAACATCAATTCGTGTTGGTACTCCTCCTACAGTAGTGTTTGAAGCGGTTTTATAGTAGTCCTATATCTATTATTGTGAGTACACAGCGTTCTTTGCAAATTGCTTGTTTTATCCCTAACTGCATATACCCCAACATATGTTCACATCAGAGGACGTTTTAAGTTATACCTTATTTAAACTTGGCTTCTCTGGAAAGAGCAAGGGTTGTCAGGTCTTTTCGACTTTTAACTAGTAAAGCGAGTCTTGTTTTGGGTGTGTCGTTGTGTTTGTATACTGTATTGTTTTGAGATTCTAGTTGAAGAACAAAAACCTTTTTAACATTTCTAGCCTAGGAATTTCACTTATTTTGTGTGGTGCTGCTCCTTTATGAAGCGGCTGATAATAAAACTGGTTTTATTTTTATATTTTGTGTCTGCACATTAGGTGCTTAATAACGGAGTCCATTCATAGTGTTTGTGTTGAATTCTCCTCCTCCTACACAGACTGTGTTTAATGTAGCATCCTCAAACATTCAGTGGGACACCCCAAACTCCAGCCTTCCTGGGCATGACATGGGAAATATGATGGGGAGTATGATGGCTGGGGAAAACTTCAGAAATCAATTTAAGAGTAGGATTAATAGGTGATTGAAATATATTGATGGGATGAAATAGGAAAATTATTATTTTCACTTATATACAGTGGAAAGGCAAGGTTCTATGTATCCACCAAAACAAATTAATCCAGAACAAATACATAGGGCAGTATAGCCTGGGTGTTATGTTACATTGACCCCAAATATAGCACTTTCAAGCTGTAACTGACGTTCAGGCATGCCACTATACACACAGATTTATTTCTTGTGATCTAGTCTCTAATAATAAACTACTTTGAGTGTAGAGTGTTGGAACAAAATAAACAATTTATTGGGTCTACACACAAATGGCAATAACAAAGTTCTCTCTGATCAGTTGCTCCAGAATCCGCCCTCGCCCCGAACTCCAACATAACAGGACAAACACCACACTGATTTTAAAAAAAGTCCAAAAAAGAGTTAAAAGTCCAAATGAAACTTAAATGGACAGTCCAAACACCCAAAGTGCTTCAGGCTGCAGAAATGCTTTATGAGTTAAGAGTGTGTGCCCTTTTTATTTTCCATTTTACCAAAAGTGGAGGATTCAGTAGAAATGATCACTTTTATTAATAAATCTTGTTACATCCTGTGGCTTTCAAGCAGATAACCGGCCCTGTTCTCTTCCTAATAGTTTAGCTCAGTGGAACTACATTCAAGAGAAATTGCCCAGAGCACCTGCCTGGCATAAACGTCTGTGTGTTCCTTTAATGGTAAACACTATATAATCTTAAAGGAACACTCCAAGCACCAGAAACACTACAGCATAATGTAGGATTGCCCTGGTGCCCCCACATTGTAAACCAAATAGTTTTAGATTGGTTTGTCTTCTTACTCTTGGTCTGCCTCCTAGCCTTCTGATAGAGAACCAGAAGCTCCTAAGCAATAGCTTCAATTAGTTCTCCTGAGCTAAGCCTCGCAGTGCAGGGCTAGCTCATTGGCTGAAAACTGAAGAAAATGTCCCGACAGCCTGGATTCACTGGACCCAGTCTGCCATAGAGTTATGCACTCCTTGGCGTGCATGTGTCAGGAAATCACACTTGCTGAGCTGTTGTAATGCCAGAGCCACTTAGATACCTTGAAAGCTTGTGAATATCCCTGCATTGCTCTGATGTTAGCTTGACTCAGCAATCGGTTTTCTGCTCCTGGATGAGTCAAACAGGGCTTACCTTACTGAAAGAGGAGAAATACAAGGACAAAGGGAGAATGCGGTTGAGAAACACAGGGATATAGGACTTTGATACATGGGATGGTAATGGGACATTAGACTGGTTTGCAAATCCTTGTTAAATCAGGCCATATGATATTTGTACATTTGCCTGTGTATGCTACGTTTCCTTCATTTATTTGTCCAAATATAGCTGAATTATGCATAGAGATAATTTTTTTCTTTCCTAACTACAGGCTCCAATACAATGGGAGGAGAGAAATGTCACAGCCATTCAAGGTCCAGGAGGGAAGTGGATGATTCCACCTGAAGCCAAAGAATCCATGGATAAAAACAAGATGGGCCTGAAAGGTACAACCCGATGACAAGATCTATCTGTCTATAATGTGTATCTGTGATATTGGCCCCTAATGTTGATGATCTGATTGATGAGGACATTGTACCTTGTTTACCGGTAGGACCTTTGAAGACACCCATTGCTGCTGGACATCCGTCTATGAACCTGCTGCTTCGGAAAACATTTGACCTTTATGCCAATGTGCGCCCATGTGTTTCAATCGATGGCTACAAAACCCCTTACACAGACGTAGACCTGGTCACTATTCGGGAAAATACAGAGGGTGAATATAGTGGAATTGAACATGTGGTATGTGGATTTGACTTATTGTTCCTACTTTGGCCAAGAGAAATTAGGATGTTTGCACCATTATAACGTCCATGAACAGTTAAATAGTGAGGTTTACATTAGTGTATATATAAGTTGCGTTGCTATAATTATTTCTTACGTTGTGTTTCAGATTGTGGACGGTGTGGTGCAGAGCATTAAGTTGATTACAGAGGATGCAAGTCATCGAATTGCAGAGTTTGCCTTTGAGTATGCGAGGAGCAACCAGCGGAGCACAGTGACTGCAGTACACAAAGCCAACATCATGTGCGTTATTTTTCCCATTATATAGCATGAATAAAGGGGGAGAGAGAGAGACTAGAATTAAAGGAAAGAGTGTAAAGGATGAAAGTATGGAGCTGGCAGAGAGGGTTAGACATACTGGAGAATCCAGAGAGAATCCAATGTTGGAGATGTTCTGCATACTTGGAAATGCTTGCTGGAGAAGCTGTTGTAAGAAACATAAAACAGATGCCTATGCCCTACAGTGTTTTTGTAGAATTTATACACATTGTGACTGTAAATTGTGTCAAAAACATAACTTGTCTTTTGTATATTTTCAGGAGGATGTCTGATGGTCTTTTTCTGCAAAAATGCAGAGAGGTTGCTGAAAATTATAAAGACATAAAGTTTAATGAGATGTACCTGGATACAGTATGTCTTAATGTAAGACCCCAAAATCAAAGCATTATGTGCTGTATTGATATTGCTGTTAGTCTAGCCTTATTTGCACAAAACAGTTTGGTTTTGTTTCTGAAAGACAAACATTACAAGGTTAAGCTAAAATAGCCCAACTGTTTGGATTTTCCTAATTAGTAAACGTTGGAATTTGGTTTCCACTTAACTACAATTTAGGTAATAGTGACTAAACCCCTTTGTGTATAATGCACTTTTTACTGCAGCTTCACTTTCATTTCCATTATTTGTGTCTCCTTACAGATGGTCCAGGATCCCACACATTTCGATGTGCTAGTCATGCCAAACCTCTATGGGGATATCTTGAGGTATGTGGACACGGACGCAGATTAACACAAATCCTTCTGACTGTTACCCTGACTTACTATAATGCCACCATGCTCCAATAGATAGAATTTTTATTCTGGTGTTTGTATTTCTAAAACATAGTTTGAGGACATTCTGTTTTATGGCCATAGGTCAAATAAGGACAGAAAAAAAAGAAAAGGTTCATACAGAAGTGCCAAAGGTGGTGGTGTTTTTTGTTTGTTTTTTTTTTCCTTTCTTTTCGTGTCATTAAAGGGGCACTATAGTCACTAGAACAATTACAGCTTATTGTATTTGTTCTGGTGAGTATAATCATTCCCTCCAGGTTTTTTTCAGAAAACACTGTTTTCAGAGAAAATATTTGATATTACAGCATAGGGATACCTCCACTGGCCACCCCTTAGATGGTTACTACAGGTGCTTACTGGGGCAGTGCTGCACAGTGTGCAGCACTGCCATTCTGTGTCTCCACCCTTTGCATGGAGACACTGAACTTTCCTCATAGAGATGCATTGAGTCAATGCATCTCTATGAGGAGATGCTGATTGACCAGGGCTCTGTTTTTCTTGTGCTGGCTCTGCCCCTGATCTGCCTCCTTGACAGTTTCATCCCATTCAATGCATTCCTATGTTTTTAACACTATAGGGTCAGGAAAACATGTTTGTGTTTCTGACCCTATAGTGACCCTTTAAAGCCATGTAAAGTAACTTGCCTGTAATGCATTTGTCTTATCTTAACCATATGTACACACAGATAAGGAATACGTGCATCTGCAGGGTTATGTAAAGAAACCATAGGAAGTAATGTGTGCTAGACTATAAAACTTGAAAACTCAACATTTAAGTGCCTGTGGTAATTTCTTTAATTGGGTAATACGCATTTGTTTTATCGCTAATTTTATAATTCTTTCTTTCCTCCTCCAAGTGACTTGTGTGCTGGGCTAATCGGTGGTCTTGGAGTTACCCCAAGTGGTAATATTGGGGCGAATGGAGTGGCGATATTTGAATCGGTAAAGTAATATCTTGTATACACTTAACACTAAAATCCCAGTAAACCAGATTGAGCACCATAACCATTTTTGCATTACAAAAGATTACACCAGCTATTATGGTCAAGGGATGTGTAGCTGTCTTCTCTGAGATATTCTAGAAGCTTATATTCAAATACCTTGACACCTGTGAATGTTTTATCAGGTTTTGAAAACCGACAATCTTACACGAATAACGTTGTGTATGAGAGAAGCTTTCTGAGAGAAAACATAGACTCTGTACCCAAAGAGTTGCCAATGTGCATCTGTATGACATTGTCCATTGCAGTTTTATATTCATCAAAACCAAGAGACCTTTATTCACCAGTACAAGAAAGTTATTCTTTAATATTATCTCCTAATCTTATTGTGTTGTTGTCTGCTATAACATCTGGCAGCCTTGTTAAATCAAGGCTGTGTGGCTAACTCATGACTGATCTACTGGAACGTTTTGTTTGTGTTTGCCGTATTTAGCTAAATAGCTAACCTCATTCTTCTCTATGTAGGTTCATGGGACCGCTCCCGATATCGCAGGGAAGGACCTGGCTAATCCTACAGCTTTACTTCTCAGTGCAGTCATGATGCTGCGTCACATGGGTCTACAGGAGTATGGGCGCAAAATAGAGGCTGCCTGCTTCGAGACCATTAAATCAGGCCAGGTGAGAACAGATGGCTTCATTGACACAATAAGTTGTGCATGTTCCTATTTATTTTAAGATTCATTTAACAATATTACACTTGTCCATAGTGGACATGGTGCTTCATTTTAAATGTTTATACTATACCTTTAAGTAATATATTGACATGTATTCTGTCACATGAAGGCAAGCTTGAATAAGTCGTAGTTTAGGTTAATCTCACATTCAAAAATGACATTGACAGCAGTTTGTAGAAAATGTACTCACCTGAGCATTGGCATAAATGGCAGACTAATACAAGTCACGAACATTGTGGAAAGCATGTTGGTACGTTGTTGTAAGCCTAATCAAGCTACACTAGTTAGCAAACTTAAGCCGTCATCCTGTGCTTGACCTTGAGTACATTACTCACAAAATCTAAAAAATCCAGTATCCAGACTTGTATTCCCAAAATCACCTGTATGCACTGCACAACATGGACAAACAGCAAACCAAATGTCAAACACAACTATCCGTAAGGTGATTGGTACAGAAATAAAGTATCTCTATTAAAAATATAAAATCTGGAGCATGCTTTGTGACTTTAAATATATTCCTCCGTGGGCTGTAACTGTGAAATATTTTGCACAAAAATTAGATTAAAAAAATTGGTCTTCTATAACTCAGGATTGTTTGAAATGCCATCCAGCATAATGCAAATATAAAAAGGGAAAATATATATAGTATAAAACCCTTTCTTACATAAAAAAACATTAAAACTAATTAAGGAGGCTTACAGCAGTGTTGGTGGGACCGCTATGGTTTTAAACCCGCTGCTGCGCTTTCAGTATTAAGATCTGCTGCTTTAATCTCTACTAGTTTTAAACGTCCACCACTCCTGATTCCCGTCTGTATCCTTCAATGGAGCCTGGTTTGTTTGTCAGTGAGAAGCAGTCGTAAGTTAAGTCAATGGCCTCAAGTTTAATGTCGATGGATACTCTAGTTTTGTTTTAATTCTGTGATACTGCAGAACTGGGTATATAAAATAATAAAAGCTGCAGCGTGTAAGACACGGACACAAGAGGTGATCTGGATGGCTAAATGTTATCCTTTGCATGTATGCGCAAAGCCAAGGTGAGATTCTCAACATGTTTGGGTGCTGACTAGTATTCCGTACAGAACATAGACCAGAGACTTCTGAAAGCACACTGCGATGGGCAAGCAATACTATAGTAGATTAACACACCAGGAAGGCTGCATTCAACTTCACTAACCAATATCCATAAATGATAAATAAATACAAATTATAACCACATTTGCATTCTGCCTCTCCTTTCCTAGTCAATGCATTTTCTGACAGTTTAACAAACTTAGCTGTTGATGTAATATTTTTAGATCAGTGTTTCAAATGATTTAATATTTTTGGATAAATGTTTAAAAAAAAAAATCAAAATATTAAAATATCAATTTATAAAATAAATGTTTTCCAACATATTAAATCATTTTAAAAGTTTATGCAAAAATATTAAATGAGGGCCTCGTTTGGTAAATTACACTTTAACTTTTACTTGAAGCAAGCTTGGTCCAGTTATCCACTGTTCTTGATAGCAGAGCCTTTTAAAAACACTTCTCAAATGATGCCAAAATCACCTCTTTTTTCTTTCCTGTGTTGTAATTTGTAGGCACGGACAAAAGACTTGGGAGGAAATGCCAAATGCTCTGACTTTACTGCTGACATCTGCCGCAGGATACGGGACAGTGACTAGATCTGCCATGCTTTTTCATGATGCAAGTCCAGCCAGCTGATTATCACACGCACATAATATTCTGCTAATTACTGATTTCATTCATTAACATGTAATCCCTTCTCTGCCATAGAGGTCTATTGTCACATGGTCCTCTCTGGCAGTAAAAGGGTTTAAATCGTTAAAGCCAAGTGGAAAATGTGTCGATGGAAAAAGCTAAAGTTTTCACGTGAAATGCTAGAGGCATAACAACGCCCCATAAGATTGCTGGTATTTTTAGCTGACGCCGGAATAAAATAACTCCTTTATTTAGATAAACTGGAATTTTAAGAAAAGAGAAGCCACCTTGGTTGCCTTGATATCTTGTACCTTACAAAGACGAGGGGTGTAAGTCCTATGTAGATCACATAGTAAAAAGAAAGGGAACTAGAGTATGACACACAAATATTCAAGTAATTAGCAACACATCAAATAACTAAAGGTTTTTAGTAGATTATCTTTGGTGCGTCATGCAATCCCTAATGCTCATTCTAACCTATCCTCTAGCTCCCGGTGGCCCTTCTAATCACTCCATAAGATTAACACTCTTATAAGATCTGCATCTCATGGCTTGATAAAAGCACATAGCATTCCCAACATCTCTTTATATATCATCTCACAAGGCATCTACTATTGCTTCATATAATAAGGGGCTATCGCTTCCGGGCTGTACTGACTTTAATTAGTTTGGGCCAGTAGGAGCTTTTTCCGAATGTATTTATGTTACACTTTGACATATGGAGAAAGGGTAAATATTTTTTTTTGTTTAAGATAAGTTAATCTTTATGCAGCATCTTTAGTGTGGCTGGATTCTTTTTTTTCTCCCTCTGTTGATTTGCAATGCTCTTAATTATTATGATAATTGGTGTTACAATATACTGCTTGGTGTACTTTGATCTTGTCTTTTTGCCAAATGTCTTTTATGGCTGCTATGTTGTTGGGGCAATTGACTTAGCCTTTTCTTAAGGATGAATATAACAGTTACATTTAACCACTCCACATTATCTGTCCTTTGCAAAGCTGCATTTAATTATACTTGTTATTCTCTAAATATTAGATCCTCCCACCTGCCCTAATGCAATATTTATGCCGTTATGTGGCTTTGAGCCATGCATTTAAGTTGGAAAGAAAATACTCTGATTTGGTTGACTGATCGCTCCATTTAGCAATACACCACAAGAGGGCACTGAAGCACACTGCTCCACGAGGCGTTAAAGCACAGTCCAAATCCACCTGTATGAATGTCTTGTTAAAGCCTTAAACGTTTCATTTTGGAAGCTGTATTTATTATATATCTGTTGGTGAATTCATTTTGTAATTCTTGCAATTTGAGTTACTGCTTTATATCCATTTACACTTGACTTTGTTTTGCATCTTTATTAAATGTGCAATGTCTTTTGAAAGAGTCATTTAATATGACTGCAATGCTTATTCATCTTGTGTGTGCCTGTTCTGTTTATTTAAAATAAAAAAAATAAAAATAGAGCACATCTTTCAGACTCATAAATGGGGAATTTCTTTAACTGATAAAGGAGTGCTGGATTACAAAAAAAAAAATATATATTTTTTTTATTTAATGTACCTTGGATTTAAAAAGCTGGTACAAGGTCAACATTAGCAAACTGTGCAAAAATATATTTTGTGATTTACGGTTACTAAATGTAACGATACACGGTTGCTACTAAACAGATGAAAGATTATAGGAGCACATTTACATCAATATAAACATATAGGCCTTCATTTATTATTTTTGGATATGCATTTACAAATGATCAATATGTTATATAATATACTGACGTCACCACTAAAGTCTAGGGAAGTTTTTGTAGATCATTTGAAAAACGTATCCAAAAGTATTAAATCAACGCCATGGGCTTACCTGCAACTCTTAATTATATGCTAATCTATGTTTTAACATTTGGATAACCTAAACATTTATACATTTGTTATAAATGCAGTGTTTGAACACCTGAGATAAGGCAACACATTTTGTAGAGCTGTACAACAGGGTATGAAAATCGGTTTGGAAAAACATGATTAACAGAAAAGAGATGAGGAGGGTCTTGCTCAAATTACATTACAGTCTAGGGCAGGGATAGGCAACCTTTGGCACTCCAGATCTTGTGGACTACATCCCCCATAATGCTGGCAAAGCATCATGGGAGGTGCAGTCCAAAACATCTGGAGTGCCGAAGGATGTCTACGCCTGGTCTAGGAAAATGGGATCTACGTATGAATGGAGGTTTAGAGCAATAGGTTCATTGTACAGAATAAGAAAAGAAGAGATTATCCAATGTGAAATCATTGTCCTAATAAATGGGATAACTGCAAGGAGTGAGACTGGATGAACAAACTGTATAAGTTGTCAGAAGAAAGACAGAGCGGACTGGTGTAGAGAGGGGGGAATTACCTAAACTGAAATGCTTGTTTAAAGAATGAAAGACTTAGGGATTATTTCAAGAATCAGAGACAACGTGAAAGATCTTTTAGGTCAAGTTCGGGCATTCCACAAACAGGATTCAGAGCTAAGATGTTGAGTCTTATTTGTGAACGGCAACATAAAATTACTGGTGGAGCAGAATAGTCAGTTAAGGTCGTACCTTCAGCTTAAAAGATACATGAAATTAATGCATTTCTATGTTGAGAGCCTTGTTGGTAAAGGTTTGCATTTAAAATGTAATTCGATCAATAAACAGGGCATCATTTAAAAAAAGTACCTTTAAAAAGGGAAGCAAATCTGACTCTGAAAGGACTTGAAATCACATTACTAATAAATCATCAGGAACCTAATATTGGGGTGGGCATGAGCAGAACGAACACGACAAACTGCTTACCTGACTTGAAAATGTGCCTGAACAATGTTTATAAACCATTCCTTGTTAATCAGTTATAACAAACTGGGAGGGTGCCATTAACTTTGCAGTAGTGGCCTACTGAGATCAACATCATAAGATTAAAGGGACACACACAATAGGCACCTAGACTACTTCAACTCAATGAGGTGGTCTATGTGGAGTGCATTGCTCCTGTACTGTATAACATTGCAGTTTCAGAGAATTTTATTGCTAAAGTTACACCGACAGCCCTATATGGTGCTTCTGCAATGAGAACCAAGACCAATTCAGTTCTTATGGTTCACACATCCACACACATAGCATGAAGGAGTCAAATGTTTGATTAATGGTTTGGCTTTGAGTAGTTGAAGAGGAGCCACAAAACGGGAGTGTCTGCTGGACGGGGTTGTCTTTTGGAAAGAGAGGGATTGTAGTAGGGTGGTTAGTTTTAGATGATTGTAATGAGAGGATGTAATAGTCGTTGTGTTTGACCAAATAGTCTATTTTTAGACTAGTATTAACATCGGTGTGTTATATGAACCAATCAGGGTTATTTAGTAAAGTGTGAATTGAAGGTCGAAATAGCCAAACTGACTATGTTTTCCAATCACTTCTGGCCTTAAATTTAAAATTCACCCTGAATTCTCCTTTTAGTGAATTACCCTTATAGTTTTTGTTTCTTCTCTTTATTTGCTATGTGCAATTTTTTAAAATATAATTTGAAAAGAAAACAGAATATTTCACGAAAAAAGTTTAACACAAGTTTTAATTGGTGTAAATTCCTGAGTGACAGAGGCGTACATGGCTCACTCATGGAATATTAAATGTCATCCCTGCCAAATCAATCAGATCACACATCCTGTCACAGTCTGTACAAACGGGCAAAATGTGCCGCCTACATGGTGGAGTGTCTGAGTGAGTTCCATTGGCTTTTTTTGAGAGTCTAACGATTATACATTGCAGGCTCTATTTGATTCAAAGGCTAGAACCAGCAAAGAGATACAGGATGATGGGGAATACAGTTTCAAATGCCTGGCAATCAATACCTGAGAAGGTTTGACTTGTGGCTTCTATATTGGGCAAACAAATCAGGAAGTGCTACTCCCTTCTCCATTTAAGCCACATAACTCTGATCAGGGCTCAAAATTTGCGCTTGCTATTACGGAGTGAAAATGTATCCCTGGCTAGTAGAACTTCACCCCTGGTGCGGGATGTGGACTCAATAATGACACCTGGTCTTCAGCAGATTGATTACCATCAGTATTTTATTTTTTGTTATTATGATTTTACATTTGATCAATAAATGCAAATTGTATTATTTTATAGTGTACCACTGCTATACATTTGCTTGGATTTTTCTATATTTTTTTTTCTATTTGAAGTGGAAGCAGATTTCATGAAACGTAATTTCCATAGATTAATTGATCGTTTTATGTTTGTAGTTATATTGTATTAGCACAACTTAACCTGTTCTTTTCATGGAGATATTGCGTGAAGCGCTGATTTTTTTCTTTGAGATGGAAGTGGACTGAAGATTCAGTTGTTTCTGGTATTCAAACCTTTCCTTGTGTGGTTAGTATTATACGGTTTGCATTTTTTTTTAAATTAAAGTTTAAGTTATTTTGTTAATTTTGGCCAATCTGTCTCCCTATCTTCCTAATAACTTGTACTCAAAGGATAAGGGGACAGCAGACAGACATCATGCCAGTGATGATGTAAACATGTTGATTGGACTTGGTTGACCTGGTATTTCTTTCAATGGAATAATTCCTATAAGAAGCGTAATGATGGAGTAGTAATCATTCTATAGAGTATAGGTGTACAGTGTCTATTTTAGGATGTTCTTCAGCCGTGTCTGTTCAAATACTCCTCAAACCCATTTCATATTTTCCCACCCAAAAACAAATCCAGCCTCCTCTCAAATGATCTCTCTCCTTTGAAACTCTTCTGCTTCTCTCATGGTTTCCTTTAAACCTCACAAATACCATCAGCCTAAGCTCAGTGCTGCCTCTACCAAATTTGGGGTTATTCATGCTCCTCCAGTATACCATTATCTGCCTCCACTGAAATAATGTGTGTGTACATAGTTAGACAAACAGGTAGATATGACAGTTTTACTTGATCATATCACTTTATCTTAAATATAACTATTGCAATAAATCCGGTTATAAACATATTCAGCTAATATTATACAAGCCCTCGCCACTGGTAATTTCCCTGAGAAACTCCAAGTGTGTCATGTGTTGTTGTATGATTAAGAAACAAAGCACTACTGTTTTGTTGCTTAGAAAATTTTATTGGCAAAAACATGCGAAGACAGTCAGCAATATATTTTGTACATCACACTACACAAGGATTGTAATTCAGCTTTCTGTAGCTCTTAAGAAAGAAAAAGAATCTAAGCTTATTTGGCGATGTACACAGGCTTCTAACAGCAGCAGCGGTAAGTTCGGATCCCTTGGATTCTGCTAAGTGTGAAAAGGTGGCTATACTTGGTACCGTGATACATGTTAGCATAGTTCTTATGTATTCATTTGCATACAAGGAAATTCACTTTGATTCACATGCCACCCTTAGATGGACAAACCTCATTATTCGGTGTAAAAGGCTTCCACTTCTTTACTGTACTTCTCTAAGATTGCATATCGCTTTATTTTCATTGTGGGCCCTAGAAAGCAGGATACACATCGTGAGAAAGAAAACACTGACAGGTTTGAGTAGAAACAAATATGCGACAGGTGGTTCCTAAAGGTTTATTTACTAAGCCAAGAATTTGTGAAAATTCAGAATAAAAAATAAATAAAAATTCGACCAAAAACTGGGAACACTACTAAAAATGGATTTTTTGATGTAGTGCACACATTGACAAAAAAAAAGTTAAAAAAAAAAAAGTTTTGTAAACAAGCCTTCTAATCGAAACAAATACATTGAGGTGTGTGTGTGTTGGTCAGTGTTGCGATGGCTGCGGCTGGACAGTGGAGGAACTGGAGGAGCACGGAGGCACGCAATGCCACGTCACATTTCGACGTGACATCAACGCTCTCCACCTTTACAGGTTTTCAAGGAGTAGCGGGAGGATCCGTTTTGGCATAGGGTGCAGACGGCGCCATTGGAGGTATACCAGAGGATGGACTCCAGAGTCGCATACTGGCAGCAGCAATGTGAGTGTTGGGTCTGCTTGTTGGCTAATACTGTATTTTTTTTTTTTTTTTTAAACAAGGGCCGGGGTATAGTAGAGAGGGGACTGGGATTTAGTATAGAGAGTGGGGAGGGGGGAGGGGGGGAGATTGGGATTTAGTACAGAGGGGGTACTGGGGTTTAGTAGAGTGGGACGCTGATTTTTTTTTATACGGTACTTTTCAAAACAAACCTACGTTTTTATGAAAATTTAAGTTTTTTTTTTTTTCTGCAGCCCACGTAAACTTAAATCTTGTTTATGTGACCCGTGCTAGCTTTTGAATTTGACATGCTTGGTGTAAAAAGGTTTAATGTTGTGATCGTTAATCCTTTTTTTTGTGTGTATTTTTTACCTTATATTACTTTTTTTTAATGAAAATTGCGAAGTCCTTATTTTGTATGCACCATAAATTAATTTCTGAACACCCACTCTGTACTTTCTCTACATTGTGGAAAAAACATACAGTGTGAGCATAAAATTACAAATATGTCCTTTGTTGTCCTTTATTGTTTTTTCTGCTTGGAGTGTATTAGCATTTTTTTTGAGTGTATTAACAATATTTAATTTGGAGTGTATTAGCAATATGTTTCACTAAACCATTTTCTCATTTATTGTAAAACTCCCTCCCTTGTAACATTTTAAAGGTTGCAGAATATGTTTGTGCTATATAAAGTCTAATAATAATAACTAAATTGTTGGGAATTCAAAGTCAGCAATTGTAGCGGGATCACCGCTAAACCATGAAGTGTGGTATTGTATTTGCCTATGTTCCCCATGTATTAGTGATTACTTGTGTGTTTTACCTGCTCTCTGTTCGGGAGACCGTGTATGAACGCAACCCGTTCATCTCCCGAACGGGGGCAACCCCAATACCCCATTTAGAATGTTTACACCTTGCTAATGAGGTTTGAAAACCACAAACCGCAAGGGAAGCCCCGGCGCGTGCCGATCCGGGGTGGCGGCCCGTTCGTAAGACGAACGCCATCCAGGGGGACCATTCGCTGATTGCTTCCCACCTCGTTTAGTCCCACCTCGTTTAGTGTTCACACCAATCAATTAGAACATTGGCAACTTGCAACATAAGTGAGAAACCGCAAGGGAAGTAATTAATGAGTGTTTCCCTGGGTGGCAACCGCTCATATAGTTGAACGCCGGCCAGGGGGAGCATTCGTACCCAGGGACCCCACGAGAGGAAGTCCAGAAGGCGAGACTCTTTCCCATGCCAGGACTCCCAGGTACAGAGAAAATTGGGTAGAAGTGGGAAAACTTTGTATTTGTGTGGCGGAAACCAGGGACAAAGGGATTGGAGTTCCTGTCACACGCACAGGCCCCTGGTAGAGGGAGGACCCTGGGAGGGGACATGAAGTGGCGGGAACAGGGGACAAAAGGACTAGGGTTCCAGTTCCAATATATGACTCCTGGGATGGGACATTGTCTATTACCGGTGTTCCACCCCCTTGCATAGTATAAAGTCGAGTGTGGCCAATAAAGCTTGTTGTTGTACCCCTGGAACGGTGTGTCAAAGTTACTGGGAGAAAATGGGTCTCTTCACTTACTAATAGCGGAGGTAACCGGTCGGGTTACCCATGGTCCGCTACAGTTATGCCTTCAGTTTGGTTACTGTGGGATAAAATTTGTACTACACAATACAGAGTTAGGATTCCTTTGTGCCCGCAGTGCACATATCTATGGGTTCTCAAGCGACTTACCAGATATCACATGTATGAAAACCCTACAACAATATAATCTAACTCAGGAGTTTCTAAATGGTAGATCCCCAGATGTTTTAAAAACTACAGCTTCCATGATGCTCTGTCATTCTAAAGACATTCTAAAGGCATGCAAAGCATCATGGGATTTCTAGTTCTACAACATCTGGGCAGCCCTGATCTAACTCATACTCCTGAATATCACAGCCTGAGCAATAATTTAAATCAGAGTTTTTCTTACCCATCTCACCGCCAGATATTGAGAAATCCTTGGCTAAGATTGCCCATTTCTGGATGCGTTGAGCATTGGACACCGCCTCTTTGTTCACCCTATCTATTCCATCTTGAATAGCTTTATACACCGCCTGGTCTTTCTGTCCCACGATTTCAGACACCGTCGTGGCCTTACTACCAGCATTGTGACAGAAGAGTACAGCTTCCTGAGTTAGGTTATCCATTGGCTCCAAGGTTTCCGGTTCCACGGCACTCTGCAAAGAGAACGCTTATTCACATAATTTGCCAGAGAACACGTGTAGTGGGTAAGTTATGGAACATACCTTGAGGGTGAGCAGCATTGATAAAAATTTTCTCCTGTCCCCAATTAATACAGCATTACTGACTATAGGCAAATGTCTCTTTACAGCATCTTCCAAGGCAACGGGAGGAACATTCTCACCTCCTGCCGTGATAATCAACTCTGCTCGAAAAGAGAAAAAAAAAAAAAAACAGAAAAATGCATGTTATACTTCTATATTGCTATTATACAACTCTGAAACACAGCACAGTGATCGACAGATAAATGAACAAACATTTATAGGTACATTAGGTGTACTGACCCTCCTTCCCTTTCATTTTAGAACATAAACCTTGTTTATATCCATCTCATACAGGGATATTTACTAAAGTGAGATTTCAAGGTGAATTTAAAATTTAAGGCCAGAGTAGCCAAACTGAACGTATTGCGGACTTGGAGAATTTTTCCAGTTCGGTTATATTGATCTTAAGTTTGAAATTCACTTTGAACTCACCATGGTAAATAATCATGATATATGCCAATCATGATGTAAACATGATTCTCTTATCCACATTTCCTTCAGTTACCCTTTTTCTGTTGCTCCATGTCAGGTCATACATATCTTCTCTATAGAGTGTTCTATATTCGGTTTTCCATTATATAGGTGTCCCGTTAACACTTTCTACTTAAAGGGACATTCCGGGCACCAATTCAACTATAGTGCATTTGATAGATTTTGGTCTTATTAACATGCTGTCATTTTTTGCATGCTCAAATCTTTACAGTTTTTTGCATAAAATAAATGTTTTGCTAAATGTTTCACCATAAGCCTGCCTCCTTAGCCACACCCCCTCACTCCAGAAAAATACCTCCTTATCAAATGTATGTCTGCAGTCTGAGCCCCTGACAGTATTGAATGAGCTACTTTTAATTCATAATGTGTCTGCAGACAGTCAAGAATACTACAAACAGGTAATGATACCCTTACTATCAGGGTTATTCACTAAAGTGAGAATTCAAAGTGAACGCAAAAGAGATTTAAGGTTTAACCCCTTAGTGACCAAACCGTTTTTCAATTTTCTTACCATTAAGGACCAGGACTGTTTTTACATTTCTGCGGTGTTTGTGTTTAGCTATAATTTCCTCTTACTTATTTACTGTACCCACACATATTATATACAGTTTTTACTCTCCATTAAATGGTCTTTCTAAAGATACCATTATTTTAATCATATAATTTACTATAAAACAAATGATGAATACAATATGATGAAAAAAAAAACAAAACAAAAAAAAAAAACACACCTTTTCTAACTTTGACCCCCCAAAATCAGTTACAAATCTACAACCGCCACAAAACACTTGTGCTAAATAGTTTCTAAATTTTGTCCTGAGTTTAGAAATACCCAATGTTAACATGTCCTTAGATTTTTTGCAAATTATAGGGCAATAAGTACAAGTAGCTATTTCCAAACCATTTTTTCCCACAATTAACGCAAGTTACATTGTAACACTGATATCTGTCAGGAATCCCTGAATAACCCTTCACATGTAAATATTTTTTAAACAAAGACAACCTAATGTATTAAACTTGGGGTATTTTTACTCTTTTCATGCAACCGTTTTACCACCAATCTATGCCAAATTTAAAAAAAAAAAAAATCAAAAAAAATTGGTGATTTTTTTTTTTGACACACATAGCAATTTAAGAATACATGTGCTGAGAACTTTAAGGGTTACTGCCAAAGAACACCCCGATAAGTGTTCATCAACATCTCCTGAGTATAGTGATACCACCCATGTCTAGGTGTGTTGAGTTCTCTGCAGGCTAAAAGACCTTATTTGGAGGGTGCACATTCCAGTTTTCCAACTTGGAATTTTTACAGCTGGTCATCATACACCCATGTCCTATTTGGGACATTTTTGAAGCCAGCCAATGTAACTGACCCCCATCAAACCATATATTTTTGAAAAGTAGACACCCTACAGTATTTCAAATGGTGGTATTTTAACACTTTCCATGCACTAATTCTACCACCAGTCTTTGTCAAACTGTTAGGTAGTAATTTTTATGTGTTTTTTTTTCTCTCACATTGTAATTTAGGCATGGATTCTCGGTTCCTGTTATGTGTTAGTGCCAAAGAACACCCCAATATGTGTTCTGCAATATCTCCCGAGTACAACAGTGCCTCCAATGTACAGGTTTTATGTGGTTTTGCAAACTTAAAGGGGTCAAATATAGGGCGAGGGCCCCACGATCACATGGCCCAGGAGGGCCATATCGGGCAGTGGTGGTCTGCCTGATCTCCCAACCAGACCCCAGGGTTGTGATTGCCGGCAAGGAATCGCCAGCGATCAGGTAAGTCCCGATCTACTAAATGACGTACAAGGTACGTCCATGGTTGCTTTTTGGCGGACGTACCTGGTACGTCACTGGTTGGGAAGGGGTTAAGTAGCCAAAGTGGAGACATGCTTTAACTCAGCTATGCCTTCAGCTTGGCTACTCTGATCTTAAATTCACTTTGAATTCTCACTTTTGTAAATAATCCTGTATATGTCTGTCCTCTCCTTCTAATACAGTTTGCCTTTGTAGTTCAGATCATGCATTACTGGCAATGGCTGAGCTGTGTGCATACATTAAAGGGGCACTATAGTCACCAAAACAACCATAGCTTAATGAAGGAGGTTTGCAAACACTATAAAGATTTATATATATTTATATTATACAGTGGAATGCTGCTTGGCGTCATCCAATATACCCTAAACCAACACATTTTCGTGACAAATAAATTAAAATGCAAAACTAGCAAATAAATGAACAAACAGCTGATTTGTAAAAAAGCTTTAACTACGCTATAGTCACATCTTGACTATTTTATCCTCAGAGTTTTGTGAATTACAGATGCATAACCTCTGGTATCGTAGATTATGATGACTCTACAATCAGTCAGTGGTATTATGTTACCATGATATAAAGTTCAATGTGCATGCTGCCTTCTCTCTACCAGATATATCAGTTCCAGTCTGTTAATTGCAGTTTCTAATGCCCTCTAAATACTATATCAGACACTGTTTAAAATGATGGCACCATATAAATTATGATTTGTAAACTGCGAGTGCTTAAACACATCAAATATACTACCACCACATAAATACCATCAAGTTACCCCAACCTAAAGCATAGAAGCAGGTTTTAAATAAAAGCTGAAAGCCAATTTTGAGATTGTACCTTTTATCCTTCCCGTCACCTGCAGAAACCCATCATCATCCAACTTCCCAATATCTCCAGAGTGTAACCAGCCCTCGTCATCAAAAACTTCTCTTGTCCTGTCCTCCATGTTTAGATATCCCATGAAGACGTTCCGACCCCAGAAACAGATTTCACCATTCCCATGGTCATCTTTATCCACTAGTTTCACCCGGCACCCTGGGACAGCCTTACCACAACTGTAGGAAGGACTTCACGATCAGAAGTGGAAAGTGGAGAACATGTACAAACTGTTTCAATGGAGATCATTTAAACTATTTTTTTTTTTTATGGTTGTAGGATTAGAAGAGAAAATAGGAGATATTAGGTGTAAACTTTATAGAGTTCTACTTTAAAATTCTAGATAGATTAACAGTTATGTATCACAGTGAATAGCCTAGTAGGCTTAAAAAGATTTGCCTCAGGGACAAGAGTTGGGCAGATTAGATAGGCCAAATGGTTCTTATCTGCCGTCACATTCTAGGTTTCTATGTAAGAGTGATCTAGTATACGGATATCTATAGTGGTATTAATCTGCGTTCTCTGGGAACAAAAAAAAAGCAAGCTACTAAGCATCCAACTAACATCCAACGTGAAATTAGGTTCAACCCATACTGGTATTAAAAGTGAATCAATGACGGTGATATGTATGGATGTGTCACAACTAAGGAGAAGATGCTAAAAGAGTTTGTGGTTATTCCATTACACAGGATAATGGCATGATTTTAATAGTACCATTTAAATCTATGGGTGTTTGGTCCAGACATAAAGTGTGGTCCTGTTGTCTCAGACATGCCATATGCTTCGTACAGTGTGATATTGAGCCCTAAGAAAAACTCCAATGTTTCAGCAGATATTGGAGCTGCTCCTGAGAAATGCTTTTCGCAGCGAGAGAATCCCAAGGCCTTGCGAATCTTCGACAGGACCAGGAAATCAGCCAACGTTGAGAGAAAGGGCTTCTGTTCACCACTAGAACAAACAGATGGCAGTATATTATAAACCAGTACAGTATACCTAATCACAAACTGTTTAAATCTTTCTAATAAACTACTTTATCTGCAGAGAAGTGAGTTCAGTATACTTGGGTCAACGTGGACTTCGTCACGGGCAGAATTATTTTATTCCCACATACAACAGGTACCATTAAGACGTGATGATGGCATACCTGCCATACTCTATAAGTATACCACCATAGGCAATTAACTTCGCCAACCACAAGAGAAATGCTGCCAAACTTTGGTGATCAACCCTTAGAGCTTTCTCTATCCTTTTATGGTGTGTTCCTGTTTCTGTTCCTGGATTGATTCCTTATTTCAATCAGATGTCAGGAGGTACTTTGTTTCTTTTTATTTACGCTTTATCTTGTTTATTCTTCTCTTTATCATTATTTTATTCTTTTCTTTTTCTCATGTGTGTCTTTTCATACCCTAGTAAAAGTTGTAGTCTTATACTTATATCTTTAAATCCCAACTCAAACCATCATCCAGTTTGTATACCAAAAGGCATACATTAGATATTTTTTCTAGATCACCCTTCTAACTTTGATTATCTATTTATAATTACTACAAAATCAATTTCTTTGCAGTTGGCATGAACATCTGTGACCACAATAAAAATCCACCCATTCATATTCAATACCTTGGAATTATAAAACAAAATGACACCTGTCCTACCTGAGCAATGAGGTTTTCTTCCCGTGGTAGTTGCCGCATGAAAAAATTATATATTTTTAGCATACGTACAGATATAATTACATTGCTTATTCACTTATTTAATGGTATACTTATTCTTCATAATATACTAGTGCAAGAATTGCCTATTTTGGAAGCCAAATTTTTTTTTTTTTTTTTTTTTTATTAATAGTGAACGCTAACTTCATAACTAACTTGTATAACTCTACAGAACCACATAAGTCAAATAACCATTCCCTTTTCCTTGTGTGATGGAACGTTAAAGTTAATCACCTAATCTGCCTGAATATAAGGTTCTGATTGGCGGTGGACAATCACTTGTTTTAGGTAGATTTGTTTTACTATATGTGCCACATTTATTTACAGAAGCAGACACTATAAAAAAAAACTTCCAGTGGAAAGGACAGCTAAACCTACTCTTGTGTGTTCAGATGAAATAGAATGTGTTTTACAAGTTAATAGGGCTATTAACAGATTAGAATTTATGGCTTGCTTTTCCAACCCTGGGTGGAGAAGGTCTTAAATTAATGATAGCAGAATATATAGACTGTGTACTTCCTTGCAGGACTCCGGTTCCTTTCAAAGCTGACCGACATTGCCCAGGACAACATCTTCCTCCGAAAAACCCCAGCCTGACTCGACACATCCTTAATGCGTTCCATGACTTTCTCCCACACTCTTGGGACTCCCATGTGTGATGTAGGCTGTACATCTCTCAGTGTGTCCACAAGCGTCCCCTGTCACAGCAACAAAAATGGTATATTAACAAAGGGGTTTATCCAGTGGACGCTTGTCCATAGTGTCATTAGGGGCAGCAGTATTCCACCACATAACTGTAAGCAATATATATTAATCTATAATGCATTAGCGCTTGAAATATAATTAAAAAGTACAAACTGGTTGTGCCAATTTAGAAAAAGCTAATAAAACAATACTGTAAAAAAAGTTAATATAGTAGATACTATAAAATATATCAAATAATGTAAAATAAAAAAAATAAAGAATTTATATAAACTTATTTTATTGTATTTTACTTTATATATTTTATAGTATGCTCATTTTATTCCCTTTTCATCCAGTATTTTGTTTTATTATTTATAATCTTTTCTAAATTGGTTCAACCTGTTTGTACTATTTGTAGAGAAAGGTGGAATGAATTATTGCAGGACCATTGGACAGGCAATATGAAAACGGAAAGAGTGAGAGAGAACAGATACGTTATTTGCATACCATAATGCCAACATAAAGTGTTGGCGTCTTTTAATCTGGGGTATGCAGGAGAGCTGTGTCTTACAGCAAGCGTAACACCCACTGAAATAATCATTGATGCTCTCAGCTGGAGACAGAGAAAATGAAAATAAAATATGAGCTTTTAATAGCATTAGTGGAAGAAACACTTAATTGTATAACATCAAGTCAAAACATGTTTAAAAAAAAAAAAAGAAAACCTGCAAACCTATATCTGTCCTTTTAGAGTGGAGACATTGCATTGAGACATCAGAGCCTTGAATCCCTAAAATAGGCTTATCATCAGGGACTGAATACATCCCCAACAGGGAGTGAGAGTCCTGCCTTTTCAGAATCTAATTTCCTCCATGGAAACAACATTTCAGTAAGTTTATTAAACTGTTGCTTGCAGCAGCTACTTTGGACTTACAGAATGCTTGGTTGTATAGGGAGAGGTATTAGCAGTAGAAAGAGGGAAGTGCTCATGCCATTGTACAGAACACTGGTGAGACCTCACTTGGAGTATTGTACGCAGTACTGGAGACCGTATCTCCAGAAGGATATTGATACTTTAGAGAGAATTCAGAGAAGGGCTACTAAACTGATTCATGAATTGCAGCATAAAACGTAAAAAGAAAGGTTTAAGGATCTTGTATAGCTTGGAGGAAAGACGAGACAGGCGGGATATGATAGAAACATTTAAACACAAAGAGAATCAACACAGTAAAGGAGGAGACTATATTTAACCCCTTAAAACCAGAGGGCGTACTATTATTCTATACTATTATTCCCTATTCTAAGCGGCTCTAAACGCCGCAGGGCATAATAGTACGCCCTGTGGTTTTTCTTACTTGCCCGGTCACCGGTGATCGCGGTTGGGGAGACTCACCTGGGATCCCAGGGAGTCCCCCGCAGCAATGAGAGAGTAAGGTCCTTGCGAGGACCTCACAAATCACATGGCTGGGTTAGCTGGCTGCTGCATTGCCAGCAGGGCGACTGCCTGTAATGACAGTCCCCCTGCTGGCTGGAAATCAAATAATGTTAAAATCAGTGTAAAAATAAAATAAAATTCTTTACTTAGATCATTGTGTGTATATATATACATATATATACATATATATACATACATATATACACACACACATACACACACACATACACACACACATACATACATATACACACACACACACACACACACACACACACACACGATATTATTGCTGTGATACTTTTTATTGTTTTGAAACACAAATATTTGTGTTCAGCGAAGTCTCCCGAGTACAACAGTACCCCTCATGTACAGGTTGTATGGTGTTTTTTTTTTTTTAAAGTTACAGCGTCAAATATAAGGCTTGTGTTTCATTTTTTTCACATTAAAATTCGCCAGATTTGTTACGTTGCCTTTGAGACCCTATGGTAGCCCAAGAATGAAAATTACCCCTATGATGGCATGCCATTTGCAATAGTAGACAACCCAAGGTATTGCAAATGGGGTATGTCCAGTCTTTTTTAGTAGCCACTTAGACACAAACACTGGCCAAAATTGGCGCTTTTTGCATTTTTCACACACAAATAAATATTAACGCTAACTTTGGCCAGTGTTTGTGACCAAATGGCTACTAAAAAAGACTGGACATACCCCATTTGCAATACTTTGGGTTGTCTACTATTGCAAATGGTATGCCATTATGGGTGTAAATTTCATTCCTGGGCTACTATACAGTCTAAAAGGCAACGTAACCAATCTGACGAATTTCAATTTCAAATCTATATTTGACCCTGTAACTTCCCAAAACGCCATAAAACCTGTACATAGGGGGTACGGGTTTACACGTGAGACTTTGCTGAATACAAATATGTGTATTTTATTGCAGTAAAGCAAACAGTATTATGACATTGACCGTTAAAATGTCATGTAAAAAAAACAAACAAAAAAAACACACCACAAAATTTCTTATTTTCTCTAATTTTTTTCATATTAAATTATGTTTCATAGCTAAATATTTGATATTAAATAAAAGCCCTGTTTCCCCTGAATAAAATGATATATAATAAGGGTGGGTGCATTTAATATGAAAGAAGTGAATTACAGTTGGACAGACATGTAGCGCAAATGCCAGGTTTTGTTTACGTTTTGTTTTGTTCACAACGCGTACATTTGGCTCCGTCCTTAAGGAGTTAAAGAAGAAAAACTACCACAACAAGAGGACATAGTCTTAAATTAGAGGGACAAAGGTTTAAAAATAATATCAGGAAGTATTACTTTACTGAGAGGGTAGTGGATGCATGGAATAGCCTTCCAGCTGAAGTGGTAGAGGTTAACACAGTAAAGGAGTTTAAGCATGCGTGGGATAGGCATAAGGCTATCCTAACTATAAGATAAGGCCAGGGACTAATGAAAGTATTTACAAAATTGGGCAGACTAGATGGGCCGAATGGTTCTGATCTGCCGTCACATTCTATGTTTCTATGAATATACTCCAGGCTGCCTGTGAATCATCCATAATTATAATAATGTTGCAGTTAAGCTATGCTTTTTTTGACGCCAAAGAACAAAGTCAGGACAGGATATATATATTTTATTATTATTATTATTATTATTATTTCCCCCACAGCAAAACTTTAATTGTATGTTTTTTTTGTGTATGCTTTTGAAATATGTTTTTAAACTGACTGCTACTGTAGTGTAATTTTATAAATGGGCCACTAGATGGCGCTTTACACCCATCTCATTCACACAGAGAAAGATTTTAATAAACGTTATATGTTTATTGTAGGGATTAACAGATTTGGGTATATCTGGCATGCTGAGTGTGGGTACTCCTGTGTGTCTGTATGTAGGTTTCTATGTATCTGTGGGTATGATTTTCTGTGTGGGGAGTTGTGGGTGAAAAGGAATATATCGAACACCGAAGATTTCGGTCACATTTTACAAATGTCTGATTAATCTCAGCAGGGCCGGACTGGGGATACAAAGCAGCCCTGGAAAAAAAATTTGTGCCAGCCCCATAAGTCACTGTAATATGACTTATTGTCGCGTGTAATATGCAAGGCTATGTCTTGCCAGGACAGATGATTGAGTAAAAAATAAATATATATATATATATATATATATATATATATATATATATATATCCGTTCAGGGTTAAACATTTAATTATACAGTAAGCATACTCACATGCAGACACAGCCTCATAGACAAACAAACAATCTTACTGATATACATCAGCTCATTGGCATAAAAACACAAGCTCACTCACTAGCAGACGCACACACACAGCTTAATATAGTGGTACTGGTGTCCATAGCATGTCCCTACAGGCTTTTCAATGTAAACACTGACTTTTCAGAGAAAAGGCAGTGTTTACATTGCTTCAAAGTGACACCGCTAGTGACAGTCCCTCAGACGGTCACTAGAGGCGCTTCCTGTGTCAGTGCACCTACATTCAGGGTCTCCACACTCTGTAGGTGCTGAACGTTCCCCATAGAGATACATTGATTCAATGCATCTCTATGAGGAGATGCTGATTGGAGTGGCGTTTTGCAGCCAATCCTATGGCAAAGCATTGGATTGGCTGAGATCATCAAGCTTGATGATCTCAGCTATAGAGGCAGGGCCAGTCGAGGAGAGACCAGCACGCTGCGTGGGGGAAAAAAAAAAAAAAAAAGGTAAGCAAAAACACTATTTTTAAACACACACATACATGGTGACAGATACAGAAACACACCATGACACAGACAGACAGAAACACACACACACACCATGACGGACGGAAAGACAGACAGACACACACACACACCATGACGGACAGACAGACAGAAACACACACACACCATGACGGACGGATAGACAGACAGAGATAGACACCATAACAGACAGACAGACACCATAACAGACAGACAGAGACAGACACCATAACAGACAGACACCATAACAAACAGACAAACTCACACAGACACACATTACTAATAACTGCCAGGGGGAGGTCTTCTGGCGGCCGCTGCGCTGGCTCGGCTCTCCCGCCCTTGCGCGCTGCTGAATGAGACCGGGGCCGGAATATGACGTCATATTCCGGCACCGGTCTCATTAAGCTGCGCGCTGGGGAGCAGAGCCAGCACAGCTCCCCCAGCGGCCGCCAGCAGGCCCAGGTATCTGCCCGGCCCCGGGTGCCGACGGCCCACCGGGAAATTTCCCGGTATCCCGGTGGGCCAGTCCGGCCCTGCCCACCATCTACAGGTGAGGCACCTTGGAGCGCTATTTCTCGTCTAATTACTTCATTTTTTGTAATTGATTTACACTATGTATATCTTTCAATTTTAGAGTTCCCAGCCTAGAATATTTCTAGTTGTCCTATATTTTGCTGTGTAAAGGTCATTTATTCTGGGTAATGACCTGGGAGGCTGTTCCATTTGAATATTAAGATAAATACACATTTTATTTTGTATACACTATCCAGTTAATGGCGATAGTTATATTTTTTCTATCTTTTTGTCTGTTGATATGCCACACCTGTGAGATGGATGGATTATCTCAGCAAAGGAAAAGTGCTCACTAACACAGATTTAGACAGATTTGTGAATAATATTTGAGAGAAATAGGCCTTTTGTGTATATAGAAAAAAGTCTTAGATCTTTGAGTTCAGCTCATGAAAAATGATCGTGTTGCGTTTATAAATTTTATATATATATATATATAAAAAATTGAAACTAGTGACTCATCTTAAAATGTCACCAGCGGCACCTAATTTGCCTGTCAAACATTGAATTCTAGGGACTTAAAAACAGGATTGCAGAGTAAAGGGGAAATTAGGATCTAGGACAAGCATAGGCAACCTTTGGCACTCCAGATGTTTTGGACTACACCTACCATGATGCTTTGCCAGCATTATGGGTGTAAGAGCATTATGGGGGATGTAGTCCACAACACCTGGAGTGCCGAAGGTTGCCTATGCCTGATCTAGGATTTCTCCTGCTAACAGCTTATTCTATAACATTGCTGTGGCGAAACCAACCTCGCCACTGTGAACTGGAGAAGCCTGGTTGCTCGCCTGCTCCCTTTGGACTATGGCCCTGCAGGTTAAACCGTTTATTTCCCCTGCAGAAAGGCTTATTTGTGCGATCTGAGTGCCATTCATCTAATAATGTGCACTCAGATCCCAGCTATCTGGGGATATGTGAAATGTCTGTGTGTTATGTGTAAATGTGACTTTATGTATTTTAAAGTGTTTTGTGTCTTTTTGCAACTATGTGCTTAATGGAGTCTTGTGTCTGTCCTGGGAGATAATTGAATTACTTATCTCCAGGATAGAAGACTCTGAAACTGGTTTGGGCCAGAAAGCCATGCTTCATTTAGTCACAAAGGACTTTTTACTAACTTTTGAACCCCTTGTCTGATTTGTGCCATTTTGAATATGTTGTTCCCCTGAATGGATTGATTGTGCATATGTAATTTTATGTGAATGTGATGTATGGTTTTAGAGTTATGAAAGTTGGGTAGAAAGTATGTTTTAACTGTATGTATAATTGAGTTTCCTCTCAGGATAATGGGAGGGAATATGTGGGATGTAACTGTGATGTGATTGGTTGTTTTGTAACGCCCTGTGGGCTGTACCATGTTTGTGGATTGGGAATAAAAGAGACTGTATGTGACAGTACAGGGAGTTCCTGTTTTAACCCTCAAAGTGAAGTGTCGTCTCATTATTGGGGAAGGATTTATTGTATGCTGTTCCAGTTTGACTGCTAGGAGAGTAAACCTATTCGTATGGTTCCTATTCAACTGTCTACAGCATTCATATGCTTGAGAGGATTCATATGCTTCTCCGGTTCGGTGGTTGTGGTGTCTGCTGCAGTGCTTGGAGTCCTCAGGAAGCGCTAGGAGCATCCTTTAACGGAGGTACCCAGTCGGGGTGCCAGGCGATCCGTTACAATTGCACATGAAAGGAATTGATATATAGGGAATACTACACGGAGCTGCATAATAGTTACATTCCATGCAAAACAACAAGACAGGCCTTGCTAGTGAATAGTCCTGTCCAATTCATATTTTACATGTAGCACATAGGACAAAGGATGGAGTAGTACATTTGGAAGGTTAATATACAATTTCATATTAGCCAGACTTATGACCAGCCTTCTAAATACCAACCTTTACCACATCAGGCGTAAGTTGCGATAAAATAAATGAGAAGGCTGAGCCTGTAGGCGGAGCCTGAAGTTGTGGGAAGGGTTAACCGGCCTACCCGAACGTCGGTTTCGGCACACCACCACTACTATAACTCTGCTTATTGTCCCTGACCACAAATATAACCTATAATAACGTAACAATTTAATTTTAACATTATAACCTTGTACTTAATGAATTTATATTAAACCAGCTATACAGACCTTTAAAGCATCGGGCTGTGCAAAGAAGACGTGTTCGCCCCATTTAATACCAGTCCACAAATCATATATTTGGGCAGCAATATGGCTGAGAGGTAGATAACTAACAATTACTTCCTGTTGAAGTTCGGCAGGAATCATGTTCCCAGCACGGCTGGCCTGGGCTGCTGTCCAGGTGATCTGTTGAAGAGATGCATCATTAGGCCATACTATATTAAGGCAAAGGATACAATTCAATAAATTCAAAAAAGGATACAGTGAATAGCCATTTCACCCCAGATAGGTAAGCTAGAAAAAGTTGCAGTAAAAGTGATTTAATTTGCATTCCAACTTCCTACTTGTTCCCAAGTTAATTCCGGAGTCCAATAACAAACTTGTTCAGGAACACATCCTGTAATTTCATCACAGTGGCTTCCAATAGCCATATAGATTAATAATAACTAATTAAGGTGACTAGTTATTGTAATAATATACACCCTGCCAGATGTAGTCATGATTCCCAGGTAACCAGTAATAGACCTCAGTCACTGAGAGGATAGGAATCCATTAAAAATAAAAAAATAAAATGTGTAGTGTGAACCTCACCATCCTTATTAAGAATGTGTGTTCCCCTTTTATGACACCTCCCATGTGGTAAAATGGTTAATATCACTGAGGAGGTGCCTAAGCAATGTTGGAAATTTAGCTATAATTAACTCCTCCATTTGCTTGGTCAAGCCGTTTGAATATTTTCTTTGCTGCCACCTTGGTTGGTACATTGGGTTTATAATTTGAGTTGCTCATGAATCATCTTCTGAGCCCTCGTGAGCTGGTCAAAGGAGAAATTGTACAGACAAATATCGATTTACATTTTGAGTTTTACTACTCTGCTCAATAGAAATGTCTTAAGACTAGGCCGAGCTGAGAATTGCTGAGTTCATCAGAGCTCAAACCCCGGTGTTAACGGTTACAGTTACCCAGTTTAATAGTTAACAATACTCTGTAATTTGATCTTCAGGGTCCAGGATTCCCATCTGTAGACCAAGCTTGATAGTGTATTGCATTGAAAGTATTTACAAACTAAGCAGCTTGTTATTGGAGGGGGTGAAATGCTCATGTTTGACATTCAATCTCGATGAACTCACGTGGGCAACTTACATTATCGTGGCTCAGCATTACACCCTTTGGGTTTCCAGTGGTACCAGACGTGTAAATAAGGACACAGCATTGATTGGGTTTCTGGGAGCTTATGAGGTCATCCAGCTGACTTTCAGCAATATCTTTCCCCAATTCTACGAACTCTTCCCACTAGGAGACCAGGAAAAAAAATAAATGGTTAACCTGTTAAGCCGGTGTTTAACTTTATTAATTTATTCATAGAAAATGAAGCAAAGAACAGATTATAATACCAAGATAAGGGTTTCTAGTCTTGACCTGTTGAAAGCCTGCAAAATAGCTTCTTTTTTTTTTTAAAGAAAATCCTAAAAAAATTGAAAAATAACTTAAAAGAAAAAGAAATTATAGAACATTAAAACAGTGACTGTCTTATAAATGTTGCTACAGAACTTACCTACTATCTTTGTATAACTTGCAATCTCAGTACTAAAGAGAATTAAGCTTGCCTGGTTAAACACTCTCCGAATTAGTGATGCTAGATTTACCTCCCAGGTTACTCAATAAAACTGTGAATGTGAAATTCACTTTAAATTCCAGGTAATTCACACCATACCAAGAACTCACTTCGCTTAGTTACATGCTGGTACATGAAAAGTGCTGCCAAGAACAGGATATGCAATACATATGTTGCTCGACAACCCCATATAGATAATGTAGGAGTTCCCACCCATTGATATTGACTTTATTCTGGTTTCAGGGTTATTGTGAAGCCTCTCTCTGTCTGTTCCACAGTAACTATGATAGCTCATAAAACAGAAATATAACTACATTATTGTTCTATTTCTTAATTTCAAGCACATGAGCCCCTACCATTTCTAATACAATCTTTTTATTTTATTTCTTCTATTTGTTTATGGTTTCTTTCCGTGTACTGTTATTAGCATGTTTTCATTAGGAGAATGCATTCTATTATAATGTAATATTTTCTGGAAAGGCACACTCATATCTTTTAATACAGTGTTTCTAACTTTTTACAGAGAAGTAACCCTGCAGGTCTAAAAAAAATTAAATAAATTCTAAGTACCCCTGCCTCGAGAAAATCATTTCTATTGAGGTAAATTCCAAGCGAAACGCGTAGACACTGATTTTTGAGTTAATGCAGAACAAGCCTGGTTAAAGGTGGTAAAGAATATTTTTAAAATAAATATGACATAATGTGAATATAATGGAGTGTATGAACAGTTAATCTGAAGTATAAAAGTCACAAAATGAAAATATAATACAGACTTACCACCATGAACACTTTAAATCATTGACGTGGTCATGGTAATTGGAGTAACCCTTTAAAATAATGCAACAGTGCGTTCAGACTCTATGCTAAAATTGTTGACAGTTCACACTTAATATCCCATAATGACAAAGCAAATCCAGAATTTTTTTAAAACGTTGCCAAGTTTTTTTTAAAGAAAAATAAAACCTGAAATATCACATTTATATAAGTATTCAGACCCTTTGCTATTACTTGAAATTTAGCTCAGTTGCATCTAATTTATCTGGATCATCTGGGAGATGTTTCTACACTTTGATTAATGTCCACCTATGGCAAATTTAAATGACTAGACATGATTTGGTGGTAAGTCTGTATTATATTTTCATTTTGTGACTTTTATACTTCAGATTAACTGTTCATACACTCCATTATATTCACATTATGTCATTTATTTTAAAAATATTCTTTACCACCTTTAACCAGGCCTGTTCTGCATTAACTCAAAAATCAGTGTCTACGCGTTTCACTTGGAATTTACCTCAATAGAAATGATTTTCTCGCGGCAGGGGTACTTAGAATGTATTTAATTTTTTTTTAGACCTGCAGGGTTACTTCTCTGTAAAAAGTTAGAAACACCGTATTAAAAGATATGAGTGTGCCCTTTCTATACATGGTCTCAAGGCTGTAAATTCAAAATCAAAGCATCTTCATGCATATCTCAGAGATAAAAGTTGTGCGAAGACTGGGGAGTGCTGCAAAAATAATTTAACTACAGGTTCCCAAGAGCACACTGGCCTCCATAATTCTTAATGGAATACATTTGGAAAAAAACAGAACTCTCCCTAGAGCTGGCCATCCAAGCAAAGTGAACAGTCGGAGGAGAAGGACCTTGGTAATAGAAGTGATGAAGAACTGGATGGTCACAATACCATCTAACAGTGAAGTATGGTGGTGGTAGCATCCTGCTTTGGGGTGCTCTTCATTGACAGGAATTAAGAGATTGTCAGGGTTGAGGAACAGCTAAATGCAACAAAATATAGAAATACAGTATCGATTGTAGAAATGGTTCCAAAATCTAAGGACTAAAATCCAGAAAATAAATTCATAGCTTTCATTCTATCCAAGAAAAACAATCCCATGTGATTTATAATTCTAACACATATTTCTATATTTAGAAAATATGTAATTTCTTGACTTTTCCAACAAATAACCTTTCTAGAATTTATATAAAAAGGGTTTAAAATAAATTAACTTTTGGTTATTTCCACTGTGAGTCAGGATATTTGTTATATTTAGAACCAGTTGTTGCTACAGCACTACTGTTTTTCATGTGGGTGGAGAACCCACCTGCCAGGACTCTGGTAGAAAGACCTATGGTTCTTTTTATTTTTACGCTTAGGCTATTGGCTTTAAACTGAACTTATTGGTTATCAAATACAGAGATATCCTTACTGAAATCCTGATCCAGAGGGCTCAGGACCGCAGACTTGGTTGAAGGGTTTGCCTAAACAGCACAGTGGCCCTAAGCAATCAGCTAAGACAATGGAAGAGTGGCTTAGTGCCAACTCTGTAAATGTCCTTGTGTGGTCCACCAAGAGCCCGCACTTGATCCCAATCAAACATCTCTGGAGAGACCAAAAATGCCTGTCCTCCAAATCCAGATGTGCAAAGTTTGTCAAGTCATAAGGACAGGGACTAATTAAGAGTATTTCGAAATATTGGGCAGACTAGATGGGCCAAATGGTTCTTATCTGCGGTCACATTCTATGTGTCTATGTTTCTATAACAAAAAAAAGACATGAAGCTGTAATTGCCGCCAAACGAGCTTCAACGAAGTACTGAGTCAAGAGACTCTGAATACCTAGGTCAATGTGTTATTTCAATTTCTTCTGTTTAATATATGTAGAATGGTGTGTAAAATCTGGTCAATTTAAACCATTGTATCTTAAAGCCACAACAATAAAAAATGAAGTGGGTCTGAACACACTGTAGATAGTAGATGCTATAGTGATACAGTTGGTGCATGACTCTCCTTCACCATTAGATCAGTGAAATATAATTACATACCGTGTATACATTTGGGGTTTTCTCCTGTAAGTTGCCTTTATACTGAACAACAGCTTTAAGGTGAGGTAATTTCTCCCATATCTGTCAATAAAGAATGTAATCATTATGCATTGAGTGACATTACTGTAAGTTACTTATCTAACTATTTTTACAGAGCCACCTAGGCTAGAGAAGAGTCTGTATTTTGCATGTGTCCCAATATACATATAGTTAGATCACTGTTTATGCAGCCCTAGTCACACCTCCTTGCATATGACTTGCACAGCCTTCCTAAACACTTCCTGCAAAGAGATCGAATGTTCAAACTTCCTTTACTACAAATTCTGTTTAGAATTTCTTATCGCCTGCTCAGTTAATAACCGTCTAGACACTGCAGGAGTCTCCTGTGCATGATTAAAGTTCAAATTACAGAGCAGGAGATAAAAAAAAAAAAAAAAAAATTCTACATCAAGTTAGCATCTGATTGAAAAATTACACAATTTTTATGATCTAGGTGGTGTCAGTTACAGAAGGCGTGGAAGGTGTGCATGGACAAAGACAAACGTTTTTGAACTCCTAATTGACAGAGAATTGAGCAGGGCTTCACTAAGCTAATGCAAAGAAATACAGTATTGCCAGTGGAACACACATGTACTAAAATAAACCAAGAGATTCTCATACACCTTAGTGAGTACCCTTTGCCCTCACAACAAACAGAATATACATACAATATGAGGTGGAGTATCTTCTTGTTTAAAATAAATATTAAAATAACCTAGAGATAAAACAAAAACAAAAAAAAACACATAATAGTGCAATATTGTCTAAATCTCTTATAAATAACAGGGAAGTATGTGGGAATAAACTCACAAAACAGGAGCCTGTAAAGTAAGGCTCAGTCTTCCAGCATTGTGGGATTTAGGTTCCCACTCCCTTCTTTATACTGCCAGGAGGTGATGAATAATGGGATGTCCTCTCACAGGTAAGTATAAATGGTGAAAAAGTGCTTTATTTATAAAGTGCACAAAAAAAGTTATAAAAAAAGTTATAAAAGCAAAACCTTACAGTTGAAGGTAATCCTGTAGAGATAGTCTCTGGTAGCAAAATGCATTTCGCCTCATATAGAGGCTTCCTCAGTTGCTGTAAATGTTCTTTATTTGTAGTTAAAATTCGTGCCCTTTTTCTGACTTGATTGTCCGATCGCGGTATTTTCACTTCCGCGTTCCATAAGTGGAACGTACTGGTTCAGTGATTTCCGGTTTCGGCATTTGCGTTTCAACAGTGGAACGCATGTGTTTCAATTCCGGTTTTCATGTATAGGGACGTGTCTCTGCGTTCCACTATGTTTAATTCTTTGGTAGCAGTTCATTATACATTTAAAATACTTCTTATATGCAGTAAAATCTCACAAGGCAAAGATTTAAAAGAAAAATAAATAAAATAGATACATATTACCAATACAAATAAATATAGTGAAGAGAAGTAGTTCTTATATAAACAGAACATGTAAAATAGGCACTTTAAAATGTCTATATAAATCTTGTTCTCTTAAAAAGGGAACTAGGAATTTAAAGATATAAATACTAATAATAAAACAAGTATAAAATAGGATTAAAACAGCCCCTAAATTAGCTTGAAATAAAAAAACTCTTGTTAAAAAACATATTGTTAAGTAACTAAATGTTTAAAAGTGGCAAACCTCGAAATCTGAATTCTTGCCTTACTTTACTTTACAGGCTGAATTCTTGCCTTACTTTACAGGCTCCTGTTTTGTGAGTTTATTCCCACATACTTCCCTGTTATTTATAAGAGATTTAGACAATATTGCACTATTATGTGTTTTTTTTTTTGTTTTAATATTTATTTTAAACAAGAAGATACTCCACCTCATATTGTATGTACTTCACTAAGCTAAAGTTGTTTTAATACCTATAGTGTCTTTTTTTAATTTTTAAAAAAATTTACTTTATTTTTTTTGGGGAAGGGTACAAGGGGGCAGTAGGTGTTCATTAAGCTAAAGTTGTTTTAATTTGACTTAATTTGTCCCTTTTATTCCCTACACCACCATATGAATTCTATATAAACATTTTTAATGCTGCCTATCAGTGTGCAGGAGTGATATGCCAGGAAAACATGCTGGATCGGGCCGCCCTAATTGTACATACTAATGATATACCAGCATGTTACAACCAACTGAACATCCTCATGTTGCATTTACTGCAGCAAGATCTAATTTTGTCAGTGACTACCCAACACCTGTTATCGTCTGAATGTCATTAAAGGGACATGCCAGGCACCATAACCTCTCCTTTTCTGAGAACCAGAAGCTCCTACTGACCACTTTCAACCAATAATATGTTATGTACCTTTGTATTTAGGCAGAGCACTTCTGGCCCTTACGGAGATGGGGAGCGGTGCCTGGCAAACTACAGACAAGAAGACAACCATTCTAAAATAGTTTGACTGCTTATATTGGGAGAAAACCAGGACACACTTTGCAGTGCTATGTAGTGGTTATGGTGGTTGGAGTGTTCCTTTAAAGAGTGTTACTGTGCTAATAGCAAGTCCATTTGCGCTACTGGAAAATATACATGTACTCAAAGACACCCAAGAAAAATGTCCTCTGTTAGTGGCTGTCTACTTGTAACAAACAAAATAACCCTAGGGCATACCTGTAGGATCTTTTCCAGTTGTTTCTGGTTTTCGACTACGATAATGTTGGCTTTGCAGTCACTAGCAATGTAGTGACAGGCTTCGGGAGAATTGGTAGCATAGATCCCCGTAGCAATTCCTCTACATTGTAACGTAATAACAGTCAATGCAATACAATGGAAACATTTTGCAACATAGAACAGCTTTTCATGTAAAAAGTTACACTGGACAGAAAAATAATGGAAACACTTAAATATCAAGGACCTAGCAAGACATGGTGGAGTTCTAAATAGGAGCTTCAGTTGTTCATATACAAGTCCTAAAAGGTCTACAAAGAGAAATTTGCACCATTCATGTAAGAAGAGCCTTTGAGGGATAAGGTGGGATTAAAAAAAAGTGTTCCTGAACTTACTCTGATGATACGATAATGTTCAGATCTGGTGATCAGGAGACAATAGAAGGCTTTTTATTTCATACTATTGTTCTGGAAGACACTTTTTTGTTTAGCAGTGTGCATATGGACATTATTGTGATTACACAATTTTGTGCTACTAGAGTTGAGCGAACCCGGACTGTAAAGTTCAGGTTCTTACCGAACATTACGTTTTTTGGACCCCGGACCCAAACACAGACATATCACTGTATGTTCGGATTGGAGTTCGGTGTTCAGCGATTTAATGGCGCGTTTTGAAAAGCTGCAGGGCAACCAATCAACAAGCGTTTGACTCGTGTGCCCGTAGAAGCCATCACAGCCATGCCTACTAATGGCATGGCTGTGATTGGCCAGTGCAGCATGTGACCCAGCCTCTATATATAAGCTGGAGTCACGTAGCGCAGCACATCACATGAGCTCTTATTAGTGTAGGGAGAGGATGCTGCCGCTTTCAGGGACAGATTAGCAGGCTCGCTGCCTCAGGGTTCTTTTTGATTCTGATCTTTTACTCCCCATGTCCAATCGATTGACAAATCCTGTCGCTTCCAACTCAAGAACATAGATATGGGCAGATGCGCGCTAACGCCGGACGCGGTTAAGGTACTGGTTCATGCTGTTCTCTCTCGCCTTGACTACTGCAATCCCTTTCTCACCGGTCTTACATGTTCCCAGCTTGCACCGCTGCAATCTATAATGAATGCGGCTGCGAGGCTTATTTTCTTGTCCGGTCGCACCTCCCACGCCTCCACGCTCTGTCAGTCCCTGCATTGGCTTCCAGTTAGATATATAGGCCCAATTCAAAATTGTAGATTATGCTAGCTTTAGTGTACCTATAATCTTAATTTTATTAATGACAGGAGGCGAGTATTTGATTTAGTCTCTCTTTACTAGAACTCCACAGCAGCACAGAAAAACAACCAATCAGAAAAAAGTTAGGTACTATAAAACCCCCTTCCCATTGCATCATTTCCTCTTTCAAGCTGCGACAAAACAGAACAAAGGCAGAAAAATAATGGGAAGCAACGAAGTCCAGATACGATGAATACAGCAATGTCCAACGTCTGAGAAGAACTGTCAACCGGATAGCGTTGAAGGACTGAAAATAAGTCAATGCCCACCATCCACGAAGAAGTGCCACGCCAGATAGTGGTGAAGGACTGGAAACTGAAACGAGAGAAAAAACAGAATCGAACAGGTTGATTATCCAATTAAATGTATTTTGAATAAACTTGTAGATAACCAATGTAGCAAACAAAATATGTAGATATCCCAACCTTGCTTATGAAAAACAGACATAAGGACAGGTGACAGGTAGCAGAAACAACAACAAGCAGAGTTGTATACGTACCTGATAAATCCAAACTATAAAATTAAACAAGGGAGGGATAAGAATGGGTGGGAAATACTCGCCTCCTGTCATTAATAAAACTAAGATTATAGGTACACTAAAGCTAGCATAATCTACAATTTTATAACATGACAGGAGGCTTCGTATTTGCTGTTTTAACGCTCAGCCAACAAATCCAACGCTGCTTGTTTCGCTGGTACCCATTCCGAGAATATTAGAGCAATCCTAAATGGACCTTCCAACTGCGAGAAGTGACGTCCATTGATAGATCCATTGTACGTGGGGTTACAACCTGTTCCCTAGCAGTCGGTCCATGGGCTGTCAAGTTGACCTATTAGCCATAGTCATGTAGGTGTAAAGTGCCGAGGGGTCGCGAGAAGAGACTTCCACCGTGTCTCGACTCTTGATGTGGGAGGTGATTCCTCCGATCGTGTCAGGTCCACCAGGCGATGTGGCCTTGCAGACAAACTCCAACCTCAGGCCTGCTCCTAAGTCCACCGTCAATACTCGAATAGAGCCGAATAGTGTCTATTCGTTCCTTTATGACCTACCTGGTGAATGGTCTCCTCTGAAATCAAGTTATATACAGATAATAGTGTGGACCATTCTAGCCGTATCCTAAGAGACTCCAGTCTACCAACTGGACTGCGTAATCCACGGCTGCGGTCTAGAAAAGACATCCAAAGGGTGTCCAATCAAGGTCTCAAACTGAACTCGTGTGGTAAACGGTGGTCAACTATTCTGAGAATTGTGGATCCTGGAAAGCTCAAAGGGATGGGACTGGAAACTGGAGTTGAGATTTCTATCCAAATACATCATCCTCTAAGAGTGCTAAGATGGCTGGATCCAATAGAGTTTAGGACCCGTATAACACAGAAGAGCCCTTGCGTGTTGCAGTGAGAGTGTGAGATACTCTGATTACCATTTGTACAATCCTGTTCCATGCCCGACCTGTCAATATTCGTGTAGGGGTTCCTACAAGATAGGGAATAATCTAGTGAGACCCCTAGGTTCCTGTCTCATAGACTGTTCAAGCATGTAACTCCCAGTGTATGTTTCCTTGATGGTAGTTGAATCGGAAGGCTAGTGAGAACCCAAACCAAGATGGTTCCCGTGATGGATATAGAATCCGAACACTGTTCTCAAGGTGTGTTCAGAGTTGTAGGAGCAGTCCTGACAACTTTATCTCAAGATTGTAAGGACCAGGGAGCCAAGTCCTGAGAATTTCGGTTTCTCCATGCGATCCATGCATACGGTGCCCCTGAAGACAGTTTATGTGAATTTTCCAGTCTTGTTACTCGAGCAAGGCAGTGCCAGTTTGCCCTATGCAGGTCTCAGGGTCTCATGTCACCCTGACACGGGAGAATAGACTGCACAGTTTGTACACAATAAATATCTGAAACAGAGTGCAATGTCTGTTTGATATAGCACAGGTTATACCAAAACCTGTACTCTTGTAAGAACTGAGGCTCCTCCTTAGTCGTACGGTCTCCTGGAATGTGTGTACATAAGTGGGAAACCTCCCCCACTAATACCTCTGAGGGCATTTCTCATGTGGATACAAGATGGATCCAGTCAAACTATGTATACCTTGCCCGATGAGGTAGCCCTCTAGAACGAAATCAGTAGCGTGGTCATCATATTTAAATTGGGTGTAGGAGGGACGCCCCTCTATGCGGTCATAGTTGACCTGTACAGGTACACGTCTGTGTGAGGAACAAATGGACGGCACCATAGTGCGTTGAGTGTATGAGAGAGTCGCACTCTGTAAAATGTTATCGCACTCTGAGTCCGCGCACGGTTGGTGGTATGAGCGGACCGCACCCGTTAGAAGTCAAACTTAGAGTCTACCTCTGTGTCCGGTTCCATCTATGAGAATGAGTCACTCTGAGCATGTCCTCTATATCCAGCTCAGTATCGGGCCGAGGTTGAGGGAGGGCCGCGCCCTCTAATGAATCAGTGTCCGATTTGGTAAATGAGAGGGGTTCGCCCTCTACTCTTTAAAATAAAAATATCAATCTCGGGCCGAGGTGAAGGAGGGCCGCACCCTCTGTAATCCAAACCAGAGTCCAGTAGAGACTCAGGGTGACCAAACGTGGGGTTACACCCTTATTTAATATAAGCAAAGTATACAACCTCGGGCCGTGTCCGACCTTAAGAGAAAGGGATGATGAGAAAAATACGTTTCGGAGCTGAAGATGGTAACTATCAACGGACCGCCCGGATCCCGTGCGTGCGCGCGGGCTCCAGGATGACCGTCGGTAGTCTGAGGAAAGCTGGAGACGTTCTCCGCAATCCACAAGTGCCCGGGAGGTCGGAGGAGGTCATATCAGGCCTCCCGACGACCCGAGCGATAGGACAATAGAAGGCACGAAAAACAAAGAAACGACCAATGAAGTAGAAAATGGAAAATACGTACCTCAGAAAGCCGGTCGGATAGCAGACTGGAAAAAAATTGAATCAAGCGAATCCAGTTGAAAAGGTCAAGAGCTAAACATGACATAGAAAAACACTACCAATACCTAATATGGCGTCTGAGCACTGTTCCCTGCTTGCGCGAAATTCCCCTTGGAGATGTGTCGTCGTTGGGTATAACCCGTAATTGCGTGCCCGTGAATTCTCATAAAAACTTTGCCCTTCAGGGCATGAGGTGTAGGGCCTTCACCCTTCCAATCACAGTTAGATGTCCATATCCTGGTGTCCTCTTGGATAATCTGGCAGCAGTGCCTGTCCGGACACCTACCTAGAGGGTACTGAGCTTACTTCAGTGATATTCCCCCCGGTTTGTGGTCCAAAGGGGGGTTCGGGTACAGGTAGAGCAGGCCAATCTTATGGGCACAGCCGAAGCAGGCCAATCTTATGGGCACAGCCGTAGCAGGCCAATCTTATGGGCACAGCCGTAGCAGGCCAATCTTATGGGCACAGCCGTAGCAGGCCAATCTTATGGGCACAGCCGTAGCAGGCCAATCTTATGGGCACAGACGTAGCAGGCCAATCTTATGGGCACAGACGTAGCAGGCCAATCTTATGGGCACAGACATAGCAGGCCAATCTTATGGGCACAGACATAGCAGGCCAATCTTATGGGCACAGACATAGCAGGCCAATCTTATGTTTCATATTAAATGAGTAATGGGGACCTCTGAGATTGGCAGAGTCCCCTAAATATCTGTAAATCCTCCAGGCATCCTGTGACCTAGTACCCTTAGACACTAATCTTGGACAGCGTACTACTGTGTAAATAAACCGTACCCGGCGGTCCCTAAGTGCCCAGCAGGCAACATAGAGGTAAAACCAGTTGTATTGGGTTTGAGCTGGACATGTTCCAGTGAGTGTCCATAAAATCGAGCTCTGCTGAGCAATACCCTCTTTTAAGTGTAAATTGTAATGCACATGTACATACAGATCCGTATGAGATATCTTCTCTTTATTGTAGGTCATCATCATCATCGTACCGCCTGAAGGGTATTGTACTCATGGTCTCTTCAGGAGTAGGGCAAAAACAATTGCCAAAGCAATGAATCTTCCCAAGAAGCCTGATAAGATAGAATAGTATCGGCATAGACAGGACTGACATCTACCGTCAGTGAAACTCACAGCAATCCGTGATATCTATAGCACTAAGACTCACAGCAAGCCGTGCTATATACACTGACATAGAACTCACAGAAATCTGTGATTTATGTATACACTGTCCTATAACTCACAGAATCCGTGATATAAGTATATACTGCCCAAGGACTCACAGAAATCCGCGATATATATACACATGGAAACTCACAGTAATCCGAGAAATCTGTGATATTTAGACCTGGAAATTCACAGCAATCTGTGATCTATCTACATATGGAAACTCACAGTAATCTGTGATATAGCCACATATGGAAACTCACAGAAATCTGTGTAAATAAACACATGGCAAAACTACCAGTAATCTGTATAAATAAACACATGGCAAACTACCAGTAATCTGTATAAATAAACACATGGCAAAACTACCAGTAATCTGTATAAATAAACACATGGCAAAACTACCAGTAATCTGTATAAATAAACACATGGCAAGCTACCAGTAATCTGTATAAACACATCTGTATAAATAAACACATGGCAAAACTATCAGTAATCTGTATAAATAAACACATGGCAAAACTACCAGTAATCTGTATAAATAAACACATGGCAAAACTACCAGTAATCTGTATAAATAAACACATGGCAAAACTACCAATAATCTGTAAATAAACACATGGCAAGCCTACCAGTAAATAAATCTGTAAGTAAATAAACACATGGCAAAACTACCATCTGTATAAACACATGGCAAAACTACCAGTAATCTGTATAAATAAACACATGGCAAGCTACCAGTAATCTGTATAAACACATGGCAAGCCTACCAGTAATCTGTATAAATAAACACATGGCAAAACTACCAGTAATCTGTATAAATAAACACATGGCAAAACTACCAGTAATCTGTATAAATAAACACATGGCAAGCTACCAGTAATCTGTATAAACACATGGCAAGCCTACCAGTAATCTGTATAAATAAACACATGGCAAAACTACCAGTAATCTGTATAAATAAACACATGGCTGTATAAATAAACACTACCAGTAATCTGTATAAATAAACACATGGCAAAACTACCAGTAATCTGTATAAATAAACACATGGCAAAACTACCAGTAATCTGTATAAATAAACACATGGCAAAACTATCAGTAATCTGTATAAATAAACACATGGCAAAACTACCAGTAATCTGTGTAAGTAAACACATGGTAAAACTATCAGTAATCTGTATAAATAAACACATGGCAAGCTACCAGTAATCTGTATAAACACATGGCAAGCCTACCAGTAATCTGTATAAATAAACACATGGCAAAACTACCAGTAATCTGTAGAAATAAACACATGGCAAAACTACCAGTAATCTGTGTAAGTAAACACATGGTAAAACTATCAGTAATCTGTACAAATAAACACATGGAAAGCTAACAGTAATCTGTATAAATAAACACATGGCAAAACTATCGGTAATGTAAAGGAAACATTCCCCAAAGTAAAGAAAAGAGCCAGAAAGGCACATAAATCTCACAAGCAAGCATAATTAATAACAATCATAAATAAATAACACTAAATCCCAAAGCCACCCACTATAAGCAGGAGGCAGTGGTACTCTGACCTGTACTGACTGCGGAGCAGCAAAGAAAGAGGAAATGATGCAATGGGAAGGGGGTTTTATAGTACCTAACTTTTTTCTGATTGGTTGTTTTTCTGTGCTGCTGTGGAGTTCTAGTAAAGAGAGACTAAAGCAAATACGAAGCCTCCTGTCATGTTATAAAATTCTGGCGCTTGCTTACAAATTCCCTACATAATGCTGTTCCAACATACCTATCCTCCCTCATACACAAATATGTCCCGTCGAGACCCCTGTGCTCAGCCCAAGACCTACGCCTATCCTCTGATGCTTGCCTTCAAGACTTCTCCAGGGCTGCACCTATTCTATGAAACTCCCTTCCCTCCTCAAATCAGACTTTCAGCCAGCCTCCACTCCTTCAAAAAACCTTTAAAAAACTCACCACTTAAAGCGTATCAATTAAACTGTCAGCAGGGTTCTCATCTCCCACCCTATGACTCCTTTCCTGCAACTGTCAAAAATGACCTACCAAGCACTCAAACCCTTCCCTAACAAACTATGTAATTCCCCTACTTTAACCCTTTGAGTCACTATACCCCACTCCCTCTAGCATGTAAGCTTATCGAGCAGGGTCCTCAACCCCCTCTGTTCCTGTTCGTCCAGTGGTCTGATCTCAATTATATGTCTGTTAGTCCACCCATTGTACAGCGCTACGGAATTTATTGGCACTATATAAATAATAATAATAATAATAATAAAGAATTCTGCAAACTAGTACATTAGAGGGGTGCACTTCATATCTGAGAGTCACACAGAAACTTCAAATACTGTGGTTACATCGGAGTTTTAAAAAGTAAATTTTTTTGGGTGCTATAAAGTACATTAGTGGGTTGCACTTCATATCTGAGAGTCAAATAGAAGCGTCAAATACTGCGGTTACAGCGCAATTGTAAACATTCTTATTTTCTGGGTGCTAATCTGCTAAATAGTAAATTTGGGCCATGCACTTAATTTCTGAGAGTCAAATAGAACCGTCAAATATTGTGCTTACATTGCAGTTGTAAAAAATTCTAATTCTTTAGGTTCTAAAAAGTCAATTTGGTGCCTGCACTTCATATCTGAGAGTCAAATAGAACCGTCAAATAGTGCTGCGACGTAGCATTTTTAAACATTCAAATCTTTTGGCTGCTAAATAATACATTTGCGGCCTGCGGTGCACTTCATCTCTGAGAGTCAATTAGAACCACCTAACACTGTGCTTACAGCGCACTTTGAAAAATTCTAATTGTTTTGGGTGATAAAAAGTAAGTTTGGGGTGTGCACTTCATTTCTAACAGTCAAATAGAACCGTCAAATACTGTGGTTACAGCGCCGTTTGACCAATTCACATTTTTTTGGGTGTTAAATAGTACATTTGTGGCCTGCACTTCATATCTGAGAGTCAAATCGAAGCGTTAAATACCAATATAACAATATTGTAATTTGGGGGCAATACCCTCACAAGTCAAACTGAGAGGTCAGTTTATAGGGAAAACTGTTGCCTGGATACAATTCTAAAACAATTTCCATATGTCCTTTGCAGAGTTTACATGCTGGAAAAACAACTGCTGTGGCTTTCTGCAGTGTGTAGACCAGCAAGGAGGGCAGGGTTGAGGAGTGGGTGGAAGATGATGTGGAGCATGATGAGGTCCTAGACCCCACATGGAATCAAGGTCATGCGAGTGACGTGTGCAGTTTGGAGGAAGAGGCGCTGGTCACACAGAGGCACCAGCAAGAGGGAGCAGGGTGCAAAAGCAGTTATGCAAGTAACAGATGGAGTGATAAAAGGAACCATAACAGATTTAACAAGCCATTCGCATTTTCGCAGTCCGGTGACCAGGACCCAGACACTGTCTGGGCGGCGGTCGGACGACCAAGACCCAGTATGCCTGATGTTGAAGTTAGGAGTCACAGTGTGGAATGGATTAGCAGGGTCTGGTGCAGGGTAACCGCATGCCCCCTGGTGTTGAGCACCAGCGTTTGTGCGGCCACATACCAGGATCCTGATGCAGCTTCAGTAAAAAGAGTACTGGATACCAGAAGCCATCACCAGACTGATCCGCAACTTGGAACACTGTAGAGGCTGGGTGCGCTTTCAGAGTTCTCACCCTGCTGCTGCTCGCCTGTCTGCGCTGCAGCGTAACTTTGGCCTTCCTGCTCACCGCCAAATATGCGACGTGCCCACAAGGTGGATCTCCACCTTGCACATGCTGGAGAGAGTGTGCGAGCCGCAAAAGGCGATAGTGGAGTTTCAGCTGCAGCACGCACAGGTCAGTCGCTCTGCGGAACAGCACCACTTCACCACCAATGAGTGGGCCTCCATGCGAGACCTGTGTGCCATGTTACGCTGTTTCGAGTACTCCGCCAACATGGCCAGTGCTGATGACGCCGTTCTCAGCCTTACTGTCCCGCTTCTATGTCTCCTTGAAAAAACGCTTCGGGCGGTGATGGAAGAGGATGTGCACAGGAGGAAGAGGAGGAGGAAGAGGGTAATTTCCATGGTTATTAGGTCAGTCATTCACAAGTGGCTCGGAGGGTGGGTTCCTGCACCAGCATAGGCCAGGTACACAATTGTCCAGCATCTCCACACTGTTCCATGGAAGCATTCAGCTGTCCATCTACCAAACACTGGAGAGAAAGAGGAAGTATCCCCCTAGCCACCCGCGATCCCTGGCCCTGAATGCAAGCATTTCAAAATTCGTGGCTTTGAAATGCTGTTATTCCGTCTGGTGGAGACGGACAGTTTTAAAAACCTGATGGCGTTATTGGACTGCAAGAAATGCACCACAGGCTGCAAATGTTTTTATATGTCCCAATATTTTGGGGGCTACCCCAATAAAAAAAAAAAATATATATATAAATTTTTTTTAAAGTGTGTGTATGTATATATATATATATATATATATATATATATACATATACATATACATATACACATACACACACACACACACACACATATACACATATACATATATATACACACACACACACACACACACACACACCTCCACCGCTGCTTCCACCTACACCGCCATGGTCACCGCCTCCTCAACCTATGGGTCACTTAGTATAAACTATGTACACAATAGCAGAGGCTTGTGAAGGCCTTTTCTCCATGCATCAGGAGTTGAGCTCAGTTTGAACAATGAAAGAATACCCTGCACTCCAGCCCTCTCAAATGGATAATTCTGGTGATCCTCCTGACAGCCATGCTTTAGATTTTGATTTATGTTCTTCCAAAGCTAAAATCAAAGATTCCATCTAGTGCTATTTTATGGCTCGGCTGTATTTTAAGTCTAAGGCAAAGGAAAGGTTTTTTTACTGTAAGAACAATCAGGATGTGGAATTCTCTGCTTGAAGAAGTGGTTTTATCAGAGTCCATACAGATGTTCAAACAGCTACTAGATGCATACTTGCAAGAACAGAATATTCAAGGATATAATCTTTCAATGTAGGGTAATAACTGCTTGATCCAAGGATAAATCTGACCGCCATTCTGGGGTCAAGTATAATTTTTTTCCTAGCTTGTTGCAAAATTGTGCTTCAAACTGGGTTTTTTGCCTTCTGCAAAAAGCAAAAAAACAAATCTGAGGAAGGCTGAACTTGATGGACGAAAGTCTCTTTTCAGCTATGTAACTATGTTATTTTAAGTGTTTTCCCTATCCACATTTGTTTGCAGGGCACTTGTCCTACTCTTACCCCCATTTTACTTCCTTTTGCAGCCCTCCAGCCCTTTCCATGACTTTTTTTAGAGGCATTTTTGTGCCCAAAAGTTCGGGTACCCATTGACTTCAATGGGGTTCGGGGTCAAGTTTGCCGGACCCGAACATCCAGGTGTCCGCTCAACTCTACGTGCTACCTTTCCTTTAAACGGAGTTCATATTCCAATATACGACCATGAAGATGAATCATCAGATCTAATGACTTCACTATGATCGATGAGATAGATAGATGCTCATAACAATGCAGATGCCCCACCATGTTTCACATTTGGCAACATAATGTTTGGGTTAAACACTTGGAATGTAAATGTAGCCAGATATACAGCAGTAGGTGAGACATGACACTGATTATTTTCCCTATTCCCGTGAATCAATTTTCTAGATATATGCTCCTTACTGGTTTATTATTATTTCTTAACCCCTTTTACTTGTGAAGCGGTGTACTTAAGGAATTAATATTATACCAATAGATACTGGCTGTGGATACACATGGAGCCCAGAAATAGTTCCAGGCTTGTAAAACTTAGAATGAACACGTTGACTTTGGTAGTGCCAAGTATGTAAATAGAAGAAAGGATCTGGGTGCCAAATAGTGCTTATTGGAACAGTGGGTACAAATATGCTTCACACTCAGGTGTAGTCCCCAAATTCACCAATAGAGTGTAATGTGCAATAATGAGTGGAGCAATATAGAACACGATATTGAAAGATTGTATACAACCTCTAAGTTTTAGATGATTTCTTCCACGAAATAAAGGAATATGTATGAGAAAAATGCAAAACAAATACAATGATAGTGCAGATTGTATTACACTGACACTAATTATCAATTAACATTGCTAAATAATCCCATTTGTGTATTGTCTTATTTGCACGTAATCTTATTCGCAGATAATGATATAATATAGCATCAATTGTAAAGGGTTACTTAAGTTGAACAATTTATTGTCTGCTACATGCAGAGTTAAAACCAAAACATTAAACAGAAATATAATATAAAATAGACAACAGAGGATTGCTAGCCTCTTACTGAATGAGGTGGTGAGTTAGACCGGCTTCTGCCGTTACTCACTAAAACAGCTTGTGATAAATCAGTGGGTGGGCTGCTGTCACCCTTTCCTTTTTTAGAGAAGAAATTAAGGAAAAGGGATGCATTATCCCCTCCACCTCTCAACAAAAGATTCAGGAGAAAAGGAACAGAAGGAGAGGAGGAAAGAGGATAAATAGAGGAAAATTAAGAGTGATAGCAGTAATTTCTTACAAGATAAGGCGAGAAAGACACCAAGAGGAATTTTCAATCAAAGAAAATTTTAAAGGAAGAGGAGGTGGACTTGTTAACAAAATATGTACAACAACCCAAAACACATCAAAAGGAGTAACTCATATGGTTCTTAAAGAAAGATCCTTATTTTACCCAAAATGGCACATGTCGGAAGAAATGGTTACATGTTAAAAAAAAAAAAAAATGGTTAATAAGTAGGTTCAGAAATTAAAACCACTAAATAGACATCAATTAAATCTCTCCCCTCAAAAATATAAATCCCTGAAGGAATTGAGAAAAAAAAATAAATAAAAAAAAAATCATGAGACCGGCAGACAAGGGGGGAGGTCTAGTGATTATGGATAGGGAATATTATCTTGCTGAGTTTTACAGACGACTACTAGGGGATACGGATACCTATTTAAAATTATCGGACGATTCTACTAAACTAAAGAAAAGTTTACACACCTTATTAACTCAGGGATTTGACAATGGTATTCTGAGTAAATCAGAGAGAGATTATATCAACATTAGTTTTGAAAAAAATTCAGTTTTTTTATTTCCTACCCAAGGTCCACAAAAATCTAGAAAGACCACCAGGACGCCCAATAGTCTCGGGGATTAATTCTGTTTCATGTTGACCGGATGCTCCAACCTTTAGTAAGAAGGAACCCCTCATATCTTAAGGACACAACGAATATCCTCCAAATATTGAAGGAGACACCTTGACATGATGATTATTTAATAGTGACAGCAGATGTCACCTCCTTATACACCAGTATCAAACATGATCTGGGTGTACAAGCAGTTAAACATTTTTAAGAATCTCTCTCTTTATACTCACCAGAACAGAGTCAATTACGCTTATTTTAGAGAATAATTACTTCTGGTTTCAGGGTGATTTTTATCTCCAACAATGTGGCACAACTATGGGCACCAAGTTCGCCCCCAGCTATGCCAACCTCTTCATGGCCCACTGGGAATATGTCCATGTTCAGGAGGGTGGCAGCTGGGTCGAACTTGGTGCTATATAAAAAGGTATATAGATGACCTTATTAGGATTTGGAAAGGTGGAGCTGAATCTTTGCATAATTTCATACATACACTTAATTCCATTGAGTGGGGAATACGTCTAACTTCTGAGTATAGCAATAAAAAGATACATTTTTTTAGACCTCACCATCTATATAGAAAATGAAGAAATAAAAACATACTTCAAACCAGTGGACGTGAACAGTTATATCCAGAACAAAAGCTGTAATTTCAGTCCCTGGTTGAACAATGTACCCAGAAGCCAGTATATTAGGATGAAGAGGAACTGCACTGATGGCAGCATATTTGAAGAACAAAGCCAAAAAGTTATTGATGATTTTAGGGAAAGGGGCTACGATGAGGTGAGTTTAAAAGAAGCTAAGGAGAGGGTAGAGAAATTAGACAGAACAGAGATTTTAAAATACCAAGAGAACAAGACTATGCACACTACAGCTAGTGTTCCATTCATGTGTCAATACTCAGGGGGACATAATCAGAAAGTACGCAATATTGTAAATAAATACTGGCCAATACTTATAGCGTACCCTACCCGCAATCACATTTTGACTGTGTAGAATATTGCATATTCTGTATGTTCCTATTCAAATACATATTAAGGTGTGGCTGTCTAATGGGTTAAACAGAACAGATGGTGTTTGCTATTCTGTACCATGAGGTCTCTGGAATTTGCTGTATAAGAGATTTGAGGTGGTCTTTATATAGAGAACTTCCTTATATGGCAGAGTCTAAACTAAACGTTATGACGTAATTTGGGCTATATAGAGCCAAGGACAAAGGATTACACATTCTTCCTGCTACGATCCATTTTGCTCTCCTCTCTGATGTCCTGAGTTGCTGATACAAAGACGACTCTCTGTAACGTCGTTAAGAAATACCATCTGTTAAGTATATTATGGTTGAATGTAGAATAAATATTTTTTTTTTTTTTATAAAGAACGTCAGATTGCGTATTAGTACTTTTCAATAATATAGACATATATTATTGTGGCGAGCCTGACCCAAAAGAAGACATATCTATGTATATATACACATAAAAAAGACTTATTCAACTAAAGAAAAACACAGCCAGTTATTACAGACTGATAGACCCAGGATAATACATAAAGAAGTCTCTAATTTGAGTGAATAATGTTCTGGACGAACTAAACCTAGTGGTAATTACTTTTTAAATCAACAGGAAGACTTTTGTAGATGTGGTCACTGCAGTGCGTGTGGTAAAAACAGGAAATTAAAAACAGCATACAAAATAATTCACAGTCAACAATATCACATACAGGATAAAAGGAATAACGTGTAGTTCTAAGAATGTAATATATATGCTCACCCGTACGTGTGGATTACACTACATAGGACGTACCACCAGACCTTTACGTATAGGTGAGCATATATATAATATTAAGAGGGAATACGCACTGCATCAGGTTTCTCTACATTTTAAACATCATCATGGAGCAGACCCCACAAAACTAAATTTTATAGGGATCCAACAGGTCCATAAGGAATGGAGAGGTGGAGATTTTAATATAAAGATAGGACGGGCCAAAATGAAATGGATCTTTGATTTAAATACTACGATCCCTCATGTCCTTAGTAACGATGTAGAGATTTGTCATTTTTTAAGATAAAGATCTGATTTTATTATTATTTTTATTTATTTTATATATTTTTGACAGCCTACATTTTTATATATTATCCAATTTTGGAATTTTTTAGAGGTTTTTTAATTGATAGTTTTTTAGTCGGATATCCATGCGTTTTTTAACTCCACTTTTCTTCTCCATGAGATCCAAATTTATCACAATTTATTATACTTTATGCACTTTACCCCTTTTTTTTTCCCTTCCGTTTTATTTCTCTTTAATGTAATCCATTTTTGTATAGAATTTATTTTTATTTATATTTATTTGTAAGAGTCAATTGATGTGTATTTATTTCATATGTTTATTCTCCTCTTTTATTTTATTTCCTGAGCAGGCTTTGGGAATTTTTTTAAATATTCCATTAAGATATTATACATATGATTTATTGATTTTTATTATTTTTAGGTTTAGAAATTGAGAATTGTAAGATCATATTCATGCTTACAACAATTACTATGGAGTAATGCAAAATTATTACTGTTCCTTTAACTACTAGTCTCCATTTAAGATTCCCTCTAACCACTGTTTATCATGTTAAATTATTTTTAATTGAAAGCTTATTTGAAATATATACCTGTAACTGTATAAATTTGTAATTGTATATAAACTGAAAGCACAGCACTATGGTTAAAGGGACACTATAGTCACCTGAACAACTACAGCTTAATGTAGTTGTTCAGGTGAGATCTATAGCTCCCTGCAGACAATCTAATGTAAACACTGTATTTTTAGAGAAAATACAGTGTTTACATTGATTGATAGGAATACCTCCAGTGGCCGTCACTCAGACGGCCACCAGAGAGACTTCCTATCATGTAGGGCCCTAAAAAAGGCCTTGTACATGTCAGACGTATTAAAATAGTCTGACGTGTGTAGGAGAGAGAAGTCACTGTGTGCGTGCCTTCTCTCTCCTGCCTGTCAGCCGAGGAGAGGGGGCGGGCAAAGACCGCGAGCTGAGCGGTCAGTCAGCTTAGCTTGCGGCCGCACACACCACGCACATGTGCGGTAGTGCGCTCAGGACTTCAGAGGGCGGCATGAATGCCGCCCTTTGATGTGCGCATGTGCGGCAAAGCCGTGCATGCGCACAAGGGAGCAATGATGCTTCCAAATGGAAGCGTCTGATTGCTCCTTGCTCGCGTCCGCCTATTTCGTCATTTTGAAAAAATAGGGGGCGCGGCTTCACGAGGCTCCCGGCGCTGGAACCAGGTGAGTAAAACGGGTTGGCTGGAGAGTCCCTTTAAGATTTTAAGTCGGCAAGACGAAAGGACCGCATGCAAATTAAGGCAAAACAAGCTAACCAATCAGATTATGACTTACACCTTTATATGCCCATAACCGACATGGCAGTCAATAGCACGTCCTGAGGAAGCCGTCATACTGTGAAACGCGTCGATGTCATTTACGGGGGAGGAGCTTATGCTGGTCGGAACTCGAGACGGCTAATTTCGAACTTGGGTCTATGTATATTTCTCTACTGACTGCAGCAGTTGAACTACAGCCCAGCCGAACCGGAGAAGGAGACAGCAGCCCACCCATTGATTTATCACAAGCTGTTTTAGTGAGTAATGGCAGAAGCCGGTCTAACTCACCACCTCATTCAGTAAGAGGCTAGCGAACCTCTGGTGTCTATTTTATATTATATTTCTGTTTAATGTTTTGGTTTTAACTCTGCATGTAGCAGACAATAAATTGTTCAATTTAAGGAACCCTTTACAAATAAGACTATGCACAAATGGGATTTAGCAATGTTAATTAATTAATGATAATTAGGGTCAGTGTAATACAATCTGCACTATCGTATTTTTCTCTTACATATTCCTTTATTTCTTGGAAGAAATCATCTAAAACTTAAAGGACCACTATAGGCAGCCAGACCACTTCTGCTTATTGTGGTGGTCTGGGTGCCTGGTCAATCTAGTGTTAACCTTTTTTTCTATAAACATAGCAGTTTCAGAGAAACTGCTATGTTTATGTTAGGGTTAATCCAGCCTCTAGTGGCTGTCTCATTGACAGTCGCTAGAGGGATTCCGCGTTTCTCACTGTGAAAGTCACAGTGAGAAGACGCCAGCGTCCATAGGAAAGCATTGTGAATGCTTTCCTATGGACTGGCTGAATGCACGCGCGGCACCTGCCGCACATGCGCATTCAGCCAAAGAGGAGGAAAGGAGGCGGAGAGGAGGAAAGCAGCTCCCTGCCTGGTACTGGAGAAAGAGGTGAGTTTAACCCCTTCCTCTCCCCAGAGCCTGGCGGGAGGGGGACCCTGAGGGTGGGGGCACCCTCAGGGCACTATAGTGCCAGGAAAACGAGTATGTTTTCCTGGCACTATAGTGGTCCTTTAAAGAGGTTGTATACAATCTTTCAATATCGTGTTCTATATTGCTCCACTCACTATTGCACAGTGCTAAGTATGTGTTGAGGTTGTACATTATAGCAACTGTCTCTGCCAGCCAGCTTTGAAATTAGACCATTGTATCTCTGATTGATGGTTGCCTACGTGTTGTATAGAATTTCCATTAATTATTATTACTACTACTACTACTACTACTACTACTACGATGGCATTGCACTGAAAGCTCAAAATTACTAAATATTATTTGTCAAACACTTGTATAGGCGCATGCAATTAATCAGCAATCGAGCCGACAGGTCTCACTTTGCAGCTGTGAATTGGAATTCTGTTACTTTAACATTGATGTGTTAGTCTAGCCTGTGATTACTTGAGGATTTTGGCCAAACAAGAGAGATATTACTAAGCGACTGACTTCTCCTGTCATTTATGCATTGCATGTTAAATGTACAACATTCTTACTGCTTGTCATGTCATTATACCTGCCTCAAAAAAAAACAGATTGACAACAAAAAATAAAAATCTTTTTCATATGCTGCTTTAATGACTTTGACCATCTCTTCTGTCTCTTGAGGTCATTTACACCAATATGATTACTTCCCCAAAAGAAGGAGGTTTAAAATGATCTAGATCAGCTTTGAGACCCAAAGAGGGGTGGTGTCCACAATGAGCGCTTACCCTGCAAACACAGCTCCCACCGCGGAAATAAACCATTCTGGAGAATTAAACCCAAGTATTCCGACACTATGAAATGGTTCCAATCCAAGCTGTGAAAACAATGAACCCAGGTTAAACAGGCCAGGCTGCTTTGGAACAAAATGGCTCAACATTGGTTAGAGTGCGATATGTTAAATATGGGGGTTTAGTATTGTTGTATGATACAGACAAACTCATTATTCTTTATGAATACAGATGCTTAAACAGGAAAAGCTTACAATGAAGAAAACAAGGCTTCCTTATTTCCAAACCAACCCACACAGCTGTATGTTTACTTTAGGACTAGGTCTGCGGGATGGTTATTGTATTCCATAGAGAGTGGCCAGTGGTGGGCAAGAAATGCGTGTAGTGTGCGTGGGGCAAAGTATGAGTGCCTCAATTGGGTTTTATTTACGAACCCAGGACCTGTGGCATATTTACTAGAGAATTTAAGATGTTTGGTCACCGTAGCCGAATTAGAATAATTCAATAAATTAGCGGTTTGTCCAGCTCAGTCATTTTCTATACATTTCCCAGATTAGTAAATAAAATGTATATGATAGCCATCTTTTTTTATTTTACTCTCTCTCCCCATGTAATTTGGCTCCATGACCTATTTTCCTCACTGATAGTATCATAATTCTCAAAATATTCAGAGCGTGACACAGAACCAAAACCACCTCTGATTCTCCAAGAAGAATTAGAACCAAAACCACCTCTGATTCACCAGTACAGAACTTCCACTATCCAAAGTGAGAAGTAGGATTTTATTAAAACTTAAGGCTAATTCAAGATATACCACGTGGCATTTTAATTGAAGTAACCCCACTACCCAGTGTTGGTCCATTGTAAACGATGCACTAGTTATACTCTTTGTGATTATAATACTTTTCCAGTATTGTGGACAATGAATTGGTTACTCTGGAGCAGGTATTTGCTCTTAATTTTTTATATTTATTTTTTTTAAGTGCTCTGAAATATACAGGTAGTGACCATGACATATGATGCAATGCAAAACAAATGAATACAGGTGTATAGTTAGAGAACACAATGTCAAGAGGAACTGCACATTTTTTAAAATATAAAATAACAATCATGCTAGGAAAATATGTAGTGATATAAGTGAAAAGCATGGCATAGGGTAAATGTCAGACATGTTGAGAGTGGTCATATGTGTGAATAAACAGGTTTCATTAACTGAAGAGGGGCAAGGAGATTAACACCACCAGGTTTACATCAACATTCGTGCAGCAGAAATGTTTCAGCCAATTCCTCTTGCAAGCTTTAGAGGGTGATTAGCTCTGCTCTATCTGTATGCAGCTTAATGACGCTTTCACCTCCTCTCGGGTGCAGCAGAGGATCAGCAGTCGGTGCACCAAGACTCTCGGTCCCCAAGCGTGCAAGCCTATGCCTGGTCACCACCTAGCCCTCCAGCTCAAGTGGCAGGATGAAAGTCCTGCAAGGCTCTGGGAACGGCACTACCAGGTTGTGGATGGCTGGTGGGCATGACATCCATCTTGGCTCTCGGCCCAGAAGGAGAGCCCAATGCTGGGACTCCTCTGGAGACCTCCTCTGTTCTAGGTAAGGAGCGTAGTTGAGCCCTCTGCTGTGATTCAATCCGACTCCAGAAGGCTGCACAGAGAGCATAAAATGCTGCATGGAACTTAGGCTCCCAGGATACAAAACATGGCGGGGAGGGAAATTAAATTGTGGAAAAGCAAAATATGTATACAAGGAAATAACACTAAGATGGGGACACACATACAACCAAAGAAGAAAAGGAACATGCAAGCACCATAACCACTACAGAACTCAGAAGTGGTCATGGTGCCTGGAGTGTGCTGGATTAATCCCAGCCTAATGTTATCCTTCTAGATGACCTCAGCAATGGCCTCTGTGATTTTACTTTAGGAGAATCTGGTTAACTCCTCAGAGCTATGCAGGACAGCGCTCGTTGGCTATGGCCTACCTAACGTCTATATACACATGTGAATATTGACATTTGTGGCATTATTCCATACACAACCTTTCAAGATCTTCTTGGACAGAAACATCTCCCCTACCTTTATGAAGCTCTTGGCAGCTCGACGAGAGAACTTGTAGTATTCCAGGAAGGTGACATGCTCCCATAAACCATTGATCTTGCTTGACATGGAGTGTAGATTTCCATATTTATCGACACATTCCAGAAACATCTGGTGCACAGTTACAGCAGGCTGGGAGCAGGTATCGTCAATCCGAATCTGTATAGAACCATTGGCAGCTGTGGTCCATAAGCCATCTATAAAGACAAGTGTTATCAATGTAGATAGAATTACAGTTTAATCTTTACTGGTTTTCAGGCCGCCATATTATACAAGGATGGACTTTTCAACCATTTCATACAATGGTAAATCAATGTCTTTTTTCGAATAAAACTTCACTGTAAAGCATTGGATAATATAATTCACGCTCACATTGTTGATTGATAAAGCTAACTAACCTACATGACCAGGAGTATATCGGCCTCTAGGAGCCACTAGAGTAGGCTTCAAACAACTCCGGCCCTCCAGATGTTGCTAAACTACAACTCCCTTGATTCTCAGCCTATTTCATTCATAGAATCATGAGTTGTAGTTTGGCAACATCTGGAGGGCCGGAGTTTGGGGAAGCCTGCACTAGAGTATCGAGTGTGTGTGGACTGCATCAGCTAACACCATCAGAGTGGGTGACATGAAAATGACAGTCTATAAATGTTTTATTCAGTGTTTTACAAAATACCCCTGTATACCCATTGATTGTAACCAGGGCCGTCTTTAACGCGGGGGCAAACAGGGCAGCTGCCCCAGGCCCTGTCCCTGCTGGGGGACCCAAGACAGCTGCTCCGTTTGCCCTCTGCCTGCAAACTATGGGGGCTCATCGGGTGGCCCATGCACTTTGGGCCACCCGGTGGGACGGTGTCAGCAGAACACCGGTCGTGCGCTGGGGCGCTTTAACAGCGCGACCGGGCCCTTGCTTTTTGGCAGCACTGGGAGGAAGTGACAGCCGCGCTGTGTATGTGTGTTTCAGTATGGCAGTCTGTGTGTGTTTGTGTCAGTACGTCTGTCAGAAGGTGTCTCTGTATGTTGTCCGTTTGTGTTTGTGTGTGTATCTGTATATCTGCATGTGTGTCAGGTTGTGTATCTGTGTGTCTGTATGTGTCGGTGTATCTATATGTAGTCAGTGTGTGTACCTTTGTATCTGCATGTATGTCAGCGTTTGTATCGGTGTCTCTGCATGTGTGTCAGGTTGTGTAACTGTGTCTCTGCATGTTTGTCAGTATCTATATGTAGTCTGTGTGTATCTGTATGCGGTCAGTGTGTATCTGCACTGCATGTGTGTCAGGTAGTGTATTTGTGTGCATCTATATGTAGCCAGGGGGCCCAAGTAAATGCCTGCCCAGGGTCGAATCAAAATTAAAGACGGCCCTGATTATAACAAAACCATTTTTCATAAGCCTATCTTACATGTATCAGTAAACCTTACCTTTTTAACTTTCTAACGCGCTCTTAAAGGACCACTATGTAGTCCTTAGGTCCCCCCAACCCTCATGGCCCTCCTCCTGCTGGTTAAAACCCATTCAGCCACTTACTCGGCTCCCTTGGCACTGGTGACCTCTCCTCCTTCGGCTCCCGAGTGGAGCCGAATGCGCCGCCAGAGCCGCGCGTGCACATTAAAAAACGCCCATAGGAAAGCATTGCGCAATGCTTTCCTATGGACGTCGGCGTCTTCTCAATGTGATTTTCACAGTTAGAATCGTGGAAGCGCCTCTAGCGGCTGTCAGTGAGACAGCCACTAGAGCAGGGGTTCTCAACCCAGTCCTCAGGACCCCCTACCAGTCCAGGATTTGGGGATTACCTGGGTGTGTCTCAGGTGTTTAGAAAAAGGGAAAAAAACACCTTAGACTCTAAGGTGTTTTTTTTTCTAAACACCTTAGACACACCAGGTAATCCCTAAACCCTGGACTGGTAGGGGGTCCTGAGGACTAACGTTGAGAACCCCTGCACTAGAGGTTGGATTAACCCTCGGTGAGACATATCAGTTTCTCTGAAACTGCTATGTTTTCAGCTGCAGGGTTAAAACTAGAGGGACCTGGCACCCAAACCACTTCATTGAGTGGTCCTTTAACCCCTTAAGGACCAAACTTCTGGAATAAAAGGGAATCATAACATGTCACACATGCCATGTGTCCTTAAGGGGTTAAGCAAAATTGATAATATGGTCAGGGAGAGTGTGTTAGACTTAAATTGATTAGTTTGGGGAGTGAAAGGGGGGCAACCTCTAAAGTTTAAGCAGAAATAACAATTTAAGATACAGAAACACCAAGCTCACAAATTTAGGAGATTTAAGACATAACGTTTAACCCATCTGTTAAACAATCCAAAATGACATGTGAGTACATAAAGTCATCGGCTGAGCTAAAAAAATAAATAAAAAAAATAGTCCACAAAGTGTCTAAAACCATAAGAGCATAGCTAGGACTTAAAAAAAAAAAAAAAATTTAAAAAAATAAAAAAATAAAAATATATATATATATATATATATATATATATATATATATATATATATATATAAAATCAGATAACATATAAAGTACTAATCCAAAACTCCACCAAAAATAAAATAGGAGGGATATTAGGAGATATAGCAGAAAACGGAGTAGCTATTATTTAGAAAAATATTGAATAAAAAGTTACTGCTTTTATTTAAAGAACAAATAGACCTATAAACATAAAGTAATAATCTACATGTCACTGCAGGCTAAGAAAACACCACACTAAGTGTCAGCTGAGTGGGCCATTGGAATAAATGGATTAGAAAAAGACTGGGTGTATATCAACTATTCGAATTCCAGTATGAAATGCAAAATAGATAGCCTAATTGATATACAATGGCAACATTTTTTAAATTTTTTTTTTTTTTTTTTTTTTAATACTAGAGTATACATAAGTAATCAGTATAGTCAGAACCAGGGGCTAAAAATTAAATCAAACAGATATAACTTAAATATAAACCAGACTTTATATTTGAGACTGGGCCCCAAATAACAGCATTGATTAGCAACTCCCAGCACTCAAAAGCATCCAAGCACTGCAGAAACACCTAAGCAGAGGCATCATCTCTTGAAGGCTGCCCACCCCACCCCACGGTCATTACCATACTTATAGATAGTGCAGAGCAGCTGGTTTTCAAAACACACCAACCAAGTCCCGAAACCTCTCTTCACCTGAAATCCCTCTGTTAACAAACTGCATGCTTTAACCATGGTTTAAACCAGGCTTCCCCACACTCCGGCCCTCCAGATGCTGCTGAACTATAACTCTCATGATTCTATGAATGAAATAGATAGGCTGAGAATCATGGGAGTTGTAGTTCAGCAACATATGGAGGGCCAGAGTGTGGGGAAGCCTGGTTTAAACACTCATAGGTATATGTGTCTATATATATGAATAATTTTCATATCTATATAACAAAACACATTTTCTCTAAATAATGTTCTCACTTCTATTTTTCACTTTCACACTAACTTCTCTCATTACTAAAATATCCCTATCCTTCTGCTCACCTGTCTCTGGCAAATCCATCTTCATTGCCTCCACTTTACTCCTCTCTCTATTTATCCCATGCACTCTACATATACCTTTCCAGCCTATCCCCACCAACTCCTCCCAAATCCTCTATATACACACCCTCCTACAAAACTTTCAAATCCTACTCCCTTCACTTCCTTTCTATCCGTCTGCTGCTAGCAGCTGGTGATGTCTCTTCAAACCCACCACGTACTAACTCAAGGAACCACCCCAATCTCACACCCATCTCATGTTACTCTTCCTCTAAACAGGGCAGGAATGGGAACTAAAAGCAGCACTTTAAAAATTCTATACCAGCCCAATAATGCATCGCACCAGCTTAGTGTGCTGATATAGAGGTGGAAAAGATAACGTAAAATTAAAAACTATTACTCCATCGAAAGAAAGCATAAAGGGCTTCAAAATAAACATATTTTAAGCAGACGCACATTTGCATGTAATCAATGTTTCAGTCTAACTACCTCGACATATTAAGGACATTCTGGTAATGGGACTGAAATGCTGAATGTCTGCGGGTTGCACAACTGAAAAAAAAGTGATCTTGTTTATTTTGAAGTCCTTTAGGTGCGCTCTTCACTTTGAATATGTTATTGTGCTGGAGTATGCAACAAAACTGGGCCAATATGTGCTCATTACATATATGTTATATATCAATGACATTTATGTGTGTATAATGCATATATAAATGTATATTAATACATGGGTAAATATTATAGGCATAATTATATATGTTACTAATACACATATTAATATACATGTATATATATTACTGTCAGAATCACATCAATTACGTCTATCTGTACATTGTGTTAGCAAGGTTACTAGCAAAATGTATTTATTGGAAGGAAAATCTGTTTAATAAGAGGTCTTTCTCTCACCTGTCGATTAGCTATTCAGCATAAACTCCTGTGCTGAAGAACTGAGTTACAGGGAGAGCAGGAGACACAGGCGAAAATGCATTCTCCCCCCCCCACCCCCCTACACACCAAAAAATGCATCTTCACTTGTGTTTCTATTAACTTCCTTATGAATTTCTTTTTTTGGTGTTCCTTATTCCCTCCATTGATTTTTGTTTTTACCTCGTTTAGTGTATCTTGTCTCCAATTTTCTCCTTTTTGTCTCTTGCAGCCACCCTTGTAATTCTCTTTTAGCTCCCCTTGTGTATCTTTTCACCCCAGCCCCTGTGTGTTTCTTTTTACCCTTCTCTGGCCTCCATATGTCTCTTCCCCCCAGCCCCTTTTGTGTATGTTTTAGCCCCAGCCCCTTTCTCCCCTTCCAAATCCCATCTGTGTGTCTCTTTCTAACTCCAGACTCTGTGTGACTCTCTCTTCTCCCAGCCACTCTGTGTCTCTTTTTACCCCAGCCCAGCTTTGTCTCCCACAAACCTTGTGTATCACTTTGTTCCCCTTCCCTTCTGTAAGTCTCTTTGTCCCCCCAACAAACCTTCTGTGTGTCTCCCCCTTCCCCTGTGTCTCTCTATTACCCCTCTGTCTCTTTGTCCCCCCTTCCCTGGCGTCTCTCTATTACCCTTCTGTCTCTTTGTCTCCCCTTCCCCTGTGTTTCTCTATTACCCCTCGGTCTCTTTGTCCCCCCTTCCCCCATGTCTCTCTATTACCCCTCTGTCTCTTTGTCCCCCCTTCCCCTCTGTTTCTCTATTACCCCTCTCTTTGTTCCCCTTCCCCTGTGTCTCTCTATTACCCCTCTGTCTCTTTGTCCCCCTTTCCCTTGTGTCTCTCTATTACTCCTCTGTCTCTTTGTCCCACCTTTCCTTGTGTCTCTCTATTACCCCTCTGTCTCTTTGCCCCATCCCCTGTGTCTCTCTATTACCCCTCTGTCTCTCTCTACCCCTTTCCCTGTGTCTCTCTATTAACCCTCTGTCTCTTTGTCCTCCCTTCCCTGGTGTCTCTCTATTACCCCTCTGTCTCTTTGTACCCCTTTACCCTGTGTTTCTTTATTACCCCTTTCTTTGTCCCCCCTTCCACTGTGTCTCTCTATCGCCTCCCTGTCCTGTGTCTGATGCTGACCTTGGACAGGAGGACTGAGGGAGGGGGCAGAGCCAACTACCATGCTCCCTTGCAGTTCCCATAATTCCCAGCATGGACACATCATAGAATAATCACTTCTCTATGATGTGGCTGTGCTGGAAATTGTGGGAACCACGAGCTCTGCCCCCTTCCTCAGTCCTCCTGTGCTGACAGTTATACTGCTGTTAGTATCAGTGAGTATGCCGCCGGACCGTTTAGTAGGCATGTGCATGGAAATTTTTTTCGGTTTGGTTCGGCCCTGAGCGGCGGGTGGGGGCCCTAAATTAGAATAGCCCCCACCCCTCATTCTAATTTAACCCCTTTTTTTTAAAAAGTTCGTCGGTTATTATGGATTTTTATTTGGCCTTTTTTGGGGCTGAAAAAAGAAGATTTTAGAAGAAAGAAAACATCAAATGGTAAGTTTTATTTTATTTCTTAACAGGTTTAGCTAATGGTCCCCCTCACTATTTTTAGGGTGAGGGGGGTAGGTAGGGGTTAATTTTTTTGGGAGGGGGGTGACTAGGAGTTTGGGGACCCCTAGTCACCTGGGCCGGGAGGGTTGATTTTTTATTTAGGGCCCCCACCCGCCCCTCAGGGGTGGGGGCAAGGGGGAGGACAATAGGTCCCCCCCCATTATTTTACTTTAGGGCCCCCACCGGCCGCTCAGGGGTGGGGGCTGGGGGGAGGACAATAGGTCCCCCCTTATTCTAATTTAGGGCCCCCACCCACCGCTCATGGGTGGGGGCCAGGGGGAGGACAATAGGTCCCCTCCTTATTTTACTTTAGGGCCCCCACCTGCCGATCAGGGAGGGCAATAGGTCCCCCCTTCAGGTTAGAAGCCCCATTCGCGTGGCACGGGGGCAGTATAGCGAGTAGGGGCATAATTTGCTAATACTAAGTAATCTTTACTTAGTATTAGTAAATTTGGCTGAAAGACCAATTTAGGTCTTTCAGCCTTTTAGTAGATAGCTCCCTAATACCGTGGGAATTAGGGAGTTATCTACTTATTCATTCCTGTCATTCCATTGACAGACTAAGTAACTTACATTTTATATGAATGTATGTTACTTGATTGTTGCGAATGCTTACAGCTGAATCCTGGCTACGTTTGTATACTTTTTATTTAAAATTGTATACAGTGTAACATTCTTCATTCTTCCACTGGGTAAGTATATTAGTACTTAGGCAATACTGTGCTTCAGAACTTCGGCAACTTCGGCACTTCAGCACTTCGGAAATTTAGTTATTTCGGAACCTCCGCAATTCGGCACTTCGGCAATTTGGCACTTCGGCTATTCGGACATTCGGAAGTACCCCAATGTCCAAATTGCCCATAATTCGTCCGAATTCATATTCGGACCGAAACGAATTGCACATGTCTACCGGTTAGGCAGCCACCCAGCACACTCACTGACACTGACAGCAGTCATACTCATACAGCACATGACATGGGCCCGCCAGCCACCCAGCGGCACGACATACGGCCGCAGGGCTCCCTCTCTATAGGGAGTTAGAGTTCTGCAGGCCGCAGGTGCCGCAGCCCACCAGGAAATTTCCCAGTATCCAGGTGGGCCAGTCAGGCCCTGCCTCTAAATCCTCCTTTAATACTGCCCTCTGGGGCACGTTCCATTTGCAGTATAATAAAATACACTGCTGTCCACGACCTCTTCATCTCTCATTCTCTAGATCTACTAGCCTTAACAGAAACATGGCTCTCCCCCTCTCACACTGCTACCCCTGCATCTTTATCCTTTGGTGGTCTTCAACTTACCCACAACCCAAGACACTCTGAATGTAAAGGTGGTGGTGTAGGGTTTCTACTCTAACCTCACTGCTCCTTCAAACTGCTACCCATTCCCCTTCCCTCTTTCCCATCATTTGAAATTAATTTGACTCGCCTTTTGAAACCCTTCTCTGCTAACATTGCCGTTATTTATCACCCCCTGGTTCCCCTCTCCTCTTCCTTGACCACTTTGCTGCCTGGCTACCCTACTTCCTCTCTTCTAATATTGCATTCCTAATTCTCGGGGACTTAATTTAACCCAACTTTGACCTCAGCAGCCTCTAAACTACTTTCAATTACTTCCTCCCACTGGGCTATCACAGTGGGCTAATTCTCCAACCCATGTAGCTGGCAATACCCTCTACCTCATTTTCTCTTATTCATGTACAGTGTCTAATATCTGCAACACTCCATTTCCTCTCTCTGATCACCACCTCTTATCATTTGTTCACGAGTACCCCCTCACTCAACAACCTCAGCCTAACCCCTCCTCAACTCAGGAGGAACCTTAATTCTATTGACCTCCAGCAGCTGTCAACTGATATTGATTCACAACTGCTATCCATGCCTTCCCTCTCCTGTCCCTCACTGGCCATCTCCACATATAACACTACCCTAACCTCTGCCTTGAACACTGCAGCCCTGCTCCAAACATGCACCTCGAAGAGGACACCCCCCCAACCGTGGCATACTAAATCAACACGTTACCTGCAAAGATGCTCCCGTTGTGCTGAACTCTCCTGGAGGAAGTCTTGCACCCAGGCAGCATAGGCGTGCGCACGGGGTGTGCCGGGTGTGCCTGGGCACACCCTAATCCCCGTGGCACGCCTATGGTTTGAGTCCTGCAGGAACAGCGTTCCTGCACTTTTTTTGAACAGGAACGCTGTTCCTGCAGGCACTCAGCGCCCCCCTGTCTCACCTCTTGCCCCTGTCATGGGGAGGGCAAGAGGTGATGGATTACCCCCCCCCAGCTCAGCGGGCGGCGAGGGAGCTCTCTGCTGTCGGCTCTCTGCTCCCTCTCGCCGCGCGCTGATGCCGGGAGCCGGAATATGACGTCATATTCCGGCTCCCAGCTGCAGCAGACAGCCCGCGCGGCGAGAGGGAGCAGAGAGCCGACAGCAGAGAGCTCCCTCGCCGCCCGCTGAGCTGCATAAAGGCGCCCGCCCCCACTGGACCCCAGGAAAAAGTCCACCAGCACTCCAGGTAGGAGGCTGGGTGGACATTTTTTTTTAAAAATTGAAATATAATAATTTGTGTGTGTGTGTGTGTGTGTCAATGTGTGTTTCTGTGAGTGTGTGAGTATGTGTCAGTGTGTGTGTCTGTGAGTGTGTGTGTGTGTCTGTGAGTGTGTGAGTATGTGTGTATGTGTGTCTGTGTGTGTGTGTGTGTCTGTGAGTGTGTGTGTCTGTGTGTGAGTAGTGTGTGTATGTGTGTCTGTGAGTGTGTGTGTGTCTGTGAGTGTGTGAGTATGTGTGTCTGTGAGTGTGTGTGTGTCTGTGAGTGTGTCTGTGTGTGTGTCTCTGTGTGTGTGTCTGTGAGTGTGTGAGTATGTGTGTGTGAGTGTGTGTGTGTGTGTGTCAGTGTGTGTCTGTGAGTGTGTGTGTGTGTGTCTGTGTGTGTGTCTGTGAGTGTGTGAGTATGTGTGTGTGTGTGTGAGTGTGTGTGTGTGTGTGTGTGTGTGTGTGTGTGTGTGTGTGTGTGTGTGTGTGTGTGTGTGTGTGTGTGTGTGTGTGTGTGTGTGTATATATATATATATATATATATATATATATACACACACACGCACGCGCGGCGTGTGTTTGTGCTTTAGGGTGCACACCCTAATGCAATAGGCTGCGCACGCCTATGCCAGGCAGACTTTCTCCGTTATAGATTCATATTTTGTTCATACAGCGCAGCCCTTGCCCTCACCAAACAGTCATACCTTTCCTCTCTCTTCAGTTCATTCTCCCGCAATCCCAGGCATCTCTTTGACACCTTTAATTCTCTTCTTTGCCCTGCTGTGGCCACCCTCCAAACTAACCTTACAGCAGATAGCTTAGCATGCTACTTTATCGACAATATTGAACAGCTAAGGAAAGAATTATCCCCACCTTGCCATTCTCTTTCTCAACCACACGTAGACCATGCCTTTCCTACCCTTCAGACTTTCTCCCCGGCTACTGAACAAGAGGTGGCTGCGCTTCTCCTTTCCTCCATCTTCAACTGCTCTTTCTCTTCTGGCATTGTCCCTGCTGACCTTAAACATGCCACTGTAGTACCTATTCTGAAAAAAACATCTCTCGACCTGTACTCCCCCTCTAACTATCATCCCATATCCCTGCTCCCTTTTTCCTCAAAGCTTCTGGAAAGACTTGTCTTTATCCGTATGTCTCACTTCCTCAATTCCAACTCTCTCTTGACCCTCTTCAATCTGGCTTATGCCCTCTCCACTCTACTGAGACTGCTCTTATCAAAGTTACTAACAACCTAATTGTAGCTAAATACAAAGACCACTACTCCATACTAATTCTTCTTGACCTCTCTGCTGATTTTGACACCGTTAATCATGCTCTCCTACATCAAACTCTTCAATCACTCTGTCTCTGTGACTCTGTTCTCTCATGGTTTTCCTCTTATCTCTCCATTATCTCTCATTCAGTGTCTCCTTTTCTAATGATACCTCCTCCCCTGGTCTTGTCTCAGTTGGAGTCCCCCAAGGCTCTATCTTTGGTCCCCTTCTATTTTCTCTTTATACTGCCTCTCTTAGCAAACTCATTACCTCATTTGGATTCCACTACTATCAGGACTGGATTAAAATAGGGGCTGATGGAGCTGCAGCTCCAGGCCCAGGCCCATGGAATAGGCCCATTGAATTTTTTATTTTTTTTTTATTTATTTTTTACACACTACTCTTAGGGTTGCCAGGTATTTCTCAGGTATTTCTTAGGGTTGTCAGATATTTCTCAGAAGTATTTCTCAGGTATTTGAGGCTGCCTAGTCGGTGCCGGTATTGCATTAATACCGGCAATACAAATGTCTGTCTCCGTATAAACAGAGATTATTCTGCAATACCAGTGCTGTCCAGTAGGGGTCGCTGTTTGTGTGAAGAGAGGCAGATATAAGAAGTTACAGCATCTCCCTCCCTGCCTCTCACTACTCACTGATCCACAGGGAGCAGCTCTGCACAGAAAGTCCAGACAGCAGCTCTGAGCCTGCGAGACGTGGGGACGGTGAGAGACTTGGGGATGCTGAGACATTGGGACACTGGGCGACATTGGGACTCTGAGAGACATGGAGACACTGGGGGACACATGAGGACACTGGGCGACTTTGAGACCTGGGAGACATGGGGTACTCCCAGTGTCCCCATGTCTCCCAGCCAGTGTCCCTTGTATCTCAGTATCCCCATGTCTCCCCAGTGTCCCTGGTGTCTCTCAGTGTCCCTAGTGTCTGAGTGTTTCCCTATCTCCCAAAGTCCCCTAGTCTCCCAGTGTCTCTGTGTCCCAATGTCTCCCAGTGTCCCCATGTCTCCTAGTGTCTCAGTGTCCCCTAGTATAAAATTTTAGGCACTTACTGTGATAGATTTAAGCAGGTTTATTGGACACCGCAATATTTCAACCTGTACCTAGGTCTTGATCAAGTCTCCAGTGTCCCCTGTGTATCACAGTGCCCCTTTTGTATCAGAGTGTCTCAGTGCCCCATGCCTCCCAGTGTCCCTGGTGTCTCTGTGCCCGTAGTGTCTCAGTGTCCTTAGTGTCTCAGTGTCCCCATGTCTCTCAGAATCCTCTAGTCTCCCAGTGTCCCCATGTTTCACAGTGCCCCTAAGTGTCTCAGTGTCCCCTAGTATAAAAGATAAAAACCTCAGGCACTCACTGTGATAGATTTAAGCAGGTTTATTGGACACCGCAATGTTTTGACCTGTACCCAGGTCTTTATCGAGTCTCCAGTGTCCCTCATATATCACAGTGTCCCCTATGTATCACAGTGCCCCATATCTCCCAGTGCCCCCTCATGTCTCACAGTCACCCAGTGTCCCCATGTCTCCCAGTGTCCCCAGGTTTTCCAGTGTTCCCTAGTATCTCAGTGTCCCATGTCTCTCAGTGTCCTAATGTCTCTCAATGTCCCCTAGTGACATGGGAACACTGGGAGACATGGGGACACAGACACTATGGGATTGGGAGACGTGGGGACACAGACATTCTCCCTTTTTGTGTATGTTCGCCCCTTTTGGCAGTTCTGGTTATGTGATTTGTGTCAGTGGCCCACCCTTTAACCCCATCCATAAACTTCCTGCTTTACTGGACACTGATGTTAGGGGGTATGGGTTTACTTGAAAGATGAAAGCAGGAGATTAGCATAGGGTATGTGTTTTCTCATAGCTGCATCCTATGAGTTTTCCACCAGCACCATCTCCATCAGATACATTACGCTTAGGAGGTAGGACTGTTTTAGTGTTTTTGGTCAATAAGATTTTGTAATTAGGCCCATAATAATTGTCAGCACCAGGTCCACTGGGCTCTTAATCTGGCCCTGACTACTACCTGTATGCTAATGACACCCAGATATACCTCTCCTCTCCGGACCTCTCCCATGCCGCCTGCAACGTGTCATTGCTTGCCTTTCTTCCATCTCTGACTGGATGTCCTCCTGCTTTCTGAAACTCAATCTCTATAAAACTGAGCTCCTTGTTTTTCCTTCTCCTAATACTAATCCTCCTCTTTCGCTCTCCCTTCAAGTTAGTGGTATCCACATCAGTCCATCCATGCAAGTGTGCTCTCTTGGCGTCATACTTGATTCTGGCCTCACCTTTGAGCCTCATATCCTGTATATTAGCAAATCCTGTAGATTCCATCTTAAAAACATCTGCCCCTTTCTTACGCAAGATGCTACTAAGGAGCTTGTCCATGCTCTAGTAATTTACTGCATGGATTATTGCAACCCTCTCCTAATAGGTCATCCCAAAAGCCATATTGCCCCGCTACAGTCTGATTTTCCTCTCTAGTCGGTCCTCTCACACCTCACCCCTCTGTCAGTCCTTACATTGGCTTCATGTATCCTATAGGAGTCAATTCAAAGTGCTAACCGATACCTATAATACATTAGACCATTCCAGCCTCTCTTATCACAAATCTATAGGTATTCCCCTTCTCGGTCTCTCTGCTCTGCCCGTGACCTTCTCCTGTCTGCTGCTCGCACCCGTACAGCCAATTCATGCTTACAGGACTTCTCGCGGGAGGCTCCCTTCCTACGGAACAGCCTGCCTACCGCCATCAGACTCTCCCCTAGTCTTCAATCATTTAACAAGTGCCTTAAAATCCATTTCTTTAGGAAAGCTGATGGTCTCCCATTGTAACCTCTACCTTACTTACCTGTCTCTTGCTGTCTAGTAAAGGGCAGCACTCTACTCTCTACTCCAACTCTGCTTCACTCCCACCGTATTTGATTGCTATTTTCTGTCCTACGGTGTTTTACACCCCACCTCCTATAGACTGTAAGCTCGTTTGAGCAGGGTCCTCTTCAACCTATCGTTCCTGTAAGTTTTCTTGTAATTGTCCTATTTATTGTTACATCCCCCCCCTCTTAAAATATTGTAAAGCGCTACGGAATCTGTTGGCACTATATATATGTCAATGACAATAATAATAATCCTAATAAAACGTTCTAGATAAAGCCCTAAATCTGTCCCTCTCTGGGCACCAAACTGCAGAAAAATGATAAGTTTACCTAAACTAAATATATACACTAACAAATTAGTGTGTTCTTTTATCAGTCTGCTGTAACATGTAGGTTGTTCTTTGAAACAGTAACTTTTTCTCCAATATTTTTCTAAATAATAGCTACTCCGTTTTCCGACATTTCTCAAAATATCCCACTTCATTTATTTTTGCTGGAGTTTTGGATTAGTACTTTAGTAATATATGTTATTAGATTGAATAAGTTTTTTTGCTTATAAGCCCTAGATATGCCCTTGTTTTAGAGATACTTACCTCTTTAATAGTCCACTGACATTTAATAGTCTATTGACATTTAATAGTCCATTGACATATATTTTGTCAATGACTGTGGGCTATTTTTTGTTTTATTAGCTCAGCTGATGACAAGGTGTACTCACATATTATTTTGGATTTTTTAACAGATGGATTAAAAGTTATGTTTAAAATCTCCTAAAACAGGGGAAGAGGGCAAAGATGTAGACACAACTATTGCTACAAGAGACAAAGATAAACAAAGAAAGTTCTGGCAGTTTTAAGATTTCATGGTTTGCCATTTCATGAACTCCGAGTGCATATTACAGTAATGAAAACAGTCAGTGTATTGCCAGTTGTGAATCCTCAGTAAGATCAAGTCTACAATAAAAGCATATAACTTAAAAAAAATAAAAAATCTCCTACATTTTTGGCTTTTCTTTTTCACGCACTCTGCTCAGATCTGCCACCATTACCCAATTACAATGATGCTTCAAAATCATATGGTTTAATCTGCAAACCCTATAAGCTAATGATGTTTGCGTAGCTGCTTTATGGTCTGGTACGCAAGGAAGTCCATGGGGGTGTGGGGGAGGTGACACCAACCCTAGTGAAGCCGTTGGTTAATTCAGCTACTTAAGACAACTCTAGCCAGTGGCACTGTCTGAAACTCAGAACTCAATGACCAACGTTCTAACCCATACCTATGATAAATTGAACAATTCTAGCCCATCTTATATCTCTTCACAAGTCTTTAGGTATGCCCCTTCTCGGTCTCTCCGCTCTGCCCATGACCTTTTCCTGTCTGCTACTCGCACCTGTACGGCCAACTCATGCTTGCAGGACTTCTGGAGCTATCCTGGTCCAGCTGGATCTATCCTGCTATCCTGGTCCAGCTATCCTGGTCCAGCTGGAGCTATCCTGGTCACGTGCAAGTCCTATCATTGTGGAACCTTATAGAAACAACAACAGGCATAAAGCAGAAGGCAAACAAAGCTTCTGAATCTCATAAATTCATCAGTATACTACCAAGTATGGAGCAAACAGTTTGGCAATGCCCTTTCCTATTTCAGCAAGACAATATCTCAAACAAATCAAAGTCCACGTAGATTGGATTTTGTAACTGGTGTCGTAGAACTTGACTGGCCGGCACAGAGCCCTGACCTCATATTTATTATATTAAACCTTTGTGATGAATTGAAACATTGAGTCGACCAACAACACTGCTATTTTGGCTGAATGCAAGGAAACTCCATTAGTGTTACAATATCTATTAGAAGTAATTTCCAAAAAAAACAGTGGGTTCTTTTGATCTGGTGTCCAGATCCACCATGTTTTCAGGGACTCATATCACGTATACGTGAAAAGGGTTGCCCTGAAGTATGCAATATTCAGAAAAAGGTGTATTAGATTAAGCTATTAGGCAATGAAGAATCCTGCAGAATATGCATTATACATACTGCAGGGCAACACTTTTCATGTGTTTTCATAAATATGATTAAATTATATGTGTCCCTGAAAACATGGTGGATATGGTAACCTTAGTTAGATAAGTTAAATGGTAAATCAAAGCAAAACAGGCTTCTATAATTGTAAATGTTATGGTGCAGAAAGTAGTCCATGACCATTTTCCCTTCCTAAATATCTTATACCCCACCTCTCACACACACACTTGTCCTACCCTCACTTTGCCAATTTGCAGAATTGGGACATGAGTGGCTCTCCCTAGTAGGCATCACCAATGATGAGAGGACATGAACCTAAAGTAGGTGGGTCCTACCACTGAAGCAGGCAAGTTAACCTGGCAAGCCAGGCTCATAGACAGCCTCTCGGCCAGAATCCTATATAGAAGACTATGCCTCCACAGTGCTCTCTGCATGATCCTATTGCCTCTCTTCAAAGCAGATGACTTTTCGCACATGTAAATTCTGATATAATAAGATGGTACTGGGAACGTTAGAGAGATCTACCAATCCTCCCGGTCAGGCTATGTCTAAACAGTAGTGGCAGGCTAGGGCAGATTTGTCCAAGTGGTCATTCTGCCTTGGATTCAGACTTGTACTTATTACTGCATTTGTCCCTTCTCCATGCCACCAGGAACCTCCAGGAGCTACAACAGCAACCTTGTAGCTCAGTGCTACCCACCTAGCATCCTGAGCTTCTTCTGTGATGTCGTCCAACCATCAACTAGCCACTGGATGGATTAGTAGCTTGCCCAATCTCATAGCCAGACATTAGATAAGGCTTTGTGCATGGAAAAGACAACTCTTGTATTAAACAACAGGCAGAATATTTATATTGTCCAACGTGTCATAAATGGGACAAACAGTTAAAACCGTGAGGGGACTTGATGGAAGACTACAGTGACACAGTAGGAACCAACTGAGCATGTACCTACCCTTGATGCCAGTAAATATTGGTTAATGACTGTGTGTACTAAAGGGTAGGTTATATGAATTCTGGCTGAAGTGCTTATTTGACCCACCTTTGGTCTTGTTGACAGTAAATGCCAATGACTGTTCAGTATCATCTTTAGGTTCCATGGACTTCACAACTGGATCTGTGGATAAAGCAATGAAAGACACATCCTATCACCAGCATCACAATTACACATCAGATTTAATCACCTCCTGTGCTAATTAATTTTCTGAGGAATATTTCCAAAGATCTAATACACAGTGTGCAACAGCAGTTTGATGTGATTACTGGTAGATCACTTAGTGGCTTACAAATTGTTATTACTGGTTTCTTAGCAGTTCATTGCTTTGTTTCTTAGAGGGTCCTTTGCTACGTTTTGAATGCTTTATCAAATTCCAGGTGATTATATAACTGTCCACACAGCCACTCTTGAACATGCATGCAGACACCTACTCACTCTATGAGTGAGTGCTGTATCATTCAAGGTTATACAGCTGGATGGATTGATGGGTGTATGATAAATGGGAAGAAATATTAAAAACGGTCAGAATCATAAAGGAATGTAAACCTATTGGCTTCTAATACAGGATGTCCCCAGCCCCTCGGATGTCTCTCTCCCAAGCCCTGGTCTGTCTCTATTGCATCTTCCACAGCCCCTCTGTATCTCTTTGTGTCACCCAGTCCCTCTACATCTCTCCCCAAACAGTGTTAATTTTATCAGCAAATTTCAGTTTAGTTTTAGTCACAGTCTTTTGACTAAAAAGCCATTTTAGTTTTAGTCATAGTTTAGTCATCTAAATTGACTAAAATCTGACTAAAATTGTTAGTCGACAAAATTAGCACTGCCTTGCGTTTTCCCGTTTTGTCATTGTATGTGGAGTAGATAGCAGCACTGCAACAAAGCTGTTTAATGCAAAAGCAAATCGAAATATTAAATTAGTCCTGTGTTCAAATTCCCATCACTGTTTGTGGCAGTCATGGCTATAATATTCAAAAGGCTAAAAGTATAAACAAATCTTAACAAAAATAGCTGCAGCCCCATCCAAAATCGCAATATATATTTGATTTGCATAGGTTTTTAATAACACTTCAATTAGGCTGCAAAAAGGTGAGATCTTTTATATGACACTGTTTAAAAGTGATTTGACACATATCTTGCTGTATCAGTTGTCTACTGTCCTTGGAGGTTTAGTTGTAGCAGTAGTAGAGGAAGGGAGTGTGTCATTTGATCCCAGGTAAGAAGTAAAACTGTTCTAAAACAGTCCGCCTACTTACAGGGGGAGGTCTGATTGTATTCCTGTAGTGGTTATGGTGTTTGGAGTGTCCCATATATTCAGAGGCAGTTATGTGCAGTTATCATATATAAATATATGTGTTTTAGAAATTATTATGCCTGTGATGTCCAGTTAATAAATTTATTAAACTTACTTTATCTGCATTTTCTTTTTTTGGGAGGTGGGAATGGGGGTTGCTTAGAATGCTGTGCCAACAGGAACCTGACCTGAAAACCCAGCTTCATACTTACATTCCAAGTATCATACCATCAGTAAATCCTTCTAAACTTTGACAGAATATTCCAGAATGTGGAATAAAGATACATTGATGATGGTTGTTTGAAGATATCCTTGGAGTAGTGTGTTTGTGAGGGAGAAGGGCTCTGTCTGCGGTGCAGGATGACCGCTGTGCAGTTTATTGACCCTTGATTTTTTATGCCATAGTTCAATTTCACTGAATAAGTTTAAAACACTGGGCAAAGTGACAGACTTCAGATGGGACAGAAGTTTTAGAACAGAACACTGTGATAAATCTCCCCCACAAAGCCTGATGATGTGAAGACAATAGGAACCAGTGAATTACAGGCCGTAAGGTACTACTAGAGGACACACCAGTACACCCAGGGTATGGGTTTAGTGGATGTGAAGTTTAAACAGGATGCCATATCAGATGACTGGAGAGTAAAATGGGTGACAGCCCTGAGTAGGGTCCACACACAAACCATTGTATCTCTGTATCCAGCACATATCCCAGCCTGTTATTGATTGGTGTGTAACTGTCAGGCTTTTCGCCTGCTTACCCGAAGGCTCAGCTCTGAGAGCCGCGATCCCCTCCAGCATTTGCGTGCAGCATGCTTAAATAAGCGGCTGAATGACCCACGGGATTCGGAGCATATCAATGACGTCAGGGCTCAGTTTAGGAGGGTCCTGTACCCTCCATGAATAGAGGTTAATTCAAAAAGGCATTAATCCAATCACTGCTAACTATAGCCTATATATACTTACCTCTCCCATTCCATGTTGCTCTGTTGTGGTTTCTTGGTAGCCCAATAGCGCGTTCTTCCTGTCGGAACTTTGACTACCTCTTGTATATCGATTATCCTGTCCTCTTCACTTCATTGACCTCGGCTTGTTTCTTCGTTATTCCGCACATATTTCTGACTACTTGGAAAAGCAACCATTTTTCCCTACTGTGTTATTTGGAGGACTGCAAACTATAAATACGTTCTATATTAGAAAAATATCCTCTATCTCCAAGCCCATTGCATGTAGTTTGCAATAAATACCTATGGAATTTGGTGTGTCCCGTATATGTGATCACTCTTAGTGAACCTTTTTGTGTTTCCTGATGGAGCTGTTATGGCTATGAATTGACAAATACTCCTTATTCTTGACATATGTCCCATTTCCCAAAGGTTTAGTGATAAGAGGTGGTCAATATCGGATGGAATGGATATGAGCAGCATGCAGACATTGAATGTACATGTCACGATACATACAACTATAAAAAAAAACTTGGTCTCTAATTTGTACTAGCTAATGTATAGGGTAGTCCTAAAATCTGTTTGAACATTTGATTCCTCCCCATCTGTCAATCAGTCCTCAGTAGAAAACTATTTATGCCGACAGCATTAAAGTTTAATTGATGACTGTGAACAAATGGCTGCTGGTATTTACAATAAGCTTTCACTGACTAACATTGGAACAAGCCCAATATTTGGTCATCTGTTTTTGCAGTCGGGCCAAACATTTTATGCTGAGAAGAATATGGACTAAGGAACAAGTTGGAAATTACCTGATAAATAGATAACCTGTCTGCGGCTTTTGACACTGTTGATCATCAACAGCTTCTTCTCATCCTCCGCAATATCAGTCTACAAGATATTGCTCTCTCCTGGTGCTCCTCTTACCTCTCCCAGTGCTCTTTCAGTGTTTCTTTCTCTGGCTCTGCTTCTTCTCCCCAACTCCTCTCTGTTGGTGTCCTCCAAGGTTCAGTCCTTGGTCCCCTACTGTTCTCAATCTATACTGCCTCCCTTGGTAAACTCATTAGCTCCTTTGGCTTCCAATATCATTTCTATGCAGATGACACGCAAATCTACCTGTCCTCTCCTGATCTCTCCCCGTCCCTCTTGACTAGTGTCTCTGACTGTCTCTGTTATTTCTAACTGGATGGCTGCCCACTTCCTTAAACTAAACTTGACCAAAACTGAAATTCTGGTCTTCCCTCCTTCAAGTTTTGTTACTCCTGTGTCTGTCTCCCTCCATGTCAATGGTGCTAACATCAGCTCCACCATGCAGGCTCGCTGCCTAGGTGTTCGCTTTGACTCTGACCTTTCCTTCAAGCCTCATGTTCAGTCTATCGCCAAATCCTGCCATTTCTATCTCAAAAACATTGCGCGCATCCGCCCCTACTTAACGCCTGATGCGACTAAGGTGCTGGTCCATTCCACTGTCCTTTCTCGCCTTAACTACTGTAATCCGCTTCTCAGTGGTCTTACGTGCTCCCAACTTGCGCCGTTACAGTCCATAATGAATGCGGGGCGAGGCTCATCTTCCTGTCCACCCGCACCTTCCACGCCTCACCCTTCTGTCAGTCCCTGTATTGGCTTCCTATAAGATATAGAGGTCAATTTAAAATTCTGGTTCTTGCTTTCAAATCTCTACATAATGCTGCTCCCACCTAACAATCCTCCCTTATACACATGTATGTCCCGTCTAGGCCAGGGCCAGATTAAAAGCCCAGTGGGCCTGGTGCTGACAATTATGATGGGCCTAATTACAAAATCTTATTGACCAAAAACACTAAAACAGTCCCACCCCCTGAGCGTCATGTATCTGATGGAGATGGTGCTGGAGGGAAAGTCATAGGATGCATCTATGAGAAATCTCACACTTTCATCTTTCAAGTAAACCCATACCCCTAACAGCAGTGTCCAGTAAAGCAGGAAGTCTGTGGGTGGGGTAAAAGGGTGGGCAACTGGCACAAATCACATAACCAGAACATACACAAAAAGGGGCCTGTCTGTGTCCCCATGTCTCCCATTCCCTTAGTGTTTGTGTCCCCATGTCACTAGGGGAAATTGGGACACTGGGAGATATAGGGACACTGAAATACTAGGAAACACTGGGAGACCTGGGGAAACTGAGACTCTTGGGAAAACTGGGAGACATGGGGACATTGGGTGACTTTGAGACACAAGGGGACACTGGGAGACATGGGGCACTGAGGCACTGTGATACATAGGGGACACTAGAGACTTGATAAAGATCTGGGTACAGGTCAACACGTTGCGGTGTCCTATACACCTGCTTAAATCTATCAGAGTGAGTGCCTGAGATTTTTTCTTTTATACTAGGGGACACTGAGACACTAGGAGACATGGGGACACTGGGAGACATTGGGACACTCAGACACTGGGAGACTAGGGGACTTTGGGAGACTAGGAAACACTAAAAACACTACGGACACTGGAACACTACAGACACTGAGAGACAACAGGGATACTGGGAGACATGGGGATACTGAGATACTAGGGACACTGGCTGGGAGACATGGGGATACTGGGAGTGCCCCATGTCTCCCAGGTCTCAAAGTCTCCCAGTGTCCCTATGTCTCTCGGTGTCCCCTAGTGTCTCAGTGTCCTCATGTTGCCCAGTGTCCCCTAGTGTTTCTATCCCCATGTCTCCCAGTGTCCCTTAGAGTCTGTGTCCCCATGTCTCCCAGTGTCCCGATGTCACTAGGGGGACACTTAGAGACATTGGGACACTGAGAGACTAGGGGACACTGAGAGATTAGGGACACAGACACTAGGGACACTGAGAGACACCAGGGACACATGGGGAGACGGAGAGGCATCAGGGGCACTGGGAGACATGGGGACACTAAGACACTAGAGACACTAGCTGGGAGACATGGGGACACTGAGAGGCTAGGGGCCACTGGGAGACATGGGGCCACTGTGTCCCTAGTGTTTTAGTATCCCCATGTTCCCCAGTGTCTCTATGTCTCCCGGTGTCCCAAATCTCTCACCATCCCCATGTCTCGCAGGCTCGGAGCTGCTGTCTGGACTCTCTGTGCAGAGCTGCTCCCCCGCAGATCAGTGCGTAGAGAGAGGTAGGGAGGGAGATGCTGTAACTTCTTATCCCTGCCTCTCTCCACACAAACAGCAACACCTACTGGCTGGCACTGGTATTGCAGAATAATCTCTGTTTATACTGAGATAGACATTTCTATTGCCGGTATTCCTGCAATACCGGCACCGGCTAGACAGGCTCAAATACCTGAGAAATACTTCTGAGAAATATCTGGCAACCATAAGAAATACATGAGAAATACCTGACAACCCTAAGAGTAGTGTGTAAAAAAAAATTACAAAAAAAAAAAATAAATTACAAAAAAAACCCCTTTTTAAAAAAAAAATCAATGGGCCTATTCCATGGGCCTGGGCCTGGGCCTGGAGCTGCAGCTCCATCAGCCCCTATGTTAATCCGGCCCTGGTCTAGGCCCTTACGATCTGCTGAAGACTTACGTCTTCTGTCCGTACTCCGACCTCTTCTGCTCGCCTTCAAGATTTCTCGAGGGCTGCACCGTTCCTGTGGAACTCGCTTCCCTCCTCCGTTAGATGCTCACCCAGTCTCCACTCCTTCAAAAAATTGTTAAAAACCCACTTCTTCATAAAAGTGTATCAATTGAACTGTTAATAGCTCCCGACTGATTCCCCTTCTGCAACTGTCACTAGTCTAATGCTATCCTTACCTTTTTGTGTCATTTTACCCCACTCCCTCTAGCAGGGCCCTCAACCCCTCTGTTCCTGTGTGTCCAACGTGTCTGGTTACAACAACATGTATGTTCGTCCACCCATTGTAAAGCGCTGCGGAATTTGATGGCGCTATATAAATAACATAATAATAATAATAACCTCTCATTCGTACATTGTATTAAACACTGTGTAAAGCACTACAGACTTGACCAAAGTAATGTAGACTAGGAGCTGGTCGAGAAGCAGCCATTTTGAGGCAGGCACAAGGATAAGAATGGTCAGAGCCAATATCAATAATAAAGGATTAAACAGAATGTCAACAAATGATGTCAGGGATTGTCTCTGTGAGATAGACAGACAGACAGATAGAATGTATCTGTCTCTTCTCCGTTACACCAAGGACCTCCAGAAGCAACTGCAACAGCCTGGTACCCCAGCAGTACTCTGCTAATAGTGGAGCCTTACAACCATTAGATAGCAATGGATAGATTAATAAATAGCTGTCACAAACTCCAAACACTCCAGATACTGGTAATTGGGAATTAGAGTGCTGAGCACGTACACACTCCTGGTGCCAAAATGTCTGGGCAATGCTGAGCAAATGGCTAGAGGGGCTGGGAGCCAGTTCCTCTGAATATACTTGTTGGTTAAGCTAAGAAAGGGGAGCTCACCATAATGAAATGTAATTTGACAATCTGAAATGTATCCTCAGATATCCTACTACCAGAGCTACCTACACTGCCGGCAATGCTAGTCATGGCTTCCCAGTAAAACTCTGGGAAATATGTCCGAAGGGCTGTCGTGAAAATGTACACTAGCAGTCAGCCATGCTGGCCTGGTTTTTCCAGTCAGAAAACCATGAGGTGAAGGGAAGTATATGTAACATAAAACATGCAAATAGTTTAGTGTCACTATAAAGTGTTCCTTAAGCTTAGCCCTTCAGGTGTCAACAGAGATTAACCCGTAGCGTCCCAAGCTCCAGTCTTTGATTCACAATATCCATATGGGTTAACCCTTTATGCGCTCACTCCTGCTGTTTTTATATTGGCTAACCATTCATGAGTCTCACTAGCCATAGTCCAGTTAACCCCTTTAGAGCTGGAGGGGAGACTTTCCATTTCTCGGAGTCCTTATTTTCTGGGTAAGATTCTAATCAGCAAGCCTTTCGGAATGTTTGTTATTACAGACACTCAAACAAAGGTAAAGATCCCATTACAGAAAGACTGATGGACAGATAGAGGCCAACTAGTTAAACACTAACAAAAGCATTATGCCAAACTTGTCAGTGTTAACAATGTGTTATCAACGCACAGATTAGCTTTCCACAGCAGTACTTTCACTCCTATTACCGAACAATACACATTATATTATCTTAAAGTCTTTACATTGTTGTGTATGTCCCTGATTGTCTCTCAGAAAAACATGCTTAACTCTTACTTATCAAGTGTCTAACCATGATATATCTAGCTCCTTTATAACTCTAACCATGATATATCTAGCTCATAACCCTACCCTCTGTGCATTTCACAATTGTGTCCTGTATAAATGTCTGTCGAAATGTACAGGCATCTATCTTTGTCTGTCTGTCTGTCTCAAATAATCTGTCTCAGTTACCTTCCTAATTAACTCTTTGTTAACAATCGTCTAGAATACATTATCCATTATATGTGTTTGTTTTGCTACAGTGAAATTGCACCACTGAATAAAGTATTGAAAATCACATACAACTTGTGCTAATTATTTTTTTTTCATGTGATGTCCAATTTTCTTTGTAAATGTATAATAAAGATTTAGCAATGACAGCCCAATTCACTTCTGTCAAGGCACAGCCAGGGCATGTTATGCAAACAATGGATGAGAACAGAAACGTTGCTACAGTGTCTTCTTTTCAACTAAGTATGTTCAATGGCAGAAAAGAGCAACATTTACAACAATGATTTACAGGGAGCCAAGATGGAGGCACCCAGTCCCAGGATATATTTGTGGATTCCTATATTAAATGTTACGTTTCAAGCCTCAAAAAAACCTTCTTTTGTTAATTTTTGGAGATAGCTAAAATAATATTTAAAATCCTGGTTAGTGACTGTTCCACTTTTAGTGAACATCTATTAGCCTGTTAAATATTACTGATTTGTATGTCTTATTCTCTGTTTTACTTCTATATACCAGCCAATATGAATAGTTATATAATTATTATTTATAGAAAACCAACATATCCCCAAGCACAGTACAGTGAAAACAATTCAATCATATATTTTAACAATCAAATTAAGATGAAACAAAAAATAATTATTGCCCATTCTAGAATGAGATGAAAAAACAATTATCAGTCAGTTATTCAAATCTATATCCTTGATATTTGATTAGGGAAGCGCAACATTATAGATTTCTTTTTCTATATAATTCTTGGTGTGTCATTTTATAAATCAGCAAGTAGGATTTTTAAAATAATTTATATCTTTCTGTATCATATCTAATAATCCTATAATCCATGCTCCTTCTCTCTCTGATATTCTTATTACTTCTTGTAGTTGACACGACCATTTATTTATTTATTTATAAATTATTATTAGCATTTTTAAAGCACCAACAAATTCCGCAGCACTGTACAATTATGGGGCAATTATACCCGCATGAACCAACCAGCCTTATACCCAAGTATTCTATGTACACTCACCCATCTCAATCACAGCCCTTAGTGTGTGATCTTCAGTTATAGTGAAATAATGATTTATTACAGTACATCACATAACGTTAGCAAATGATTAACTACTTCGGCCATGCATGTTTCATCAACGTGAATGAGTGAACTGCCGGTTTAGTTTCTGGCAGAGGAGACTGCAAATAGATAAGAGGATAATTTTCTAATATATTAACAGGAAATTGCATGTGTTGTGTTATACCAAATCACTGCTATATATAAAAAGTATTGAACGTTCCTGGTCCGCAACTTCCATTATTCTCAGAAAAAAATCCCTTAAGGATTTGCAACCCTCTGTTAGCCTGCAGAGACTGCAAAAATTCTGGAGAATTTAAAAGATAATTGCAAATTTTAGACCAAACTAATGGAGCAGTTGCCAAGTTGACATAATTTTTTTTAAAGATTTAACAAGTGAAAGATTTTTTTTAAAATGTTGCTGTTTTGGGCTGCAGTTTGCAATTCTTTTCTAAATTCTCTAAAAATCGTAGCTTAGTAAATCACCCCAGTTATGCAATTTAGTTTTGAATCTGAAACAATTCTGATTGTATTAGGTATTAAGTACTAATTTCAATTTAAACATTGTAGTAACAGTTAGTGTTCTGTATCGTACTAAAATATAATGTGTGACGAGCAACGTGCATTTCAAGAAATTAATGCGCAAGTCTTATTTAAATATGTACAGATCCTTTTTTTCTTGACATTTTTATATTTTCTGAAACAATATAGTTGTTATAGTACTCACCCTCCTCCCCCAAGGAGGTTTTCTTTCCAAAATGTTTTATAAAAAACTCTTCAGTTTGGAAAAATTGTGGATTATTCTCCTTTATCGATTTTATACATCCATAATTGTGATTAGCTAGACCATTGAGTGAATCCTATTCTGAATGCACAAGAAAGTCAGTGCATTTTTCCCAGGACTACAGGAAGGATGGTAGAAATATGTTTGGAGTCCTTGAACTTGTTCAATGCATTGTTTCTTTCCTAACTGATTACTACGTGTGAAGAATTTCAATGAGATTTAAGTTCTTTTACATGCAAATCCGACCTTTCTTTGAATATTGGCCAATCAGAAGGGATCTCAAGTTGGTGAAATTTGTGCCTTTCAGTAAAGTCATTGTCTGGAAGAAAAGAGGGACACAGCGGAATTAGGATGGCAGTAAGAATTTCGAACAAGCAGATCTTTGTGAAAGTTTGAGGTTTACAATCTTTGCCCAATGCTATTTGCTGAATCTAAGCCAGGAGTTGTTAGCAGCACAAATGTGCTCATTATTGAAGGGAGAGTTAGCTAAATTTGGGGAAATGGTGTTAGCAAGGGGTGAGGTGGAAGGAAATCAACATTGCTAAAATTACTACCACAACCATGAACACATTTCATGGGAAATATTGTTTCAAATTCCTTGATAGAATATAGGGAAAGGGGTCTTAATGACAATAGAACATTTACAGGGTTAAAGTGTTATTTCTGTGTTTTGAAATGTATGATGGCCTCCGTTGCATTCTGCTAATTGCCTGACAAGGTACTTGTCTCTACCTGTGTAAGAACACCTACGAAGACTGTTTTGAGAGCACAAAGAATCTATATTCATGGCCAAACTTAAAGGGACACTCCAGGCACCCAGACCACTTCTGCCCATTGGAGTGGGCTGGGTGCCAACTCCCACTACTTTTACCCTGCAACAGTAATTATTGCAGTTTTTTATAAACAGCAATAATTACCTTGCAGGGTTAACTCCACCTCTAGTGGCTGTCTACTAGACAGCCACTAGAGGGCACTTCCTGGTTTCTAGCACAGGAAACCGGTGCTATAGCGTCGCTGGACGTCCTCACACTGTGTGAGGACCTACAGCGTTGCTCATTTCCCCATAGGAAAGCATTGAAAAGCATTTTCAATGCTTTCCTATGGGGAGCTCTAATGCGCATGTGCAGCATTGCCGCTCAATAATGACCCACCATTTAGTCCAAACCATCTAAAGAAACCTTAGTTAGATACAATTTCTAAATAACGCACTCACAAACCTTCATTATTAGGGAATGACATTGAGAATGGTGTTGAATATGGTGTTCTGCTGGGATCCCATGTTCTGTGCAATATACACTGTAAGACCCCCATTATCAAAGCTATGATTCTATACTGAGGATAGACAAATACCTACATAATTTACTTGAATGAACAGGTGCCAATTAACGTATCAGACTTTCAACACAACCAAAAGCACTTTAGCTTGCTGAAAGAATGTGTCCTCTTTTGTCATGTTACAAAAAGTGCAGTTTTTTTTATATATATTAGAGCTTTTATAAATGAACTTTGTTGCACCCACTGGCTGTCAATCAGACAACTAGTCCTGTTACTTCCTGGTAGTTTAGCTTAGTTTTGCACTGGGAAGTCTGTAATTGGACAGGCACAGAAAGTCTGGACGGGTTCGAAGGGGAGGGTATGCAAAGGCTGCAGACATTATATTTGTTTGAATATAGAAATGAGATAAAAGGTAAGACAGCCCAGAAAAAAAAGTATAAAAACATAGCCTTTATTAATTGTTGAATGATTATAAAATCAGACATTAATGAAAAAAAGCACCAATGTAACCAATAACACCCTAATTGAATAAGTTTTTCAGACTGCCTTTCCTTTTTTTCATGTGTATTTCCAAGGTAAGAAGTCAAGCCATTCTACATGAGTATGGCTTCTTACAATAGGGGTAAGGGCATGCAGTGTAGTGGTTATGGTGCTTGGAGTGTTCCTTTAACTGTTACATGGCTGATAAAATGTAAACGTTCATCCAGTGTGTTGCTCTAGAGATCCTTGAACCTTTCCATGTGGTCTTCTATTACTTCCTAACCATCCACAGTCAAATTATCATAGGGTATAATATAACAGTAGATCATGGTAGATCATCTTCCACTTGAGTTGCTGCTTTGTACTAGACATTTTCAATTAATTTTTGTCTGAATTCAAATTTGGACGACTTTCGGCAATTCGGACATTCGTATGCTTCCGGAAGTGCCGGATTTCTGAACTGCCGAATTTCGGAAGTGCCAATCCAAACAGAATTGCCGAAGTGCCAAATTTTGGAAGTGCCGAAGAGCTTCGGATTTCTTAAAAGTGGCAAAACAGGAGAGGGAGATAACCCCACCCCTACCCCTACCACTAATCCTACCCCTAACCCTGGCAGGATAGGGGTAGGATTAGAGTTAGGGTAAGGATTAGGGTTAGTGGTAAGGTTAGGAGTAGGGTTAGGGTTATGGAATTGCCGAAGTCTCGATTTCCCAAAGTGCAGAAGTCCTGCATTTCATTGAATTTCCAAATTCCTGAATTGACGAATTCCTGAATTTCGGAAGTGATGAACTGAAGTCCCGAATTGCCAAAGTCCGGAATTTCGGAAGTGCTGAACCGAACCGAACAACATTTTTTAGCCATGCACGTCCCTTCTTTGTACAAGGAAGTTGCCCTTCCTTAGTCACTGTCTGGTTCTTCTTATCTAATCAATCTGTCCTATCAAGTCTGGCATTCCATAACATAACTACTTACATGGTCCTTTGTTTTAAATGGCTCCTCTATTTGTTGGTCCATTTAAAATCTTGCAGTGAGATAATCTTGCTTTGTAGCTCTTGGTAGAGCTGGTTTAGAGAGTTCATGCCAGTGCCCAGAGCATAATCCTTGAAGGTGGGCACTGAGACATTACATGGCTTGCTTGGCTCTGACTACTGCGTTCTTGCTGAACGTGCTTGCAGCTGTTACAAAGCTAACTCCTCCTTCACTTCTTCCTCTAATAGGAATCTAGATCCATCACCACTTCATGGCATGACATTAAATGGTTAATCTGTCCATGATACGGATAGTGGCAGCGCATCATGTTATGATGAGTTGCGTTCTCTCATCTAGGGGTGTCCATCACGATTAACATCAGATGCCACACACCTAGAAAGAGGCTTATATCACAGCCAGCTAGCCCCTGCATCTGCTAGTTTTTTTGTATAGAGATTTTTCTTTTGTTCATCTATATCTTACACCATTATGGAATAAAGAAGGTGTTATGGGAAACCATGGAGGGAAGACATTTTAAAAAATATAAAAAATTATGGAGTGTTTGCAGTTACTGTGCGGTATAGAAACATGTAGAGAGACTCCTCAGGGAAGAATTTACCAATGGGCAAATTAGGCAGTGGTCTACATGGGATCTGTTTGCTAAGAATTCGTACTCTTATAACAAAATATTTATATATATATATTGGGGTCCAAGATTTAACCCCTTCATTGGCAAAATCGAGTATAAAGTTTTTGAATATCATGAATTTTGCACTATGAAATTCATTTAGTCCATAAAGCATCACTCACTCTCACTTATACTCCAGAAATGATTACCAGCCTCTAGAGGAACACATTTCCCTACAAGTAGTCATCAGTCACTGATATAATGCCTGTAAACCTGGTGAAAATGTAAGCTCCCCCCACGGTTCTAAACAGTAAAGGAAGTTTCAATGGGTCATATCATTACTACAGTCCGGGGAATTGATGAAGACTGACATAGCCGGTTTAAATACCTTTATTTTAGAAATATGATTTAACTGTATTTTTTGTATGTGGGCATTATGCATAAATACAGGCATTCTTTTTACTTTCTGTTGCTATTTTCAACAAGCTGCACTTCTAGTAATGTCTTGGTCCTTGCAAATACCTATAAGCAATGTATTTGGCCATTTTTATTTATCTATTTTTGTCACGGTACTGTGTGAGAACAATTGCACCTTTGCATTTATACTAACATTTCTGACCAAGTGTAAAATATTGCAAGATAAAGGGCATTGTATACTGACTAAAGATTCCCATTAATTAAACATTTTTATAAAGGTTAAACGTAAAAGAAAAAGATAACATTTTGTACATTTACATAAAGTTTATTTTTAAGTAAATTTAAAGTGTGTCTGAAAAGCAATCTGTATACAAAATTGCTGTGTTATGATATGTTCATATTCTTGCTGTGCATGCCTTGCATCAAATACATGTTATACTAATATTTTTTTCAACCAAAAAGTGCTTGGTATTGAAGGGGTTAAGGATGTTTCAATCATGTTGTCTCTTTTATCTTATTACCATGTTGCTCTCAGCTTTACCTTTGCTATACCTCTAGTGAGTTCATAGAACTCAAAAAAATGCTCAATTATGTACACAAATTGTGTTGTAGAGTAAGATTTGCAAACTGAGGAATATCTGGAAATTGTATATATCTTTTTATAGACAGTATTAGTTTGTACACAACAGTGACATCTGCTGGGTTGTATATAAATAACAGTTTCACAACACCACATTTCAAACTAGTATAAAATAAAATATTCCCGTAAAAGACCATTTGTTGAAAATAAAGTGTTATCTAACTTAAAGTGGGTTAAACCACTTAGGGTTAAAGGAGCAGGCCAATGGTTTATAAAAAAAACAAACAAAAAAACCCAAACAATTTAGTTGATATTCCCTAATGAAAACATGCATGCACATTTTGGTTGGGGTATATCTAAAGGCAACTTGAAAAATTTGGTGATCTGATATCTGCAGCCTTTGCTAGCCCTCCCCTTCTAACCCCGCCCAGACTTTCTGTGGCTGTCCAATCACAGGCTTCCCAATGCAGCTAAATGAGAAGTCTTTGCAAGGGAGGTGCTCTGAGCAATTGCTGCCTCTTGAGTTTAGCTCCACAGAGCGAACCAAACCAGGAAGTAACAGGACCTGTTGTCTGATTGACTGCCGGGAGGTGTAACAAGATTAACAACGACAGGAATGCTGCCTTTCTTAATTAGTGATCAGTAAAGTACTTTCCAAAGCCGTTGACCCACATAGAAAATCTTCAATCTAAGCATAGTTTGGAGAGCAAGCTTTTTTTATGAACAGAATTATTTAAAAGTAATTCAATCCAAAAGGGTGTAGAAGAAAAATGTGTAATGAATTAATATGGTATCTGTTTTGTTTTGTACTGCACTCAAAGTGAATTCCATGACATTTACATACGACACAGAGTAAAAAGTACCACATTTTCTTCACGTTCCAACTTCTTCACCAAACCTTTCTCTCAGAATGGGCTTTAGACTTTCTTCTCAATTCGATCTCAAAATATTAAAATAAAAAAAGTCAAAACATTAAAGGAACACTCCAAGCACCGTGAGCACTACAGCCCAGCCTGTAGTGGTTATAGTCTTATTAGTGCCCTGCTCACCATTTGTGATCAGTTTGACAATTTACTTAGGGTACCCCGGCACGTATCACCTATTCCTTTGGTACTTTTGCAAGGCTCTACCGTATTTTCCCTTTTATTTTTAAGCTGGCTCATTGGCTAATAACGTTAGTACCACTGGATTAAGCTCAATGCTGCAGCTTCTGGGCTGCAAAGAAGGAGGTGACTGGCGCCAACAAGCCTCTATGAGAAGAAGGCTGTGGTTGGACTGCGAGAGGCCCATCTGTCATCAGATGGAGACGTGGACATCAGTGCCAAGTAAGCCAAACTTTATTTTTGTAGGTTATTCTGAAAATCAACCAACTTCATAGAGCCCAATATGGCATGTTACACTGAAAAAAGCCCCCCACCCCCAAGACTGCTTGAGTAACCCTTTAAGGTCAACGGAGCTATCATAACCTCTACCCCTCAGGCGTGTGGACTTGGTGTGCTCTTTGTCTCTGATCTTAATATTCACCTTAAAAACATTTCTCGCTTTTGTCCCTTTCACACTCAGGGCTAAAGTAAGGCACTTGTCTATGCTCTGGTTCTTTCTCACTTTGATTCTTTTAACCCTATGTTTGTCAGACTGAACAGTACCCAGATGACCCCCTCTACAGTCTATAATGATTTCCTCTGTCAGACTACCTTACATCCAACACCTCTCACACGTCATTCCTCTGTCAGTCTCTACATTGGTTTCTTTTAGTTCAAAGTTCTCATGCTTCCTTACAAAGCTCTTCATAACCATGCCCCTGTTTACATCTCCTCACACATTAGCAGATATCATCCAGCCTGGCTTCTGTGCTCCACCACTAGTAAATACAAAGAGAAAATCCCGTGTAAACCCAATTCAAAACTGGGATAGACACACAGTGGTCAGTATAGTGGTACCAGATCCATCAAAGGACTTGGACCCAAAAATACTAATTGAAATTATAGAATAGAACGTGAGTACCCCCCAATGAAGGAAGGGACTCTCTCCTGGTTTTTAATAGAAATGGGGGGAAGTGTAAATAAAAAGAATGCAACGTGTTAGTACTTAGAGCAAAGGTAAGTGGGGAAAGTAAGTACCCAATACTCAGCTATTAGTGTCTATCGTATCTACAAAATCAATACTTTATTAATATAAACAGTGTAAGAGATACATCTAGAGACGCTGCTGAGCAAAGACAATGGGAAAGCATTAAGTATCAGTTCACGTTCCCATGAACCCAGGTTAAATAGCTAGAGAAATATAGCCTTCCTCAATGGTGGCTATACCCCGCCTTACATACTGTCTGTTAAAGGACCACTCTAGGCACCCAGACCACTTCAGCTTAATGAAGTGGTCTGGGTACCTGGTCCAGCTAGGGTTAACCCATTTTTTCATAAACATAGCAGTTTCAGAGAAACTGCTATGTTTATGAATGGGTTAAGCCTTCCCCTATTTCCTCTAGTGGCTGTCTCATTGACAGCCGCTAGAGGCGCTTGCGTGCTTCTCATTGTGATTTTCACAGTGAGAGCACGCCAGCGTCCATAGGAAAGCATTATGTATGCTTTCCTATGTGACCGGCTGAATGCGCGCTCAGCTCTTGCCGCGCGTGCGCATTCAGTTGCATGGGAGGAGAAGAGGAGGATCGGTAGAAGAGAGCTCCCCGCCCAGCGCTGGAAAAAGGTAAGTTTTAACCCCTTTCCCCCTTCCAGAGCCGGGCGGGAGGGGGTCCCTGAGGGTGGGGGCACCCTCAGGGCACTATAGTGCCAGGAAAACGAGTATGTTTTCCTGGCACTATAGTGGTCCTTTAAGCTCAATAAACCGGATTATTCAATGGAAATGCTTTCCCATTGTCTTTCCTCAGCAGCGTCTCTAGATGTATCTCTTACACTGTTTATATTAATAAAGTATTGATTTTGTAGATATGATAGACATTAATAGCTGAGTATTGGGTACTTACTTTCCCCACTTACCTTTGCACTAAGTACTAACACGTTGCATTCTTTTTATTTACACTTCCCCCCATTTCTATTAAAAACCAGTAGAGAGTCCCTTCCTTCATTGGGGGTTACTCACGTTCTATTCTACATTCTCCACCACTAGTGTCTAATTCTCACACCTGCACCCCAGACTCTGGCCTACAGGACGTCCTTAGGGTTTCCCCCTCCAGCAGCACATTTAACCCTCCCAGTCTCTGCTGTCCATCACAAAAATCCTTAAAAATACACTTATGTAGAGGATATATAAACAGGATATCTACAGAATAAATAAAAATGCCATATATTATAAGTAGTTACACTTATTAGTAATGAATATTCAGGTTGGAACCTTGAATCCGCACACACATGGGCGTCCGCAGGAATTTTTCCGGGGGGGGCATAATTGTAATGACATCCATGCTTGGTCCTTTTTTGACAGTGCCATGAAGGGGAGGAGCATAGTCATTATCACATAAAGCCAGGGTGAATAGCGTTTTTAAAACTATGGTGTCAGGAATACATGTTTGTATTCCTGACACTATAGTGTTCCTTTAAGCAAATTAAAGGAGCATTCTGGTCACCATAACAACTTCATCTAAATGAAAATGCTATGATGCCAGGAAGCCCCTGGGTGCTCTCTATCCTCTAAGGGGTTAAATCGCTCTCAAATGGTTTAACCCCAAAGGCTTCCTCCAGCTCCAGATTTCCAGGTCGCTCAGTGGTATTCGGCATCTGAAACGGAGTGTCAGGAAGTGCAGATTGACGTCAGGCATGGGTGCTACAGATTGGCTAGAGTGAGTGATCAGTTGACGCTCTAAGCCAATTGCTAGTTCCCGGTTCATAAATTTTTTTACTTTTTTATGAATGGGGAGCTACTGATTGGCTTAGAGTGCCAGCTGACCGCTCTAGCCAATCAGCGACACCCCTCCCCAGCAGCCCTCTGTGCTTCTTGACACTTGGTAAATAAAAGTGAACACATTAACACTGATATTTTTTTTTACCTGGGGAGATGAGAAGGTCCAAAGTTTCCCTGCCAGGCCCAGGTACCAAAGCCTTATGATGTGGTGTCCAGAATAAAGTGGAGGGTTCACTTCACTTGTCCTTCCTGCTCCAATCACCTTTTCTTCTCCTTCATTTGACACAGTCTTCTTTTTCTTCTGACACTGTCTTCTCTCCTCCTTGGCTCCTTCTGCTCCTTTCTGCTTATTGTGCTCCCCCTTCTGCTCCTTTCTCTTTCTGATCCATTTCTGCTCCTTCTCCCACTTTATCTTTGTGCTCCTTGCTGTCCCTTTCTACTCCTTGCTACCCTTTTCTGCTTCTTCTTCTACTTTACCTTTGTGCTCTTTCTGATTCTTTCTGCTCCTTTACCTTTGTGGTCCTTCTGTCCCTTTCCGCTCTTTGCAGACCCTTCCTTCTCCTTGCAGAACCTACCTACTCCTTGCTGCCCCTTGCAGACCATTCCTGCTCCTTGCAGACCCTTCCTGCTTATTTCTGTTCCTTCTCCTACTTCACCTTTGTGCTCCTTCTGTCCCTTCCTGCTCCTTGCTGCCAATTTCAGCTCCTTGCTGACCCTTTCTGCTCCTTCTACTTTACCTTTGTGCTGCTTTACTTTCCAGCTCCTTGCTGACCCTTCCTGCTCCTTGCTGACCCTTCCTGCTCCTTGTTGACTCTTCCTGCTCCTTGAAGACCCTTCCTTCTCTTTGTTGACCCTTCGTGCTCCTTGCAGACCGTTCCTGCTCCTTGCTGCCCCGTCCTGCTCATTTGTGTTCCTTTGTGCTCCTTCTCCTACTTTACCTGTTGCGCTCCTTGCTGTCCCTTCCAGCTCCTTGCTGCCCCTTTCTGCTCATTTCTATTCCTTCTCATTTCTGCTCCTTCTCTTACTTTACCTTCCTGGTCCTTGCTGACCCTTCCTGTAGGCTGTCTCCTCCATCCCTTACTTACCTGATCTATAGGCTGCCTCCCCCCCCCCATCCCTCACAGGATATCTCTGCACCCCCATGCCTCACTTCGATGATCTGTAGGCTATCACTGCCCCCCATATGCCTCACTTCACTGATCTGTAGGCTATCTTTGCCCCCCATATGCCTCACTTAACTGATCTGTAGGCTATCTGTGCCCCCATATGCCTCACTTCACTGATCTGTAGGCAGTCTCTTCCCCCCATATGCCTCACTTCACTGATCTGTAGGCTATCTCTGCCCCCCATATGCCTCACTTCCCTGATCTCACTTCACTGATCTTGTGGCTATCTCTGCCTCCATCCCTCACTCTGATTCAGGCTATCTCTGCCCCCATATGCCCCTGGCAATTTCACTGATCTGTAGGCTATCTCTGCCCCCCGTTCCTCACTTCCCTGATCTGTAGGCTATCTCTGCCCCCCATGTGCCTCACTTCACTGATCTGTAGGCAATCTCTGCCCCCCATGTGCCTCACTTCACTGATCTGTAGTCTATCTCTGCCCCCATGTGCCTCACTTCACTGATCTGTGGGCTATCTCTGCCCCCCATGTGCCTCACTTCCCTGATCTGTAGGCTATCTCTGCCCCTCATGTGTCTCACTTCACTGATCTGTAGTCTATCTCTGCCCACCATGTGCCTCACTTCCCTGATCTATAGGCTATCTCTGCCCCCCCATACCTCACTTCCCTGATCTGTAGGCTATCTCTGCCCCGCCTATGCTTCACTTCCCTGATCTGTAGGCTATCTCTGCCCCCCCATGCTTCACGTCCCTGATCTGTAATCTATCTCTGCCCCCCCATGCTTCACTTCCCTGATCTGTAGGCTATCTCTGCCCCCCCATGCTTCACTTGCCTGATCTGTAGGCTATCACTGCCCACCCATGCCTCACTTACCTGATCTGTAGGCTGTCTCTGCCCCCACCCACTATGGTTAGCTGAAAAGAGACTTGCGTCCATCAAGTTCAGCCTTCCTCACATTTGTTTTTTGCTGTTGATCCAAAAGAAGGCAAAAAAACCCAGTTTGAAGCACTTCCAATTTTGTAACAAGCTAGGAAAAAAAATCCTTCTTGACCCCAGAATGGCAGTCAGATTTATCCTTGGATCAAGCAGTTATTGCCCTACATTGAAAGATTATATCCTTGAAAGTATGCATCTAGTAGCCATGCCTCACTTCACTGATCTGTAGGCAGTCTCACCCCCCCATGCCTCACTTACCTGATCTGTAGGCTGTCTCTGCTGGCTGTATGTGCTGCTCCCCTGCGGATTCAGTCAGAGAGAAGCTGGGATAAGATGCAGCTTCCTATCCCTGTCTCTCTTCATACACAGTGGCGCGGGTATTGCACTGTATTTTCAATCTCACACGAAAATTAGCAGAACAAGCTGAAAGGACGCCCATGTTCCTAGGCTAAGAGTCAAGTCAAAGCCTAAAATTAAGCCCATAGCCCCTTAAGGACCAAACTTCTGGAATAAAAGGGAATCATGACATGTCACACATGTCACGTGTCCTTAAGGGGTTAGAGGACCACTATAGTGCCAGGAAAACATACTCGTTTTCCTGGCTCTGTAGGGTCTTGGGTCCCCCTCATCCTCTGGGCCCCACTCCCACCAGGCTTTAGGGTGAGGAAGGGTTTAATCCCTTACCTTTTTTCCAGCGCCGGGCTCCCTCTGTGCTGGGGACTCTCCTTCTTTCCCCGTCATTGGCTGAATGTGCATGGGCGGCAAGAGCCATGCGCGCATTCAGCCAGTCTCATAGGAAAGCATTCTCAATGCTTTCCTATTGACGCTGGCATCTTCTCACTGTGAAAATCACAGTGAGAAGCGCAGAAGCGGCTCCAGCGGCTGTCAATGAGAGCCACTGGAGGCTGGATTAACCCATAGGTAAACATAGCAGTTTCTCTGAAACTGCTATGTTTATAGCAGAAAGTGTTAATCCTAGATGGACCTGGCACCCAGACCACTTCATAAAGCTGAAGTGGTCTGGGTGCCTATAGTGGTCCTTTAACTGGTGTATCATGTACTTATCTCAGCTTTGCTAATATAACATGCAATGTATCTATTACAATAAAAAAAAAAAATTCCCTTTGGAACGCACTCATTCAACATAAACGCTTGATTGGACAGTATGAGTACTAAAACACTTTCTCAAGCAAGTGACCAACACTATTCTAAAGACATTCTAAATGCATGCAAAGCATCAAGGTAGCTGTAGTTCTACAACTTCTGGGGATCTACCTTTTGGGCAGTCCTGGACTATTAGATCAAAAGAAAACACACCTGTCTTACCAGTAAATGGATGCATATTTGGGAGGATGGTGAAAATGAGCTTGGAGGGACAGGAAAAAAAACTACAAGAGGGACAATAGAAGGGGGGCATTATGGGGGCGTGTCTTGGCCACCATCTTGGATGGCCATGTTTTAGAGAGGCTCCTGGACAAGGGGGTCAATTTTGTTCCAAAAGTGCCAATTCTAACATGCAGAAGCAAAAACAAAAAAAGCCTGAAAAACCCTGGGATGAAGAAAATGGAAGCAGGACCTGCTGGGGTGAGTAAAGGTTCCCAGGCTCACTCCCCTGCTTCTAAATCCGGCTCATGGCTTGTTTTGCCACTTAAAATCTCGTTGGTGGCGTCAGGGAAATCCCTCCCCACCTCCCGCCCGGTCTCCCAAGCTAAAACTTATGCCTGTGCGGCCGCGACCCGTTCGCAGCGACACTTCCATGTGCGGCTAAGAGTGCTCCGAGCACTCAGCATGCTCGGAGCGAAGTGCTGTGTCTCCCGCGAGCGGCAAGGACCACCCAGCAAGCCGCTCGTGGTCTAACACTAGGGCAGCCCGGTCGTTCACTTACAAAAGCGTCCGGGTTGCAAGTAAAGGGGAGGGCGGTGCGAGGTCACGCTCCCCGTCGGGATCCTCAGCCTCCAGATTGTCGATCTCGGCAGGGGGGCCTCTGCTGTCCAACCCAAAACATTTAAACGCACAGTAAGGGCTATAGTAAGTCTAGATGATAACAGTATGGAATTAGGAGCTGAAGTGCTCCAAACAAGTTCTTTCTCTGCACTACCATAGAGAATATGTCATGATGCCACAACAAAGATGGCTGCCAGTCCAGATATTGTGTATTCCACTCCCAAGATGGCCACTGCCACCTCCAATATGGCTACTACCACATTTATAGCAGTGATTTACAATCCCAATATGCCACCTGAATTGGCAGAAGATCTGCCACCGTCAGCTGGTATGATAATTCAACTCATTAAAGATTTGAGAGTTGATTTAAAAAACGACTTTAAAAAAGACCTTGACGCATTATATGGTGCGATGGAGGGCATTAATCAGCGAACGGAAATAATAGAGAATAGATTGCACTCTCAAGAGCAGTCTCACCTGGATCTGGTTGAAACTGTAAAAGAGCTCCAGAAGCAAGTGCACCAGCAAGCGGAAAAGTTAGCGGACGCTGAGGATAGAAGTAGGCGTAACAACCTAAGGATCAGGGGGATCCCTGATAATATCGATGCTCTGGAATTACAAAGTTATTTCCAGACAATGGTGAAGTCAGCTCTACCAACTGCTAAAAATACGGATTTACTACTGGACCGCATCCATAGATTGCCCAAACCCGGCAATGCATCTGCGGCTGAGATTTCACTACTACCACATTAAAGAGGAATTTCTTGGTGCAGTACGCACGTCAGGCCTCACGGGGATTACAGCGGCATGAAGGTCTTCCAAGACTTCCCTGCTCAAACAATGAGGCGACGCAGGAAATTTCAACTTTTCACTGCGGAGCTAAGACGAAGAGGGATAAGATATAGATGGGGATTCCCAGGTAAAGTCCTTTTCCGCATAGATGGTTGGAGTTTCATAATCACGTTACCTGAAGAAGGAATGGAGCTCATCAATTCCATGAATAGACGTCAGATTTCGCCTCATAGACTCTCGCCATCTACTCCTATGCAGGCCAGCAAGAGAAGCAAATTGGACACTTCCTGAGATTCCAGCTCATAGAGCTACAGTCTTCTTTTTCCACGGTCTTAAGTTGTTCGACACTTCAAGTTGAGATGTTCTTCCTATCTTCACGAAGAAATTTTATTTATTTATTTTTAGACTTTTATTTTCATGATTTTTTTCTCTTTATTGATTTTTATGGTATGGTTCTGAGAAAACTTTATCTCTGAAACAGACTATCGAATCCTGCTCCAGTCCGGAGATTTATCGGGATTACTTGGAATCTTGACTTGTTTCTCCTTTTTATGACAGACTTTTGAGTTTGCACACCAACGGTTATTTGATATGTGCCTCTACGGTTTATTTCAGAAATCGATTTGATTACTTAAAACTTTCTAAATTTATACAATCAAAATTGTTTTTTTTATATAATTTCATATTTATTTAATTTTATTATTTTTTATTGTTTTGTGCTTTTTGTCCTTTTAAATGCCATACTTAAAAAGTTGCTCTTTGTTTTGTTTTTACTATTTATATTGGCTCCCCTCATACCCAGTAGCCTTCTCTCCCCCCAACCTGGGCCTAACACCCTGAGATGGAGAAACTTTTTTTGTTCTCCCTTATGGCCCTCTTTCACTGTTTTTTTTTCTCCTCTGATAGGGGTATTTACCTAAGTTTTTTGTACCCCTTTTTTATTTTTATTTTTCTATGTTTTTTGTCCATCCATTCTTTAAAGTTTGGTAGTAGTGTTTCCAGACCACGAACCACTGAAATGCTTCATACAAAAATGCATACTATGTAGCATCAGCAACTTGCAACTTGTTTATTCACTATTCCTGTACACACATGTACACAGCTTGAGTTTGTTTTGACAGTATTGTTGGACCTGCATGTTTCTCTCTTGGAAGGCAGTTGCTTGGACTCTCACAATGTTGAATGTTCTTTTACCATTTACCAGGTATTAATGTTCCATAAACCATGGTTTTAAAATATATGTCATTTAATGTGAGAGGCCTGAACACCGCCCACAAGAGACGATTATTATTCAAAGAAGCAAAATCCAACAAATCAGATGTAATCTGTGTACAGGAAACGCATTTTAAAGATGATAAAGACCATAAGATTATGTCAAAGCTTTTCCCAGTCCAATACCATTGCACTTATAAATCCAAGTCTAGAAGTACATTGATTTTCTTTCACAGGAATGTAGCATGTTTGACAAACAAAGTAATAACGGATGATGATGGGAGGTACTTAATATGGATAGGATCACTCAATACTATTGAATATACTATTGTGAACATGTACAGGGAGTGCAGAATTATTAGGCAAATGAGTATTTTGACCACATCATCCTCTTTATGCATGTTGTCTTACTCCAAGCTGTATAGGCTCGAAAGCCTACTACCAATTAAGCATATTAGGTGATGTGCATCTCTGTAATGAGAAGGGGTGTGGTCTAATGACATCAACACCCTATATCAGGTGTGCATAATTATTAGGCAACTTCCTTTCCTTTGGCAAAATGGGTCAAAAGAAGGACTTGACAGGCTCAGAAAAGTCAAAAATAGTGAGATATCTTGCAGAGGGATGCAGCACTCTTAAAATTGCAAAGCTTCTGAAGCGTGATCATCGAACAATCAAGCGTTTCATTCAAAATAGTCAACAGGGTCGCAAGAAGCGTGTGGAAAAACCAAGGCGCAAAATAACTGCCCATGAACTGAGAAAAGTCAAGCGTGCAGCTGCCACGATGCCACTTGCCACCAGTTTGGCCATATTTCAGAGCTGCAACATCACTGGAGTGCCCAAAAGCACAAGGTGTGCAATACTCAGAGACATGGCCAAGGTAAGAAAGGCTGAAAGACGACCACCACTGAACAAGACACACAAGCTGAAACGTCAAGACTGGGCCAAGAAATATCTCAAGACTGATTTTTCTAAGGTTTTATGGACTGATGAAATGAGAGTGAGTCTTGATGGGCCAGATGGATGGGCCCGTGGCTGGATTGGTAAAGGGCAGAGAGCTCCAGTCCGACTCAGACGCCAGCAAGGTGGAGGTGGAGTACTGGTTTGGGCTGGTATCATCAAAGATGAGCTTGTGGGGCCTTTTCGGGTTGAGGATGGAGTCAAGCTCAACTCCCAGTCCTACTGCCAGTTCCTGGAAGACACCTTCTTCAAGCAGTGGTACAGGAAGAAGTCTGCATCCTTCAAGAAAAACATGATTTTCATGCAGGACAATGCTCCATCACACGCGTCCAAGTACTCCACAGCGTGGCTGGCAAGAAAGGGTATAAAAGAAGAAAATCTAATGACATGGCCTCCTTGTTCACCTGATCTGAACCCCATTGAGAACCTGTGGTCCATCATCAAATGTGAGATTTACAAGGAGGGAAAACAGTACACCTCTCTGAACAGTGTCTGGGAGGCTGTGGTTGCTGCTGCACGCAATGTTGATGGTGAACAGATCAAAACACTGACAGAATCCATGGATGGCAGGCTTTTGAGTGTCCTTGCAAAGAAAGGTGGCTATATTGGTCACTGATTTGTTTTTGTTTTGTTTTTGAATGTCAGAAATGTATATTTGTGAATGTTGAGATGTTATATTGGTTTCACTGGTAATAATAAATAATTGAAATGGGTATATATTTGTTTTTTGTTAAGTTGCCTAATAATTATGCACAGTAATAGTCACCTGCACACACAGATATCCCCTAACATAGCTAAAACTAAAAACAAACTAAAAACTACTTCCAAAAATATTCAGCTTTGATATTAGTGAGTTTTTTGGGTTCATTGAGAACATGGTTGTTGTTCAATAATAAAATTAATCCTCAAAAATACAACTTGCCTAATAATTCTGCACTCCCTGTATTTTCCAAACACCGGTCAGTTGCAGTTTTTTAGGAAATTGATGGATTTAGTGAATGAGAATGTGAGAGGCAGCTTGGTAATGTGTGGCGACACAAATTTTGTCATGGATGCTAGGGAAGAACGTGATCAGCAGCATAGAGGGGACAGTGATAGATTAGCATACAAATGTTCCAGATACATGATTGAATGTGGCTTATACAACTCCTGGAGACTGATGCATGAGAATGAAAGAGATTTTACATATTATTCTGTCTCTAAAAATATGTATTCCAGGATGGACCGGTTTATGGTCCAGGGTGCTTTAATCCCGCACATCTTGAAATCTGATATCTTAGACATCAACTGGTCTGACCATGCTCCAATCATAATGCATATTGACGAAATTGTTTCATCAGCCCCAAACAGAACCTGGAAATTAGGCGATTATTTGTTAAATGATGTTGTGAACAGGTCATTGACGTAGAAAGCTTTGAGTGATTATTTTTTGGAAAATGCCTCACCTGAGGTTCCTGGCGAGGTGACTTGGAATGCTCAAAAGGCTGTGTTAAGAGGTCATTTTATTTCTAGAGCATCTCACCTGAAGAGAATTAATAGCAATAATTTAAGAACATTGGAAAAAGAATTGTACAATTTGAACCAGGCTAATAAATTTGGTCCATCGTCCTCCCCATCAGCAATGATAGGAGAAATGAAGGCTAAAATTAACAAAATTAATTTAGATCGTACATCTCTCATGGTGAGACGTCTCAGGAAAACATTTTACTTAAAAGGCAACAGGGCCTCAACTCTTTTGGCATCCAAACTCCGGTATATGAATGCCCAATCAAAAATAGCATATTTATTCACGCTTTGCATTTGTTGTTTAATATGCTGTTCCCTAAAATATGCAAATGTCGTCGTGGCAACACGACACCATGTTTCTCACATTTGTGCACAG